TAAGTACTCGGAAGTACTACTTAAGTATATTATCCTATAGGGGTTCTCTTTTCGTATTATCTACTAACTATTAAAAGAAGGTCTTAAGTTTAGGTATATCTATATCGTAAAGGGCTTTATTACTATCTTTATATATTTACTCTTTATAGTAACTAGTACCTATTAGCGTTACTTATATAATAGCCTATAGGTTAGATTACTATACTACTACTACTACTACTACTACTACTACTAGCTACTAATACCTTTTAGAGCTAATACTATTAATTCTACGTTAAGCCTTTTATAGTAGCTATATTACTATATATAATACTTAAAGGTAGTATAGTCCCTTTTTATATAGGATAAATATAGCGATAGTATAGTAGAGCTCTTAAGGACTAGTAAGGCTACTATAGCGAGGACGAATATAATACTATAGGGGAGTAGAGGCCTCTAATATATACGCTAGGCCTACGTAGCTAGCTACTAGGTGTTCGCGCCGCTAGGTAGAAATTCAACTCTGCCTAGGGGTGCCAATTATGACGCGAAGTCCTAGACGGGCTCGTGCTGAGGCGCCCGGCAAGTTTAGACGGACTTGTGCATTTTGTGCAGGGTCATCTGAGGCCGCTTTGGGCGACGTCTGCTGCCGTTTCGGGAAGCACCCGCACCGTCAGTCAGACTTTCACTGTAATGTTCATGGATACTGAAAGGCGGCACAGAGAGGACGAGCAAGACGAGTCATGTTAAACAGTCTTAGCATTCGGTGGTATCAACAACCACTGTCGTCCTATTTCTCTAGCGTGCTCCTCAAAGCTCCTACGGCTCCAACGCTCCAACACATCGTACACGCACTACCGGATCCGCATAATCATTGCCTGGTAACTCGATACTCGCTTCTCTCTGACTCTGAGCCATGCACCTCCCTATGATGTCCATTGCTTCCCGGGGCTGAAGGGGCGCAGGTTGCCATCAGAAGGCGTGGGAACGGGTGGTGGGGCGTGATTGCTGCCGCGGAGGGTGACGTGCGCTTTGCCCTTTGGGATGGAGAGGTCGAGTGGCGTTTGGGAGGGGGTTGAGGGACGAAGTGGAAGGCGCTGGGCCTGGGTTGGAGTGGAGGTGCCGCTGGTTGGAGCACGGTGAGATGGGCCGATTGGGAGTCGGGGTTGAGGGCCACTGTTCACACCGCCGGTGGCGTTGATGCCCTTGGTGACGGTGGTACCATTGGTACCATTGGTGACGATATTGAGGGTGTTGTCGGTGGTATCCTTGGAGATGTTGGTGGTATCCTTGGCGATGTTGGTGGGTTCGGCGATGCTGGTGGGGGCGGCGATGCTGCTGGTCGATGGTTGTGGTGGTTCCTCCGATTTCGACTTGAGCTCGAGTTCAGCAAGACGCGCCTTCAGTCCACCGATGATGTCCAAAATGCCATCACGATCCTCGAACAAGACGTCGATCTCAGCCTTCATCATCTTCACGAAAGCCGCCTTCTTGTCTTCTGCTTGGCCATCAGAAGTCTCCTTCGTCCTCTCCTGAGCTACCTCCTCGACCCTGGCGCTCAAGCTTCCAATCGCGCCTTCCAGTCCCTCAACCTTCTCAGTCACACCCTTGATCTTCGCCCCCAGCATATGCATCATGCTCTGACTCGTCGCGATTCTCTCCTCGTGAACCTTCTCCATGATCTTCTTCTCCAATCCCACGACCTTGCCCTCCAACTCCTCGATCCGCCGCTGTTGGATCGTCGACGCGTCCTCGCTGCGTGCGAGTCGGAACATCTGGTTCTTAAAGAGCTGCTCCGATTCGCTTTGACGCTGCAGCTCGTACAGGAACATGGCCTGTACGGCGTTGGCGGGAGGCAGGCGCTGGCTGCATTGTTGACCGATGATCTTGAGGGCGGTGGGGGTGTAGGTTATCATGGATGATGCGTTGTGAGTAGGTGGTGGTGTTGACGATGGCTGGCCGCCGGAAAGCCAGATGCTGGCTTGGTCGTCCATGTTGGATGGTGCAGGTGGTGTTGTTTGAGGTGGAAGAAAGAATTGAAATTTGTGTGTTTGTTGCAAAGCACGTGCGTTGAGGGAGTCCCGGCGCTAGTGAGACGCGAGTGAGTGAAATTAGGAAGGAGCGACGAATCTTACGGAAACTTCACTTCACACGTTAACATTGAGACATGCAGCCTTACTTCTAGCTTGTTGCAGATTATGTATGAGCTGTTCATTGATGATGATGCAGAAAGAGCGACCATTTGTAACTGCGTAATCTACCTAACTCCAAGCGCCAAGTAACGTCCCAGCCACGATTGAGGAGATCGGGATCTCAGTGTGCGGTAGATTATTGGAGAAATTGCTACAGCTCGCAGTGCGACAAAGTGAGGGAATTGGAAGAACTCCGTACGCCAATTGACAACCGATGTAAAGAATGTGTGCGCGTAACTTGAGACACGCATAGAGGTGCCGGCCAGTCTGTCGTGGTTCGTTCTCGTCTCTGAAGCAGCACACCCAACCAGTCCCCCCTTCCCTCGTTCGCCAGGGGTGTAAGTATGTGGAAGTGCCTCAGATGATGTCCTTGAAGATGGGCGCCAGTTGTTTGAAAGGAGGCAACAAGTGAAGAATCTGTGTTCTGTGAGGGCGAAGGCTCTCGATGATATCGTCGTCGCTGCGGAGTGGCGGTTTCGTTTCGCATTGACAACTGGGGAAATAACAGTGGTTGCACGAGTGGCACTTCGGGCGACCCGCGCATCTCAAAAGCCAATGGCGGAATGATGATGCTGGATCCGACCAGCGATTGAATTCATGATGAATGTGAGCGAGTTCCCGGTCTCGAGTTGCCGCGTCAAATTCGGCGCGAGCTTCGGCGGAGTCTTGGATCATATGATCTCGTGCGAGGTGTACTGCGAACGTGAAACGATCATCGCATGTATGCTCGCACACCGGACAACTGATTCGAAGCTCGCTGTGGTAATCCAAGGATTTTGCAGACCTCGATTGGTGTCCCGCGGCCTCCATTATGGAGCCAGCCTTTGGCACTCGGATGAGGGCATAGTTGAGCTCTTTGAGGATATTCTTCATCTCCTCTTGCTCTTCAAACTTGTGAGAGAGTACGTGGTCAATGAACCGGTCGACCTTCAGGTTCTGACGGCACCGCGAGTATGGACATCTTGTATACATTGTGTCCGAGGCGTGTACATACGCCTTGAGCTTTGCAGGAAGAGATGGGTCTTGCTCTAGGTGACACCATAAGGCTTGGCCGTGATGCGTTTCGTCGATGTGGATCCCCAATAGTACCAACGGAAGTTGGACATTGCAAGTGGGCATGGGACATGTTGCTGGTTCGGTTGGAGAATGAACGGTTCGAAGATGGGAGGTGAGTTTGTCTCCTCTCACAAAGGCCGGGGCACGTTGGCGTTTAAAACAACCCGAGACTGTGCAAGCAAACGACTTTTCCCCGTTGTGCTTAGTATTGATGTGTCGTTTCAATTCAGCCGCCCTGGCGAAGGAGCCTTTGTAGTTGCATCCATCGATCGTGCAACGGTGAGTTGTCGACGGGGCAGCGACGTTGTCATCGTCAACGCAATTCAATTGTGGTCCAGCATCAGAACCATTGAGAAAGCGTGACTCTAGGGCATCATGTTCCGTCTCTACGCGATTGGTCTCGATGTGTGTTCCAGAGTCCTCAAACGCATCGGACGGACAGCGAAGCTGGGAAGACGCAACGTGTTGCTGCAATAAGGCGGTCATACCATCGCATTCGCCGAGACCAGTGAACTGCGGGGGATGATTGTTTTGTCTACGCGACGAACGTGCCCTCTTGTTAGCGTTCGTCTTTTTTTTTTACTCACCTAGTCCTAGACTCAGCCTCATAGGCCTCCCAGTCCACATCCTTCATCCAGGTCCAATCGATCTCCTTCTCGAGCTCCGCCCACTCAAGCTGCATCTCGTGGCTGACTTCGTCGGACATGGTTGGTTCTTGGAGCTGCAAGTTTGCCTTGTGCGGACAGTCGATGGGCGCTTGCAAGAGGGCAAAGGCGAGGCAGGCTGAAGATCGACGATCGTAATGTCGGAAAAACGATGTTCCGTGCTGGCGGTGTGTGGAAGCGGGCGAAAAGGCAGGACATTTGGTGGAGGGGATGGCGTTTACTTATAACTGCTGCTGCAGCTTGGGCTGGAAGAAGGGGCACTGATGGTGTGGCTGGATGGCCCGAGCTCTTGCCTGGCTGCCTTCTGCGACACCGTACCCTCATTCTTCGGCTCGCAGTGGAACCCATTGCGTCGTCCACCCCGGGGTCTTTCCAGGGAGCAAGCTCTTGATCGTAGTTCACGGTGCTTAGACAGCTCGACGAGGCTCGGAAGGGCCGAGAATTGTGAAGACGAATGCCCGTTTGACGTCAAGATCTTGATTGAAGAGATCGTGAGTATGAGTTTGCTAACACAAAGAAGGTTTTACAGACAGTCTAAGTAGCTAAGTGGGTATTTGGGTCATAAAGGTCAAGCTATAATATCAACTCCACATCACATTGCCAACACTCATCCCTTGATCTCCTCGCGACGCCTCGCAGTCACCCACAAATCCTTCTGCAAATGGATTCCGTAGCACGTCGATTTCCACGGCTGAAGAGTATTCACCAGTGTCATATCGAATCTCCTCATCATTTCAAACACAACCTTGTTCAACTCAATCGCCGCAACGCTCTTCCCCAAGCACTGGTATTTGCCATACCCGAACAGCAGTTCGTTGTTCTTCTCCATCGCTCGGATCTTCTCGACTGAAGGCTCATCGCCGCCTTGCGCAGGCGTTAGCCAACGTTCCGGGCGAAAGGCTTCCTCGTCTGGACCAAACAGAGCTGGCGAGTGGTGGACGGCGCTGGCGGAGTATCCGATGGAGACATTGCCTGGGACGTGAAATCCACAGATGGTGTCGCCTTCTGGAGGTGTATACTTCGCAAGCATACCAGCGATCGGAGGGAACCACCTCAGGCCTTCTTTGATGCAAGCTTGAAGGTATGGCAGAATCCTAGCTTGTTCATCTGTGATGATGCCGTCTTTGGAGGACGTAGCTTTGCCTGATCTGACGGCGTCCTCGATTTCGGCCGACAGCCTCGCACTGACCCGTGGATTCGATATTATGCAAAGCAGTGTCGATCTCAGCCCAGTAGCGGTGGTGTCAGATCCAGCTGCAAGTTGCAAGACACCTTCTTGCTCAGCCTCGCCTTGCGTGAGGCCATGTCGCAGGAAGCTCGAAAGCATGTCACTCCGTGTGGTGTTAGGCTTACCGTCCGAATCGAACCGCTTTGCAACTTGCTTCTTGGTAATGGCCAATATCTTTCCAAGGCCAAAACTGTCTTTTACAGAAGGAGCCAGAAGTTTCGCGACGCCAATGTTGGTCAAGAAATATAGAAGGCTGGGGACAGTGCACACGCAGAACATATTCGGAAACATCGTCTCGATCTCGTTGATGTAGCCATGATTGTCGTGGTCGTCTCTCAGATCGTGGAACTTGTCGTCGAACGCTAGTTTGCTCATGATGTCGCTGGTGAAGAACTGCACTTTCCTGGCCAGATCCATCTTCTTGATGTTGTCCGGCGGGCTACTGATATACTTGGAGTCGATCAGGCTGACGAGATCCAGCACACACTCGTCGATATCCCTTTCCAAAGAAACGTTTTCCTTTCCAGAATACCCGGAAGCCATCTTCTTTCGCCGCTCATCGTGGTCATTCTCATCTCTGGTCGACAAGACGTTCTCGACCCCCGGAATCACTCGCATGGCCACGTACCAAGGCGAACGGGTATACGGCGATCTCGCAGCAGACATCTTGCGAAGCTCCTCTGGATCAGACACAAGAAGCGTGTTCGGCGCAATCCGTACGAGCGGGCCATATTTCTTGTTCAAATCTCCAAAGACGTCGTAAATTTCTCCTCTCAAATGTACCATAAACAAAGGCAAGACCGTCCATCCCCATAGCGGCGGCCCAGGGATATGCTTGAGCCGATTATAGGACCGATAGCTGGTAAAAGCGAACAGAGCAACAGCCAGCACTAGAATATCCACAAATATGGAACCCGATACACTTTTCAGGAGAGCCATGGCCATCGACGTCTGCGATCCTGGTTTCACAACAGCAGCGGCATCCGTCGTGACGGGAAAGTTGTTGCGGTGACGGGAGGCACAGTTCGTTGAAGAAGAGAGAGAAGTGGAGGTCTTTTGCAGAAGGATGCACTGATGTCCGAAAGTGGTGAAGGGGATGAAGATTAGTTGCAGATGTCATGCAGGCTTTCGTCCCCCCCGCGCGCTAATGCGGGGGTGCCGTTTTCGTATGGAGCCTTGTTTTGGAGGAGCGTGGGGGAACATCAGGGTCTGGATCTTTGGCTTGGAAATGTTGTTGGAGTGCCAATAATCTTTTGATGATTGTTGCAACATTGCTGTACAATGCCTTGAGCGAGGAGACGTTGCTGACGTGTGTAGATGCATGGGCGAGTTCGGCTTTGCAGCCTTACGTTTAGCGAATGTTGATGAAGTGGATTGAAGCATCCATTTGTCTGCTCATACAGGTATCAAGCTTGAAAACTCTCTGTTGTCCTATGCCGTGATGCTAAATTTGATCCAAGATTGCACCTGCTCCCTGGTCTATAAGGTGGCGTGTGTGGGCTTCTGGCCATAGACAACGTACCTGATTCAATTCACGTCAGCCAATGTCTCCCATGTCTCGGTCAACGTAACTTACATCTGCCAATAAACATGAATCTTTCGATTCTGGATATCCCTCCTCACATCGATGAGAAACATCTGAATCTCCTCCATCGTCATGCCCAACGTCGAAGAGAACAGTCTCACGCAAAAGCCCTCCAACCCGTCCAACATGTTCACCTCATTCCACCTACCAACAAACTTCAGCTCCGGATCTTTCGCCCAGGAATTGATGGGCCACTTGAACGTTCTTTCCACAACATTCTCAAACCCAGCTTCAATCAACCACCCCTTATATCTCGCCGCCCCCTCCGTATCCCTTCCTCGTTGTCTCGACGCATCGACAAACTTCCTATTCCACTCTCCAATCGCCGTCCCCTCCATCGTCCCATCGTCACATCCCAACGGCATCACAACATCCTGCAGCTCAAGATATCCACCGGGCTGCAGAAAATCAAAAGACTGCTGAAACAACCGCGGGAAATTCGCAGAAGACGTAATCATCATCCGACCATGGATAAGATCAAACTTCTTATCGTACGTCCACTCCCCATCGAAATCATCCAACTCGAATTTACAATTCGGCGGGACCCAAGTTGGCTGAATAGGCGAAAGGTCCACTCCGAGAATATTCGCCTCGGGATGCTCGTCCGCGAAATCAATCGCCCAGATGCCCGTTGCTGTTCCTAGGTCTAGTGCTTCTTTGATTTGCCTCTGGACGGGAGCGAGATATAGTCTGTTCCCGAAAGACCGCAGGAACATCGTATGTTGCATGTCGAGCCGTTCTTGCTCTCGTTCGTCGTCGGGTAGAATGTATATCCCGTCTCGGTATCGGTGGTACCCTCGTCCATTCTCTCTCATGCTCTGCAGGAATCCTGACCGTATACTCGCCGTGTACACCGTGTCCGTCTCGCTACCCAGTGCCGAATCTGAGCTATCGAGCGAATCCGCCTCGATCTGTCGCTCCGGCGGTTGCTCCATAGACTCCATTCCGGCACACAATCCACATGAAGATGCTGACTGTGCGATTTTGCAAGGCTTTCCCACCGACCGAATTTTGCAAACGCTGTGGAACGAGGCGACGTGGAAGTCGGCAGTGTTTACGTAGGTAAGTCAGGTTTGTGCCCGACTGTGCCGTCCTGGCGCGTAGCATGCATGGGACTACCAAACTGCCGTGCAGTAGCGCGGGATGCCGACTGCATTCCTGCAGCTGAGCTGCCGAGTCGGCTACGGTTATGTTCGGCACATCGGTTTGGATACGAAAGCGTTCGGTATTTCAAGTTTCTCCCAGGATCTATGAGAACAAAATCGACTTTGCTCGAAGAAGAGGACTTCAGAGTGACCTTCCACCACAGCCTGATTCTATTCGTATCATAGATTTACTGCGACGCCATGCCCGTCAACTATGTACCTCACAACGAACTCCTCACCTGTGCCGCATTCTTCTCCCCCTCCCCCTGCTCCTTCTCCTCCTTCAAATTCGGCGCCCACTGCGGCCTCCCATAGACACCCCTCAACTTCTCCATAGCCTCCTTAGGAACCAATCTCCCCGGCTGCCCCATATACCACGTACTATCCTCCTCCTCAAACCCCTCGGGATGCAACGTAAACCCATTCCCAAAGTACGAAAACATATCCTCCTCATCCTCATAAACAAAATCGAAATCCTCGAATCGCGGGTTCTGAAGGGTTTGCATGTAATGGCTGTGTGAGCCGGGCCAGAGCGTCGGACGGCCGACGTTATCTTTGTACCATGCGCTGCAGGGGCCGGCTTGCACGAGGCGTTGCATGAAGGCGTCGGCGTGTTTGACGAAGTGGTCTACGGCGCGGGGTTTCGGGGTGAAGGTAAGGATTCGTTCGAGTTGGATTTTGTTAATAATTCGGGCCATATATTTGGAGAGGGCTTCGGAGGGCTGGAACCAGTTGCGGTAGAGGGCGGAGTAGGCTGTTCCCGGGTTGAAGTAGTTGGGCATGTTCTCGGAGCAGATGGCCATATACGTGTGGCCGTTCGGTCGAGCTGCCCAGCGTTTTGCGATGTCTTCGCCGTTGACGGTTTTGGGGTAGCGTGGCATGTGGTCTTGGTCGTAGCCGGTTGCTGCGATGATGATGTCGACTTCCACTTCGCTGCCTTCTGGGTCGATGAATCCCTTCTTTGTAAACTGTGTCGGCTCGCCCTTGTATACTGTCGTCTTTGGATCAACAAGCGCTTCCAGGTAGCCTGCAAGTTGCACGTTAGCCTGCAACCAAGTCTTCTACAAGAGACGTCTCCGAATTACCTGCTACCATCGTCGGCCTTCGGCACGCAAAATCGTAGTCCACTGGCACAATAGCATCATAAAGCTCCGGCTTCGACTGCAGTTTCGCCTGCATGAAACCTTTGAGTCCAGCTGTTACGTTCACCGAGTTCTGACTACCGTTCACCATCATATCGAACCGTCGATTTGAAGGATCGTCGAGTGTTTTGCGGTAGGTGAGGTACACATCCGGGTCCTGCAGTAGCTCTTTCTGCTCGTCGTTGTAGTAGAAGTTCGTCCCCTGTCTGTCGTACAGCAAGTCCGGGTATGGTGATGGAGTCATGTATGCTCTGTTTCGGAACCATGTGTACAACTTCGACACATTTGGTAAGATGTTTGGGGCCAGCTGCACTCCTGTGCATCCATATCCTAGCAAAGCGACCCGTTTGTTGGAGAGGTCCAAGTCCTTGGGCCAATCTCCTGGATGAGTGACCGTTCCTTCGAATTCATTGATTCCTGGCACTGTAATCCTTGGAGTGCTTACCGTGCCGTTCATCTCCACAAAGACGTCGAACTTCTCTTCGAGGTCTTGACTTCCCGTCTTCGATAGATCACGAATCTGGAGCGTCCACTTCGCCTCGTCATCTTTCCAAGATGCTCCCAAAACCTCGTGTCGGAAATTCATGTACTTGTACCAGCCGTTCTCTCTCGCGACCTCCTGAAGATAGTCCCGAATCTCAGGCTGCGGAGCATGGAACTGGGACCAGATCTTCGTCCTCCAGGGGAATTGATAGTTTGCACTCGGGCTATCGCACCGGCAACCTGGATATACAGTCGATTGCCACTGGTCATGATCAATCAGTACCATCATCAAGCATAATCCGATGCTCACTTACAACACCACCAACATCCTCATTCTTATCATAAACCACAATCTCCACACTCTCCTCGGGCACCAACTCGAACAGATGATGCAAGAAATCAAGCGCAGTTATCCCAGCCCCCAGAACCCCAATCCTTAGCTTTCGTCTCGATCCATAGAGTTCTTCCTTGATATCAACCGGATGAGGATCCTTTGGATCGCAATATATGAACTTCGGCACGAAACGCGCAGCTCTCGGATCCGTGGGTGGCGTTTTGGGCTCGAAGTCTGTCTTTTTCAGCGTCCGTGATGGAGACATGGCGACGCGAGGAGGAGTCTATGTTTGAGGAGTCAGTAAAGCAGAAACGAAAGAAGAGTGATGGATTGTTGACGGACCCTCCCAGCCGCTAATAAAGACGTAGACGTAAAGGCGCTCCATCCTTCGTCAGCAGTTTTAGAGTTCATGATTCCTCCATTTGCGTTGTCTAGGGCACTCTAGTCATCCTTTCCACCACCTTTCCACCAGATTTATGATCGATACCCGCCTTATCACAGTCAACATGTAAGATATGCAGTATGGAGCTCCAACCCTACAGTCGAGCCTAGGCGTTGGGGGCTGTCGCCATTGGAAGATCTCGCGGTCCATCAGCTGACGATTACCTCATTCCTGTGTCAAGCCAAAGGGATCAATAGCTCAATCGAGATTCGTGGGATCGTGCATTGGGAAGGCGTCGTACGCGGCATGCTGCAAGGAAATGCGTATTCTGTTTCTGAATACGCGGAGGAGACGGGTCCGACACATGCGCTGAGAATGAGATTGACTTGCCTCTTGTACTGCTAACAGCTCCAGATAACCGCCCAGAGCAATCCGAAGCCAGTCAAAACCCGCTGTAACACTCACCAAACCCACCACCTGAGCTTAGGAAACCCAATAACCTCGTTCTCGCCTTGCCCAAAGTCCACTCTGACCAAGCCTTTCCGCGCACAAATACTCCGACTTGCCTCGACAGCCTCTCTCGTACGACACAGATCGCAATGCGCCAACTTCGTAACGATTCCTGGATCCCCAAACGAGGTCCTCGCACGAGAGATCTCCCCGATTTCATTCATGCTGAGTCTCCGCCACAAATGCTTCTCTGAGTCAAACTCCTCCCAGACCAGTACGTCCTTCAACCAGACACCAATACTTTCGGAGTGGATCTGTCGACTCACGTGGAACAGCGAAGGCGTTTTATAGAGCTGTCCACCCGCATGTCTGGCCAGATTGCATTTTCGTTGGAGAAGCTCGGCATACATGGCAAACAAGAAGATCTTGTTACGTAGTTCACCAGGTAGGCGAAAGAGAGGCGAGCGAGAGTTTTGGAGAGCGATTATGCGTTGGCGAAAGGTGTCAAGTTGGAATTTGATGAGTTCGAGGTCGGCAAATGCGAGGGTCTCCAGCGAATCCATTCCAGCGGGCATCATGGCGAGGTGATTACTGTCGAAGTCCATGATACTTGAGTGATGTCGGTGCGGTTGTTTTAGTTGCAGTATTTGGCGGCAAGTAGTGTTACTCTTTGTGTGTCCTAAAAGCCGTCGAGTACCATCCAGGTCCAGAAGTCGTACTCGGATTTAGAAGTCAACCATCAATGTTCCTCTTTTCGAGCTCAGCTTTACCGGAGAACCGAAATTCTGACTCGGCGTTCCACACGTATATATGAAGTAAGGCAAACGAGCGGAGGTGTAAGTGGAGTTGAGTGCGGCTGTTCACTAAGCGCTGCGGTGAGCATGGGCAAGAGCTGAGCCTTTCGTAGCAGTATCTGGATGCGGTCCAGCCGCATCGTATTCATTGGCATGTCGGGTTCCTTGCGGCCGAAGACAGAGCAAGCCGACGGCGAATGCCGATCTTCGGTTCCCTTTATGGAACTTCAGCAGTTGGTTCCAAGTCATATTATCATCCAGCTGACATGTCGAACGTCAATGCCTGATCTGCTAGTATAGGAAATTCCGACCGCGAGTCCGTGCATGAAGGGCAGTGATTGGTCTTCGGCTGATTTGTCGTACGTGAGACACGTGCGCGAAGGATCCAGCTGCCAGCTTGAGTCGGCGGCAACGGCGCACAACTTGTCGTGTAAGAACGTTAGCGAGCGGGCTGCTCGATGTGTAAGGCCGCCTGCAGCCCTACTAGGATGAGAGTCGTCTTGAAGGCGATTAGTAGATATAAGCAATGACAATCTCGGGACCACTCTTCCAACCGGTGAGAAAGGCCTCCCCACCACGAGAATTCTTATGGCGTTTGCCATTCAGTAAGACCAACGCCTGGTCTCGCCATCCTTGACAGTGCTCGATGACTCCTCTGAAACCACAAGTCCGTCAAAAGCTATTTGTCCCTGCCCTTGTTGGTCAGTTCCAGCTTCGAGTGACAACCTCATCTCAGCACTGTCACTCTTCGTGGCAACACATCTGCCGCTCGAATTTGGATGTCGAAGTCCGCGTACAAGGTCGACGTAGGTCTGGAGACCGGGCACCTGGACGTGAAACTCACGCCAGTTGTACCAGTAGGTCATCTTTCGAGCGGGACTTGGTTGTGGCGACGTCCAAGGCGCTGGAGAATGAGGCCACCACACATCCTGAGGTGTGTTCTGAGGCGTTTGCTGGAAGCCCGCAGAGCTGTTCGTATCGCGCCGCCCTTGTTCTTGTCGAGGCCATTGTCCTCCTCGTTCTTGATATCGCCCGTTTTGATGCTCAGGTGTACCGCCTGCGTATTTGGAGCTCGTGGGTGTATTGCGATCGTTCTTGTGCTGATTGGCCATTCTGCGGTCTGGCGATCTGGTAAGAGCGTATCGATCGCAGTAGTATCTCCAAATTTAATACAGAGGCTGCGAAAGTGTGCGAAAGCGAGAACTGAGAGCGTCTGAAAGTGATGTGAAGATAACGAGAGACTCCAAAATCGGATAAGAGAAATTCCAATGGTGGGCAACAGGGACGAATTTCTGTTGCATTCACTGCCTCTCAAGTAGCCTTCAACTGTTCGAGGTCTCAGAAGAATGAACGAGTCCATACCTGGTGAGACTGTCTTTGGTTGCACTGTCTTTAGCTGCAAGGCTGAGATTGACGGTAGACACAGACGCTTTCCAGGACACATGCGCATTGTTGAAGTGCTGTACTCGAGTATAGGCCTTGTGCCATGGGAAATGAAGGCCTCACACTCGGTCCAGGGAGCACGTCGTCTGCAATCAGAGGGTTCAGGTTGTGCAATGATGTCCACTTACCAATTCTTGACACTGTCGCCTCTCAAAGACACGTCTCAGACAGGTCCTCGATGTTCGTGGTTTACCCTCATCCTCGTGGCTCCCTGTCTCATATCTCTTTCAAACCAATGGGCCTCGTAGCCCCAGCAGGCTTCCATCCCTGGGCTTTCTGAAGACACAAGGCCACAATTCTTTCCCTGAACTCTTTCCCAGGTGGACTTGTACGGGGATATGTCATTGTAACAAGGTGTTTCGACAGAGGCCCGCTGTGAAATCGCGAGGAAATCGACCGTTGTCCGCATTCGTTTCCTGATTGTGCGGCGCTGTGATCAGTAATTGCTCAGTTGTTTCCAGGAAGGAAAACGATTATTGATCGCAATCATGGTGAAGTGGTAGAACAAGAGGTTCCGTCTCGATGTTTTTCTGTAGCTCTGCTTCGAATGTCGGACAACGCGAATACGATACCGACGTCTTGGCACCGCCTCGGCGCAACGTCCCTCCATAAACTTTGAGCCAACGTCACTCCGACCACCACCTCCATCACCTGGGCGCCATCTCCCCAGTCGACGTGGTATACGATCAACCCAATGGCGGGTTGCCAGTCAGTAAACACCGCCGTCTTGCGGCAGGCTCGTTATCGTCTCTCATGGACCGGACTGAATGAGCAATCATCCTACCAACTATTCAGCCTCCTGCACGATGTGGTGCTATCTCCGATGTCTGCATAACAGCCTTCTCAAGAGTTGCCCCATTGGAACATAAGGCGAGGCGACGGGGGGATCAATGCCGTGCGACCTTCCAACCTGTCCTTGTCACTGCCATCTGACCAGCATTCGTACATGCAAGGAGCAATGCTAAAGGCAAGAGACACGAATCCTTCTCCGTCTTAAACCCATTCATCCTCTTTCCCTTTACAGTCAGTCCTCCAAGCTGACCGTATACCACATCGGAATAGGCACGTGGGGGTCCAAAAGAAAGTGGAAGTTGAAAAAAAGCAGTCGGGCTCCGTTCCTGCATCAAGCTAGCCGAAGCTGCCAAATCTTCCTCGGTGTAGATATATATTTTCGAACTCTTCCCGCCCTCAGATGGCCCGCCGCCACGATTCTTTCTGATCTCGCGGGCAACGTCATGGGCGTCTTTGGGAGCAAGAAAGTCTTTGATCCGGCCAAGGATATTCCTGATCTGAGTGGCAAGATTGCGCTTGTTACTGGTGGTACGATCGTAGAACTCAACTGATCAATCGTTCGATGTACTCACTGTCTCTTTACAGGCAACGCTGGCATCGGCGCCGGTTTCGTCAGAGCTCTCGCCGCCCACAACCCAGATAGCATCTACCTCTGCGCCCGCACACAATCCAGCGCCGACGCCACAGCCAAAGCGGTGAAAGAGAAACACCCCAAAGCCACCATCGACATCTTCTCCCTGGACCTCAACTCCCTCGACAGCGTCAAGAAATGCGCCGCCGAAATCACCGCCAAAGCCCCTAGACTCGACTACATCTTCCTCAACGCGGGCATCTCCGCAACCTCCCCCGCAGTAACAAAAGAAGGCTACGAGACCCAATTCGGCATCAACCACATCGGCCACGCCCTCTTCCTCCAACTCCTCATGCCCACCATCCTCTCCACCAAAAAGCACCACCCCGACGCAGACATCCGCATCCTCCTAACCTCCTCCCTCGCCGCCCGCAACTTCTCCCCGAAAACCGGCCTCGTCCTCCCGCAAATGAAATCCTCCGCCTCCACCCTGCACCCCATGGCGCGCTACGGCCACTCCAAACTCGCCAACGTGCTCTTCGCGCGCAAACTCGCCACCCTCTACCCATCCATAACCACCACATCCCACCATCCAGGAACCGTGAAATCCGAGATCTGGGGGAAAGCCACGGATTTGAAGATTCTGGCGGCGGTGTTCAGTCCCGTGGTGTGGTTGACGGGGGTCGATACGGATGTTGGAGCGGAGACGGGGTTGTGGACGGCGTTTGTGGAGAAGGCACGGGTGAGGAATGGGGCGTATTATGAGCCTGTGGGGAAGGAGGTGGGGAGTGAGAAGTTTAGTGATCGGAGTGCGGATGAGTTGTGGGAGTGGACGAATAAGGAATTGGAGGGGCATGGGGCGAAGGGGTGGCCTGATGCGTAGATTTCGGCTTGTACGTATGGCCTTGTTGATGGTGTTGATGACGACAGAAACCGAGAGTTCCAACGACCGATACCATGTGTTTGTTTGAAGCAAAGTAGAGAGCTTTTGTTATTCCTCGGGGGTATCTCATGCTCAAACCTCTAATGTATACTTACACCAAATGCTCATGCTTTTTCCATTGCATCGTCACCGTAGCCTCTAAGGCGTTGAGACCTGTACAAGTACCCATATGCTTTTAAACTCCTTGCATGCTTCTGTAAACGCTAGACGCTGAAAGACATCTCAATTCTTCTCCTCATCTTGCTTCAACTCCTCCCTGCCCTTCCGATTGCACTTCGACGACCCCCGCATCTTCCCGCCGCAGTACAAGAAAACCACCGGTGCGAGACCGACCAAGAGAGCGATGCCCGCCAGTAACGTGGTCGCCCAGTGGACACCCAGTCGCGTGTACATGGCCTGGGTGGAGAGTGGCAGGAAGCCTGCCGATAAGTTCTCGCAGGCAGCCGCGGCGCTGATGGCAGAGCCGGCCCAGCCTGATATGGCGTATGCATCGATGATGTAGTCGGCTGCGGCAGCCACGACAACTTGGATGCCAAAGCCGACCAGGCCCAGACCGATGGCTGGGGCGATCCAAGGCCCACCCGCGAATGTCGCCCAAGCGTAGACAAGCATGCCGCCGACGATGCCAACGAATGTGCCGACGATGGCGACGTAGAGTCGAGCTTCAGGGATGGGTTCTCCAGGGTGCTCTTTGTTGCGCTTTGCAGATTCGAGATATGGACGGATGTTGTAGAGGTTGGCGAGGAAACCAAAGATTTCGCCGATGACGATGGCTGACTGAAGGTAGCCACACTGGGCTTGGTCGAAGCCGTACACCTGGCTGAAAACGAACTCGACTGACTGTGTGAAGACGAAGACATTGCCGAAGGCAAAAGCTGACCAGAGCGTGCAGAAGAAGAGGAGGGGTTCCGTGAAGAGGAGGTAGAGGGGTCTCATCTGGGCTTTGAGAATTCGTTTCCAGGCTGGTGTTCTGTCGAGCTCGCTGAATGCGTAGATTTGAAGGCCAGTCTCCTTTCTCATCTGCTTTGCGTACCGCTGAAGGAGGATGTCGTGGCGAGTTTCTTTGACGCCAAAAGCGAAGACAGGAAGAAAGGCGCAGTAGACGATGAGCTGGATGTAGAAGACCCTGTTGATGAGCGTCAGAATTCTGAATTTGTGAAATGCACAGAGATTGACCTACCACCTCCAGTTTCCCGTGGCTGGGATGACTGCCGCGAAGATGGTGGGCCCGAATGAGTTGCCCACCACATAGAGCAGGATGTAGATGGCAACAGGCACGCTGCGCTTCTTGTCCGTTGCCCAAAGGTCTGGGATGATGCTCGAGATGGCATTGGCAAGGAATGCAGCACAACCACCAGAGAAGAAGCGTGTGATGATCAGTGTTTCGTAGTTCTGTGCAACGGCCTGAGGAATGACCATGAGGATGAAGAAGATGTAGAACAGCAGATAGGTTCGTCTGACACCCAGTTCCTCGAGCAATGGCATGCAGAAGATGACGAACAAGGCACCTCCTGCGCTCCAGGAAGTAACGATCCAGTAGGTCTGGGTGAACCAAGCTGAATCGACGACATTGAATTCGGCGGCGAGTTCGTCCGCAGCGATGGTGATGCCGGTCCCGTTGAGAGGGAGGATGAATGTTCCGATCAGGCTGATGGAGGAAATCAACCACTTGCGCTTCTCAGACCAGTTGCGTGGGCATCGTTTGTCGTCAGGGCCGTCCCAGGTGAAGATCTGGATGCCGTCAGTCTTTTCGTGAAGTGAAGAAGTTCCGCTAGTGAGGTCCGCGGACGAAAGCTGGCCAGAGGATGTATTCATATTGGCCCATGGGAGGGGGTGAGGTGCGGAAGGGTGCTGAATGGCAAGCGAACAAAGAAGGAGCAGAGACCTTTAAAGGACCATGGCGAAGAACAGTAACAATTGAACAAAGACAGCCAAGTGTGAGAAGGACTGGCAACAGCGGGACGAGACCCATCGTATTGCATGGCCATGTTCGGCTGGTGTGAGGTTCGGTGCAGTGCATTACCTAAACTCGATTACACTTCTGCGAGTTGCCTCTTTGCACCCGTCTCCACCACAGCTCGAGCAGGCCGAGTTTGCGTGACCCGTCGTTTGTGATGTCGGCAGGCTGCCGCCGCCGTGCCTGAGCCTGCTCTGACAGCGGGCGCCCGCATGCGCAGATTGCTGGGCCATTCGGGGGAGATGCCAGGGGGTGCAGCCATATCACCAGCGGGTCGAGGCGTGCCCCTCCAGCGCGCAGTCGTGATTTTTCATGAAGCGCGAGAAGCGTGTGAAGGATTTCCACCACCAGCTGTGATCTCATGCCGCGCTTTTGACTTTTCCGGACGCAATTAAGCGACAGCCTCCGGGATGTTGTGCGCCAATCAGCGCACGCGCAGTAAGTTCACCCGCATGTACCTGCGTATCTGATAGATCTTTGGTTGTTCGTCGGCGCTGTGCCACCGCCTTATCCTGGCCTCACGAGCACCGCACTGCCTGAATTGAGAGAGTACGCGAGCTCGTGACGAAATCCAACATGGCGCCAAACTTTGACCAGGCCCGCAGCAGGATCTACGCCGCCCACGATGAGGATCCGAACAAGCACACGACCGGCGATGGCCAGCAGATACCCTACGAGACGCACTACTCGCACAAGATGGAGAGCTATCTCGACAAGCGGAAACCCGACGCGTCCGATGTGTTGAAGCTCGCCATCTGCGGCCAGCACTTTCGACGATGGGAGGTCCCGCGAGACTCGTACCCCATGACCAAGATCGGCTATCACACCTGGCGGACGGCGCTCAAGAAGCGGCAAGCCAAGCTGGTCGGCAGCATCCTGGACGAGTGCGGCTATCCCATCGACCAGACGGAAAGATGCATGGCTTTGATTGAGAAGGAAGGGTTGAAGCAGGGCGAAGAGGAGGTCCAAGTGCTGGAAGACGTGGCATGTCTCGTCTTCCTCGACGACCAGTTCGACCAATTCAAAGATAAGCACGACGGGGAAAAGATCGTCAACATCTTGAAGAAGACTTGGGTCAAGATGTCCAAGCAGGGACAAGACATGGCATTGGAGATACCCATGACCGACGACTGCAAGGCGCTCGTGGGCAAAGCTCTCGGTGGGTAGGCGAGACGTCTTCTCCCCCTCGATCATCTGGACGAGATCTGCATGTCGGCATGACAGCTGCCGCTGCACATGCAGGTAGACGAGGAATCCTCCTCATCTCGACACCACCACGGCCAGACAATGTCGACACGGCTCGGAGTAAGCAGAGTCATGGCACGTACATGCGCTCGTGCGATGCGGTCTTTGACCAATACGCATACTCTGCTTATGTGGTAGCCCTTCCCCGTCCCGTCTCCATGCTGCCAGCTTCCGGACCACCAACCACTGCCGCTTTCGAATACCTCCCTACCTGTGCCGCATTCCGACTGCACTCCATCCCTCGGTTGGATGAGTGCTTGCTCTGATTTCTCGTAACCGCGCCTGCCGCCTGGAAATATTTCGCCAAGTACGTTGTGCTCAGGACAAGACGAAATATCTTGGTCAATTCCAAATGTCGGCCTCACTCAAGGCCTTTGGACTGGACTGCCTCCAATGACTTCACATCACCCGCCACCCCAAACGCTAACCTCCCCATCCATCCAAGGCACACAAACCGGCGCCCCATTCACCGTCGTCTCTTTCACAAACATCCACCTCCCCAAACTCTCAACAAACCGAAACTCATGCATACTCATCGTCGGCTTGCTCATCTTCCCACTCGGAAACCCCGGCCCTCCCGTCACTCTACACTCCATAAACACCTTCGCATGTCCGCTATTCTGACTCACACTTGACATCAGACAGTCGATTGTGATGTGTGAGTCCGGATATGACTTGGCAAAGTCTTCGAGAGATTGGATCCATTCCGATTTTGAGGAGACAAGGTTGAGACGTGGGTTGTGTGGGCACGCGATGCAGTAGTCGGCTGTGACGCTGTCCCAGGGAGGGGTTTTGATGTTGAAGTTGCGGGTGTTGATGGCGTGGATTACATTGCGCAGGATAGATTCAACGTGCGTGGCGACTTCGTTGTGGGTAGCTACGCTGGAGGGTGGGTCTTCGCTGGAGGGTGGGTCTTCATCGGGTGTGAGCATTCTGATATTGTACCTTGTCTTCGCGATGGCTTTTCAAGGTGTTCAACAATGGGCTACATCCAGGCGCTTGATGCTTCGCATACATGCAGGTAGACCGCAGGCAGAAAGGCTTCACAGCTGAGAGGAAGAGGAAGCACATTACGATCTGCAAGCTGAGGTAATCAAGATTCCTCTATCTGCATGGATAGCTCTGGTACTGTATACCTCACCGCCTCGCATAAGATCTCATCACTGTTTCCAAGACACACTGTCTACATCCCTTCCAACACTCTCCATCACTCCGGCTTCCGCGGCTTCTTATCCGCCAAAATCGTCGCAAACATCGCCATCGCCTGCATATTCACCTCGGCGGGCACAGGCTGATCGGGCTTCGCCAACTGACTGAGCAGCTTGAAATAATTTATATAAAAACTCGGCGTGCTGGTAAAGAAAATCTTGGCCTCCTCGTCGCCCGGGTTGGAGAAGGTGTGCGGCGCCCGGATGGGCACCACCATGTAGTCGCCCGCTTTGCAGTCGACGATTTTCTTGTCTTTGCCGGAGGTCTCGGGCGAGGTCGTGTCTGGGACGTGGAAGCGCACGGTGCCTTGGGTGATGTAGAAGGTTTCGTCGTGCATTTCGTGCCAGTGCGGTGGCGGGCCGGGCGTTTTGGGGGGCATGGTTAGTTCGGCTACGCCGAGGCGGTGGTCTATTAATTCGAGTCAGTGTTGGCTCGGTTGAGTGATGTTTGGTGGTGGATATGTCTGATGGTGTAGCAGAGCGACATACCCGTGTTTGACCCATCTTCCAACACGCGGCAGGTGAGAGGGCCGAGCTTGAAGGTCTCGCCTCCCTTGACGGGGACGAAGTTGATGTCGACGTTGGGGACGGAGACGAGGCCTGCCATTGTTTGCTGCTTTTTGCTTTTGCCGCTGGTGGCGCTTGTTTTAGTTGTTATAATTGGAGAGGCGCTTGGCTCTTTCTTGAAAGTTCTGAGGGGGCAAGGACAGTTGTCTAGATCTTCTTGGTTGGAAAGTGGTGAGATTGAGATGCAAGTGAGAGACGAAACGGAAATACACCACACCGAGCTGTCCAATGTGGGGCCCGTTTGTGCTGCCTCATTCATGCAGGTGCAGCTTTGAATCCCTTGGTTTCGAATCCTCCTGAGACGCTCATCCTCGCAAATACACCAATTTCCATCGAAGAGGCTGGTCAGGACGCTTGTCGTTCGCTTGATGTGGAAGAAACGAGCCCGTGGAGAAAGGTTGCAATTTGTGGCGATACCCAACTATTCGCAACACCCGCGAAACCGAAGAAATGAACTTTTTCTGAAGATAATTCGTCGCTTGTTAGCCAGCATGCGTCCTCATCATTTTACCATGGGCGCTCCATTTCGCATCATCTCAAGCTTCGAGGACGCCGGTTTGACATTTGACTCATACTTCGGTGCCAATTCAATCTTCTTGCCTCGCTCCTCCTTGGAAAGCGGCTTCTCGTCAAGAGGATCGTTCAAGTGTAGCCTCTCCCGTGTCGAGTAAGAATGGATGCCCGCAGGCCCGTCCGCCTCCGTGATGAATTCCTTACGGCGCGTGTCGACGAGCAGACGGATCAGATCTGGGCGCATGTAGCTCATCCCGCCGTAGTCGTGGACAGCCTTGGGAATGTGGCACTCGTTCAGGTCGATCTGAGATTGCCATAAGAATTAGGTCATGTTCGTAAAGAATGAGATGTGGAACAGCTTACATCCGCCATCAGCAGGCCAACAAAATCTTTGTCCGCACTGGCCACGCAGCTCCCGTCAGGTTTGAAGATGCGTGTCCGGTGGTTGTAGTGACTTGGATCCTTCTCCGGTTCTGTCCCTGGCGGCGTACACTTCTTGATACCCTCCACGCTGATGCGCTGGAAGGGGGCTAGGACCCACGCATTCGTCTCGATGGCATATGCCGGCGTGATCAAATCAGCCCATTGCTCTCCCGTGTTGGTCGCCGTGTCTGGAGACTGCCGCGTGCACTCGCCTGCGGCAATGGGCCAAGCAGCGATGTGAACTTGCTCTCCACAGGACACATTCAAACATTTCATAAAGGGATTCATGTTCTCCCAGCAGTTCAGCTGGCCCAGCCTACCAATGTCCGTCTGGGTGACTGACATGAAAGTGTCGCCGGAACCATCACCGTAAATGAGCTTCTCGACGTGGCTTGGCTTGATCTTGCGGCGATGATTGAGGACCTCTCCGTTCGGTCCAATCAGCACTTGTGCGAGGAAGCAGGTTGCATAGTCGATCTCTGAGAAGCCCATGGAGACGTAACTGGCGCTGGGTCAGAAGCTGGCCCTCATGGCCTCAAAAGGAGTACCGAGACCCACATTCGATTGTCTCGCGCCGCCCTACGGATACGCTTCATCTCTTCCGAATCAACCTCCAAGCTGTTCTCGCGATACGCCTTGATCATCGGAAGGGACTCCAGATAGTTGACCTGCTATGATGAGCAACAGAGCATGATGACTGGCCGCCTGCAAGCAAACTTTGTTTACCTTCCAGAGCCAGTATGGGTACCCTGGAATCCCTACAAAATACGTTAAGAGTATGCCATTAACATCATATATTTCGCAAAGCACACTCACAGACTTCTGGGAACGCTACCAGCTTGCAACCAGCCTTGCCTGCTTCATTGATATAGTGCACGGTCTTCTGCACACACAATTCCAAGTCGAACCACTGGCAGAATCAGTCGAAAGTCAATGATGCTCTTCACGGGATTCAGGTCGACCAACACCTGGCTCCGCTTGCACCTATAATGACCAGGTCAGTCAGCCTATACCGTCGGGCCGAGACCACGTGGGCAGAGAGGGGAAGGTTAACATACAGCCGCAGCCTTGTATTTCTGAACAGGGGCAGGCATTGTTGCTGATGATTGGGGTCGATGAGACCAACTTCGCAAACACAGGGAGGCTGCTGTTGTGAGCAAAGAGAAGTTCTCAATTCTTGAGAGGTCCAACATGATCGTCTGGTGCTCCCACAGCCGTATTAGTATCCGACTTCTTCGTCAGATGATAGAATGCCTTATCGCATCGATGGAAGAACATTCCGGTACATGCAGGTGCCATGGCAGGATGTCGCATGTATGTGTTAAATCCTGATAAGGATCGACTGGTATTCACATGCTGATCAGTGCAATTCCAGCCCATCAGTAGCCCTCTCCTCTTACAGCATCACAAAGATAAGCAACTTCCGGCTTTTCACATGCCTATTACTATCTCTTTTGGGTTTAATAGAGCTATGGATGGGAGCTTCCCGCGCAAAACATACCTGTAAGTTCCAGCAAAGGTCATTTCCGCTTTGAGCTCAAGTCAGGCCTGAGCAGACGACCATTTACTCATTCAATCAACTACCTTGCCACAGCTTTCGTTACCGATAGCTGGTTTGACTGTAATTTGTTGAAGATTGTCGGATGTTCGTTTGTCCGGCAATCACAGCGTATATACAAGTAAATAAGGCTGGATCAGACGGAGAAGGAGGGTCTTCCACCTGTGCCTGGACCTGAATATTAGCAACAGATCGAATTCGTCTCCTGATCCAAACCAGGGACAAAAGGTCGATACGGTCGAACTTACTTCTAGGTATTCCTTGAGGGCGGCCTCAATCAATCCGAGCTCCACAGCACATGAAAAGATCAGGACCAAAGTCCTTGATCTTTCTACGGGTAAGCAGCATGTCCACATGCATCAGCGCCAGGGAGACCGCATCAGTGCTCTTCAACTCAACTGTGACTCCCCAGCCATTGGCCATGCCATCGACTCCAGGAAATTGACATACCAAGAAGAGCGGGGTCAGATAGGGCGGAAGGCACCAGCCATGGAGCCGGGTAGTCCAGATGGCCATTCCATATCAGCTTCGCTGACCAGACATGAAGCAGCTGCAGTTGTGGGACCTGGAAGGAGAACTCGCCGCCGAAACGGTGTCATTCGATACAGACCGGCAGCAAGTCCTCACGCGGATCCCAAATCTTCTTCCCTTCAATTGAGAGTGGTGCCATGTCACTTCCAGGAGAGAATCGCTTGGGTGCTTGCAGTGGCTACGTAATGCCCTTTCTCGGGAATCTGTGGTGTGTGACCTGTTGCACGCGAGCAGCATGTGAGACAGTGATCGTGCTGGCGAGGTGAACGAGGTGAAGATGAAGTCCTCACTGGGGCGAAGTGTTGCGAGTTCGCAGTTGGGCACGTGCAGGCGCGTTGTGGTCTGAGCTCATAATCCCTGCAAGTCGCGTCGCCAATCGCGTCTTGCCCATCTCGACTTCACTTTCCACCTTTCACACACCGAGACATGATCCGGTCATCACGATGAAGCCATTCAAACCACCAAGTCGTATTGGCAGCTTATCGACTTCAAGCTCAGCGACATTTGCATCATCACCGCCCAGAGAGCCGCCTGCCAAGAAGCGGCGAATCAGTCAGGACGACGAGGACCAGGAGCAAGCTGCAAATCTCGAGGCTTCTGTCGCGGCTGCCAACGTCTTGAAAGTCAAGCCATTCCAAGTACCCAAGAAGTTTGTTGCCCCCGCTCGAAAACCACTGGAGCCTCTCAGCGTGCCGAATGGATCATCCCAAGGCGAGCCGAAGGCAGAAGCCCTGGCTGAGAGCTACTACATTGTTGTGTGGCGGAAATTCACCATGAAGAAGAACAAAACTTGGGATGGTGACGGTGTCCTCTCTGTCAAAGGCACCTATGCGACTCTTCAAGACATTTCTGGTGGCAAAGAACTTGGCCGTGGAGTGTGCAGAGGCCCTCTTCTCCCCGGATCCGAGCTATCACTGGGCGGCAAAGAGATTGAAGTCGACTCCATAATTTCCAAGGAAGACTACCTGGCCGGCAAGCCCTTTCTTAGTAAGACCAAGAGTGCTCCGCCGCCATCTCTCAAGGAGATCAACGGAACCGATCGAGTGACCCACAAGGAACAAGCCCGGTTTAAGAAGCTGGCTGTCAACCAGAAGGAACGACTCGTCAGGACTGCAGCGTCAAGCAATGCAGCAAAGTCAACCTTCAAAGCTCCGTTGAAGAACAACACTGTTCAGGTAGCACCCAGAGAGTCCAAGAAACCAGTCCCACGACACGATCCCTCAGCTGAGAACGCTTTCGTGATGAAGAGGCTAGAGAGTGTACCCAGAGGAAAGCAAATCGTCGACGTTGTAATGGATCCACTCCTCAACAAGGCTCTTCGTCCCCATCAGCGTGAGGGAGTTGCTTTCTTGTACGAATGTGTGATGGGCATGAAAGGATACACCGGCGAGGGCTCTATACTAGCCGACGAGATGGGGTTGGGAAAGACGTTGCAAACGATCGCCTTACTGTGGACGTTGATGAAGCAGAATCCAGTATACGAGGATCCTCCAGTCGTCAAAAAGGCACTCATAGTGTGCCCCGTCACACTCATCACCAACTGGCGCAAAGAGTTCCGCAAGTGGCTGGGGAATGAACGCATTGGTGTATTCGTTGTCGACAACAACAAAACTCGTCTTACGGACTTCACGAAGGGCCGTCAATACCATGTTATGATCATCGGCTACGAAAAGCTCACCAAGGTCATCGATCAGTTGCAGGGAGACTGCGGCATCGACATAGTCATCGCCGACGAAGGCCATCGACTCAAGACTTCGAAGAACAAGGCCGGGCTTGCCATCAGGTCCCTCAACACCGAACGCAGAATCATTCTGAGCGGCACACCTGTGCAGAATGATTTGGAAGAATTCTATCAGATGGTCGACTTTGTCAATCCTAGTATCATGAGCAAATACACGACCTTCAAGAAGGAGTTTGAGACGCCTATTGAAAAGATGCGTCAACCAGAGGCCACCAGGAAGGAGGTGGAGCTGGGTGCGGCTCGTTTGAAGGAACTCATGGAACGCACCGGCATCTTCATTCTCCGGCGCACTGCAGAAATCCTGTCAAAGTACCTGCCGCCCAAGACGGAGTACGTGGTGTTCTGCAGACCGACACAGGCGCAAGTGTCTGTTTACCGTACCATTCTCGGCACGCAAGCCTTCAAGGTCGCCTTGGATACACCGAAGTCTGCGCTTGGACTTATCAACGTCCTGAAAAAGGTCTGTAACAGCCCCTCCCTGCTTTTGGAGAAGAACAACAAGGGCGAAGAGGCTACCGATGTCCAGTTTCTTGAGGGCGTGTCTTCATCGTCGCTCAACCGCGGCGCGAGTGGAAAGTTGCAGGTTCTGGACTCGCTCTTGCACCAGATCCACAGCACGACTGACGAGAAGGTGGTGCTGGTGAGCAACTACACTCAAACCCTCGATGTTCTGGCCAAGCTTCTGACTTCACTGGACTATCGTTTCATTCGGCTGGACGGATCGGTTGCTCAGAACAAGCGCCAAGATCTCGTGGACCGATTCAATCGGTCGCCAAAGAGCAACTCGTTTGTCTTCTTGCTGTCAACGAAAGCAGGCGGGTCTGGTCTCAACCTCGTTGGTGGATCTCGACTCATTCTCTTCGATTCGGATTGGAACCCTGCGAACGATGCCCAGGCAATGGCGCGGATCCATCGAGATGGACAGAAGCGGCCCTGCCACATCTATCGTCTCCTGACACAGGGTGCTCTCGATGAGAAGATCTACCAGCGCCAGGTCAGCAAGACAGGACTTGCAGACAGCGTTGTAGACAGCAAATCCACTGCCAACAGTTTTACCAAAGCGGAGCTGCGCGATCTGTTCACCTTCGACGAGAGTCAAGATTGCCAGACGCACAAACTGCTCGGATGCGACTGCGGTGGGACTGGACAGCCTGTTGAACCGCCTGCCGAGGACGTTGTGGAGGAAGTGGAGGTCGATGAAGAGACTGGCATTGAGATTATGCGGCTGGACCAGAGCGATGACGAAGAACTGCCTGTCGTTCCGGAGTATAGCAGCAAACTTGTGAAGCTTTCGGAAGTCGATCGGGATGCGCAGGAGGCGGAGATTGCGCGCGAGAAGCGCGGAAAGGCGAAGATGTTGAGCTTGATGCGGTATACGCATTTCGATACGGCAAGGGTGAAGGAGAAGGTTGCTTCGAGCGAAGAGGCGGATGAGGAGTCTGAAGTCTCGGAACTGAATGTTGTCGATACGGCTATTGAGGACGCTGCGCTGCGGAAGGTGGTTTGCGAGGAGGGTGGTAGAGTTGGGTTCGTCTTTGCGAAACTGAGCTGCTGATGTTGCCGATAGACTTGCTTGCTCATGATGGACCCGATTTGCTTGTGGCTTTTTGCAAAGACATAGCATTCATGACAGCTCATAGATGTCGACATAGATGGTTGACGAATGAGCCCGCAGCTTCGTCGTCCGCTTAGAGTATTGTCCTGATGCTTCGACGTGTAACTCCCAGCAAGTCCCGGTGACTGCTTCCGTGCGAGGTGTTGGGCCTGATGCCGTCTGCTTTTAGTCTCGACAGCCTTGGGATCTGGACTGCTTCCCATGCAATTGCGCCTTCGGGGGCCCTGTGGTCGAAGCTAGACTCCTGCCAGAGCGAATAGATCCTCGCAGGTCTTAGAGACTCTTGACGTATGGTTGTTCCCCTCGGCGGTCGTGCAGCAGGGCATACGTAGCGGTTTCTTGTGTCCGTCACTGCACGGAATGCCTTGCCAAAGACTCCATGCCTAGACCAGGATATCCGCCGCTCCCATCGTGTCCAAATCTTCTAATATAATACTGCTCATAGCATCCCATCTCTTCATCCCACCCATCACTCACTCAATCCCCTCGCCCACCTTAACCCCCCTCACCCCATTCTGCCTCTCACAAATCCACTGGCCCCTAATCCTCTTCCACATATTCACATACACCCCCTCCCTCTCCACGCCCTCCGGATGGCCCCAAATCCTCAACTTAAACCACACCAACGCCTTTCCCTTCGCCTCATCCACGCTCGCCTCCACCTCAGCCAATTCAAAACGGTAGTTGACATTCTCGGCGACGAGCGTGCGGTAGCGGTTGATGAAGGCTTCGCGGGTGGTGACGTAGGGGGAGGATGTAAATTCCATGTAAGCGGCCATGTTCGGGGAGAGGTGGGTAGTTAGGAGGGGGTTCTCGAAGTCCCGGGCGTTGAGGGCGGAGACGATGTGGTGGTGGAGGGATTCGAGGAAGAGGGCTGTGGGGCATTTGGGGGGTTTGAGGGAGGGGGTGGTGGAGGGTGGGGAGAGGATGTCGAGGGAGGTGAGGGGTTTTTTTATTAGGGAGGGAGGGGGTTTGGGGGATTGGGTTGAGTCTGATGAGGTGTTTGTTGATTCGGGCGTGGAGGAGGAGTCGGCCATTCTTGTGGGTGTGGGTTGTCGGTATGAAGCTGGAGAGATGGAGGATGGCGGAGATGTGCTCGTAAGTTCTGCTTCCTTTTGGGAGCTGAGTGAGGAGAAGAGGGGGAGTGAGAGGATAACAGTTGTTGTGATACTTGGATACCTGCCATTCGGATCCTGGAGCAGGTCATACCACTGCGAGGATTCTACCGCTTTGGCGGCTTAGGATGAGGGTGGTAGGCTCGTGCTGCACGACGTCAAAGGGAAGGGCCGGCTGAGGTTCGGGTAAACTTTGAAATCGCAAGGTGGCTTTCCCCGATCCAAATAAAGACTCCAGCGCATGTGCTCTCCAGCATCGTCACCACCAACGCTCACGGCCAGCTGTACAACTTCTTCCACTCCTTAAGGACATGCCCCGGGTCCGTTGAATTCTTCAATCAGCCCCCAGACTGAGCACGACGCTCGACCAATTCCACCCTCTCCGCCAAAATGTCCAACGAGTACAATTACGACGCCGACGCGCAGTTCTTCCCCTTCTTCGTCCTGACCGTCTCCTCCTTGGTCACGCTCCCCTTGACATACTCCCTCCTCCGCACGCCTACCGATGTCACCGCACAAAACAAGGCCGGCCACATCAGCTCCTCCTTCAAACCCAACGATGCCGACATCATCGACACCCAGCGCGCAAAGCAGAAGCGTAAGGAGCTTCGTCTCAAGCGCATGCTCACAGCCGCCACCGGATGGCTGCTCATGGCCTACATGGTCTACCTCATGATTGTGACCGCGCGCACCCAGCCCAAGATTTGGAATCCCTACGATATTCTGGATATCGGCATGTCTGCGACCGAGAAGCAGATCAATTCGAGATACAGGAAGCTTTCCACGACGATGCATCCGGACAAGAGGAGGCCGAATCCTGCACTGAATGAGACGGCGGATAGTATCAATGACCAGTGGGTGGAGATTGTCAAGGCGTACAAGGCGCTCACGGATGAGGAGATCAGGAACAACTTCATTCAGTATGGAAACCCGGATGGCAAGCAGAGCACTAGCTTTGGTATTGCATTGCCACAGTTCTTCATCGCTGAGGGCAGTGGCAAGTTCGTGCTGGCTTTCTACGGAATTCTGCTGGGTGTCGGCCTTCCTTACCTCGTGGGCAAATGGTGGTACGGCATGCAGAAGGTCACACGAGAGCGAGTGCTGGTCACCACTGCTGGGAACATGTTCAAAGAGTTCAACGAGCGCATGGATGCTGGAGATGTCATGTCTGCTGTCAGCAGTGCACTGGAATTCAAGGATATTCTGCACGGGACGAAGGCTGACACTGGACTTGGCAAAGTTGAGAACAAGCTGAGCTCGTCAGAGGAAACATCTACTGCTATGCTGCCTAAGGATAAGGCGAAGCTGAAGGATCTTGAAGACCCTGCGAGAAGGAAGACGCTTGCGTTGCTGTGGGCATACTTGACTCGATTGGATCTGGACGACAAGACACTTGAAGCTGAGAAGTACGAGCTTCCACCTACTGCTCTGCAAATGAACGAGGCCTTCATCTCGATCTGTTTGGCGTATGGCATCACCGCTCCTGTCATGGCCTCATACCATTTGAGCCAAAGTCTCGTCCAGGCAGTTCCACCGACCAAGGTTGGACGTGCTCCACTGCTTCAACTTCCACACTTCACCTCTGGCATTGTACGCGAGATTGAGTCTACTGCCAACACCAAGAAAGAGCACATGACCGTCCAGTCGTTCATGGCTTTGCCTGCTGAACAGCGTCAAGCCCTGGCTCAAGCTGCTGGTCTTACCAATGACCGTCTCAAAGTTGCTGAGAACGTCGCGCGGCAATTACCCTATCTCAAGGTGGAGAAGGCTTGGTTCAAGGTGCAGGGCGAGAAACACATCATCCCCTCGTCGTTGGTGCAGTATGTCGTGAAAGCTCGATTCATCCCTCCAGGCACACCAGCATCCAGCATTCCGCCCGTGGACGAAAAGGATTTGCTTGATGTTGATCCCGCCGAAGGCGATATCAAAGCACAGAAGATCGAACCCGAACAACATCATGTACCGTTCGCGCACGCACCATACTTTGCTCGCGACCGATCACCAAAATGGCACGTCTTCCTTGCCGATAACCGACAAGGAAAGATTGCAGTGCCGCCGTTTACTTTCACCACCTTCGATAAGAAGCCGTTTGATGTCGATGGAACCCCTACTTTCAATGTCGTTACTTTGAAGATGCAGTTCGCTGCACCGCCACAGCCTGGCGAGTACAAGTTCCAAATGCATCTGTTCTGCGACAGCTACATTGGCTTCGACCACAAGCAAGAGGCTAATCTGATGATTGAGGATGCTGCAAAGGCTGCGGCGGTGGAAGTTGATGATATCTCGGAGCCTGAAGAGGGTGAGTCTGGGTGAATTGAACCTACAGAGCTGGAAGCTAACAGAATTGTAGACTCTATTGCAGGCCAAATGGCTGCTCTCCAAGGCAAGCCAACTGCTGATGCTAACCGCCCCCGCCGATCCAAGAGGCAGCTCGAGGAGGCGGCCAGAAAGGAGAAGGGCGAGGACGATGAAAGTGACTACGAAAGTGGCACTGACGATGAAGACCAAGAAGAGGAAAGCGAGACTGACACCGACACGGACTCTGAGGCTGAAGACGAGAAGTCGAAGAAGTCTGGCTGGTGGTAAATGTTACTTTTTCATCGTAGTGTATTGGGAAATCATAGCGCTGGCGTCGGGAGTGAGGTGTAACATAGTTGCAGCAGTGATAGTAGGCATCACGAATCGACAGAGCATTTGTTGGCCTTTTTTTCAAGCCCCCCTTCCACACCACTATCTATCTCTTTTCTTATTCGGGTTGGACGTTCTCCGCGGCAGATGCTCGATGGGGACGGAAAGAAGGCGGAAGATCTCGAAGCTTGTTTGGAGCTCTAGTTGTCGAACACGGTCGATCATGGCGTATCTTCTGCAGGTGGACGGGCACGTCGATTTGATGTGCCGCCGCTACTGGGATTGGAGAGTCTCGATTGGTAGGTTGTTGACGGGTTTGGATGGGGTGGTGGTGAAGTCATCAAAAGCAAGATCCTCCATACCTTAAAGGCTATGGCCGTCTATTTTGTCGATTGCATTCTCGCAAAGAGACAATGGTCTGTTAGAGCAAGCAAGACAGGCCCTGAGCATTGCAACACTCTCTACGTTCGGGAGTAAGGACGATGGGAGACAAGCTCGAAAGAGCTGCACGACGCTCGGCGACGTCTGCGGATGATGTGGAGAGTGTGGTGAAAGAGAAGGACGAACGACTCGATGATGAGAGTGGAGATGCGGTTGTAGGAACCCAGGAAGAAGACTCGTCAGGGAAACGAGACGCCTCGAACGAATACAGCGCCTCGCCCATCCCCGACGGCGGTCTCTGGGCCTGGCTCCAAGTCCTCTCGGGCTTCATGCTCTACCTGAATTCCTGGCAAGTCGAAAGAACCCTTTCCCATCATCGCAGCTTATTCTAACTTTCCTCGCCACGTCCAGGGGCATCGTCACCTCCTTCGGCGTCTTCCAATCCTTCTACGCCTCCACATTCCTCGCGACCTCCTCCGCCAGTACAATCGCGTGGATCGGCACCATCCAAGGCTTTCTCCTCGCTTTCACCTCCGTCTTTGCGGGCCCGATTCTTGATCGTGGACATCCTCATACGCTTATCCTGCTGGGAGGGTTCCTTGTCGTGTTTGGGCTTATGATGACGAGTCTGTGCTCGACGTACTGGCAGCTGTTTCTCGCCCAAGGTGTCTGTGTGGGACTGGGTGCTGGACAGATTTTTATCGTCGCTGTTGCGGTTTTGCCGGGTTGGTGGGAGAGGTGGAGGGCGCTGGCGACGGGGTTGAGTGCGGCGGGGAGTGCGGTTGGCGGTGTTATCTACCCCATTGTGTTCCACCGCTTGCAGCCGGTTCTGGGTTTCGCATGGGCTGTCCGAGTACTGGGATTCATCTCGCTGGGGACATTAAGCATCAGCCTAGCCGTGGCAAGAATGAGGACGAAACCACCCCCAAGACCCAAAATCATCGACTTCACCGGCTTCAAAGAACTCCTCTTCACACTCTTCTGCCTCCTCAGCTTCCTCGGCGCCATGGGCCTCTACGTCCCCTACTTCTTCATCTCATCATACGCCCGCGAACGCGAAGGCCAACCAGGCGACCTTTCCTTCTACATGCTCCCCATCCTCTCCGCCGGCGGCATCCTGGGCCGCTCCCTCCCGGGCCTCCTCGCCGACCGCTTCGGCTGCCTCCAAACCCTCACCTTCACCACGAGCGTCTCCGCCCTCCTCGCCTTCTCCTGGATCGCCGTCACCACCTCCAAAACCGCCCTCATCGTCTGGTCGCTCCTCTACGGCGTCTTCAGCGGGCCGTTTGTCAGTCTCCAGACGCCGACGATTGCGGCTATTACCCCCGATATGCGACTTGTGGGCGGCAGGATGGGTATGAGTACGTTTTGTCTGGCGTTGGGGGTTTTGGTGGGGAATCCTATTGCGGGGGCGATTCAAAGTCGTGGGCAGTGGGTTGGGTTGCAGGCTTTTTGTGGGGGGACGTTGGTGTTGAGTGCGTGTTTGACGGGGGTTACGATGGGGTTGAAGGTTCGGGGGGAGAGAAGAGAGGAGGAAGAAGAGGACGACTGATCATTCCGTGAAGGACGGTCCAAGCCATTGAGGTTGTTAGGTACAGTCTTTGAGCTGGTAGGCCCGGTTAATTCAATCACTGCACGGAAACGTTACTCTGATCGATGTCATGGTCAATGCTTTGTCTTCATCGCTGTAGCCTATGCGATCGGCCTCGATCAGGCGTGCCTCTCGTGTTGGCATCTTGGTCTGGAAGAAGGGTGGTGCGGTGTGGACGAGGACTGTGAAAAGATTAAGATACTTTCCCTCGGCATAAGTCTGTCAAGGCAAGAAGCTGTATCCGAGAGTAGGACTGTAGTCGTGTCAGGGGGCAGATTGGTCTGCAATGGGCTGCAAAGCTTCCGGGACGCTGACTTTGACAAGCTGGGGCTTCCGGTTCTGTGGAAAACTTTCTTTCAACTTCACTTGGCTATGTGATATGGAAGGCACGTCCAATTTTTTTTCAAATATCTTTTCCTGGCAATATACATATACAGCCAGGTCCACCTATGAATCGGTCGAGCCACACATCTGATGTGCAGCCAAAGTAGGTCGAACTCAACGAGTGAGCGACCGCAGAGTCACGCACTTGTTGCGAGATGGTCAAGCTCAATGAGTGAGCGATGGTACATTCACGCACTTGTTGCCAGAGGGTCGAGCTCAACGAGTGAGCGACGGCAGAGTTACGCACTTGTTGCGAGAGGGTCCAGCACAACGAGTGAGAGACAATAGAGTCACGCACTTATTGCGAGATGGTCAAGCTCAACCAGTGAGCAGTGGTACAGTCACGCACTTGTTGCGAGAGGGTCGAGCTAAACGAGTGAGCAACGACAGTGAAGATGGGGAGCCCGGCTGTGTATGTATAGCCTTGAAGAACAGCAGAAGAAGGACTGGCAGTGCCGAAGCACGCCTATCGGCGCCTCCCACGCTTCCCGCCTGTTCGATCAGACGGAGACACGCTGCCCTTCTCATCGTCAGATTGAACATCTGATGACGTCTCCCCCAGGGCCAAAGCTTGATCCATGATATCGCGCGGATATTCTTCGATTCGTGGTGGTGGTGTCGCACCAAAGACCAAAGCTTGAGCCACGATATCGTTTGGATCTTCTTCGTTTCGTCGTAGTGAAAGGGCCAAGGCTCTATTTATGATATCGCGCGGATCTTCCTCGTCTTCAGACATATTTCGGAGCTCTTCCATGTCGTCGTCAATGGCCTGTGCTTGCTGTGACGGCGGCAGACGGTCGAATTCCTCGTCGTCTATCTTCTGCCGCTTAGCACCATGTCGGGATTTCTTGCCCTTGTTCTTCTGCGACTTTCGCGGGATGCCCAGTTCAATGTTCTTGCGTGAGAGAGCTCTCTGAACTTCGTGAAGCTCCTTATACTTCATCTGTACTTCCTTCTCCATCATCTGTTTATCCCATTGACTCATTCTGGCCTTGTACTTCCACGACTCTAGCTCGTCTTCAAGGTCTTTCTCCCGATTTGATCGGTGATTCCGGTTGACAGTATCTCGGAGCTGTGAAGGTGCTCCTTGACCAAATAGCGGTCGACGTTGGCGATGACCTTGGTGAATATTCGGTTTGGTGACCTGGGACAGTCGCGACCCAAAAGCGATGCCGTCTCGACTTCGCATTTGTTGCACGTACTCGTCCAAGTATTCGCTCTTTCCTGGTTCGGCCCTGAAGCTATCGAGCTTGGGATTCTTCGCATTCGAGTTTCGTATCAAGTCCCATGCGTGTTTTCTGATGTCACGCATCTGATATTGACTCAAATCGTGCTTGGTTTGCGCAACGGGTGGAGGGTTGGAACGAGGGTTCCGATTCGTCGACGCATAAGTATTGCGTCGCTGGTTATTCGGGCGATGTGGCTTGCCGGACGGGTATTGCAATCCGTTGTTGTACGTCGGCCCTTGATAAATGACTTGACTTGGCAGGTGCGGGTTGAACCCTTGGCCATTGTAGTCATTCGTGCCCACTGTGCGCTGAGGCGCGAGCTGTCGGGCGTTCTCGGTGCTACTGACTGTCAGTTGCTGGTCTAGAACGTGGGATGTGCTCTGCTCACGTTGTATCAATTGAATTCAGAAGATTGTCCAGTGAGCGGCAGGAATTCCCGCCTCTGCGGCAATTCGTGCAAGAATGTCGGGGGTGGCCATCCCAATCGCACTGTTTCGCGTGGTTAGAATCGCTCTCATGACATCGAGGTGGCCATGTACTTACATCGAGGCGCTTCAAAATGCATCGATGGCAATCCTCATAATCTGGTTGATCATTCTCGTAATTCATGTCGCGGGAATCGTTGGGGTCGTTGGTTGCCATGATGGTTTTCGATGGCGAGGGGGTGTGGTGATGTTCTCGATGAGGAAGAGGCGGAGGAGCAGAGCAAGCGCGAGCGAAGCCGGACACGCTCGAATCCCAAGTCTTGGCGTCACATGCACACGCGAAACGCGTCGCGGTTTCTCAATTGTCTCGCGAACCGAGCTTTGATTCAAAATTCATTGAGAATCTGTTTGCAGATGTCTTTGACACCATTTCTTCTTTCGTCTTCCTGAGTTTCCCAGCCTCACGACCTTCTTGCAAAACGAGACGTGGCTGAGGACTAGCGATTGAGGCTCTTGCGAAAGATGAGAAGAATAAGATGTGTCAATTCTTGTCTCTTGCCAAAGATGCTGGAGGACGGCTGGAATATGCTGTCGAGACGGTCAAGGCATTGAAAGCAGCTGGGATCGATATTCTTTGGTAACGATCCCAAGCTCACAATCAAGCAAAGATATAACCTGACCTGTTCCAGTGGTACAGATGCAACCAAAACCTCCCTTGGCACCGCATGTGGCTTGTCGCTCCACCAAGAACTGGCTATGCTTGTCGAACTCTGCGGCTTCACGCCGTTTGAGGCATTGCAGACTGCTACTCTTTTGCCAGCGAAGCGACTTCATCTCCAGGATCGTGGCCAGATCCATGAGGGCCTCCGTGCTGACCTTGTCTTGGTTGAGGGAGAATCTACGGAGAATATTGATAATACGCTGAACCTGAGGGCGTTTGGATTCAAGGGAAATTGTGTTCCTATTACGGAGGAACAGTTTGACACAGTTGAGTATTGTCCATGCATGAAACACATTCGAAGCGATATGGCCTCCGTATTGTGAAAAGGTTTTGTCTACAATAAACTCCGCATGAGTGAACCCGAGTAGCTTGAAGTTTGATGCCTTAGGCATCAGCAAGGCTCCTGGTCCGTGCTTTGGGTTTACCTTGCCACTCAAACTTTCGACTATCAGGTCCTCGCTCTCAATGACGGCCAACATCCAATTCATCGCGTCTGCATCAAATAAAGTCATGTATTTTCGCTATGCTGCTGCTCGTGACCTCCCGATTGACTTCCTGATTTAGCACGGGCGCTCTGCCGTGCAACATACACGGCCGGCACGACTTCACAAATGGCCGCAAACAGCATGAATGCCCCCGCAGCCCCTTGAGCATGTGCGAAATGGTCGAGCCTGCTAGTGGTGAGCGCTCCAGCAATTGGATTACCGACTAAGATGCCAATGCCAGCACGTGCGTACGCGATGCCCATCCTAGTGCCGATGACCTTCGAAGAAGGGCATAGCAGAGGTACACAGGCTGCTGGAAGCGCCACGATGCCATAGAAAAGAAGCCAAACAGGGTTACCCATACGATTGTTCCCGCATTGCTTTGCACTGGAATCCAGCAGAGGATCAGAATGAAGATGGCCGCCATCGAGAATGCAAGTGTCGGCAAAGCGCCCAGCTTGTCCGCAACAAACCCCGGTACCGGGCGACCTGGAAAGCTTGCAGCATTGACAATGGCCAAGAGGTAGAATGAGAGATCTGCAGACGTCCCAATGACGTATTTAGCGAAAGGTGTGATGAAGAAATACGGGACGTAATACGCCAGCAGCGCCATGAAGCCGCCAGACAGTACATTGCGAAGGCGGGCTCTGTGAAGGCCTTCCTGTCGACCAGACGTCGGACTTTCGGCGGTGTAGGAGAATTCTTCGGAAGCATGATTGCGATCGAGCAGATGCAGCATGCAAGTGCAACGAAGCCCATGATCCGCACAGCCCATCCAAAGCCAAGACTCGGCTGCAACTGTCTGAACATGATGGGATAGACGACTCCGCCTACAAAGAACACGGTCAGCTGTCGAATACAATCCGTACTGGTTTCGGCATTTGCACCCACCAATGGTAGCACCAGAAGTGGACAAGCCGATGGCAATGCCTGCAAACATGTCATGGGAATTGAGCTCCCAGAGACTATCGAGCGCAAGGGTGTGGAAATGCCACACTGGATGTATCGGCCTATGTTCCGTTACCTTTTCCAGATCCGCGAAAACAGATCGCGGCAAGAAGCCCAGGCCAGATCAGACATATACCATCCAAAACTCCCACGAGAAGCCGCTACGATAGAAGAAGCCTCTTCTCTCGCGACCTCCTGGCTGAAAACCAAGCTCGTCCAAGCCCTCGGAGTCGATGAGGAAGTCGTCGACCCGGCTGCACCTGCTCACTTGCATGGAGTGGACTCGCTGATTGCGATTGATGTGAAGAATTGGCTGGAACGGGAGATTGGCGCTGAAGTGCCGATTGTTAGGATTTTGGGGAGACGGCTTTGCAGGATTTGGCGGCTTTTGCTGTGTTGAAGAGTCAGTTTTGTACACATTTGACACGCCAGTCGGATTAGGATTGCTAGAGGATACAGTAGGCACCCAAAGTGATAGAGAGTACATACAAGGGTAACCGCATATCTCAGTGTCTTGGTCTTAGTAAGTAACAATAACCTCCCCGTTCCTCCAGACCCCATCCGCACCCCCGCCTCGAACCAGCTTCTCAAAAATCCATTCCCCATCCACCCTCCTATCAATAGAATACCCAACCGGCGGATCCTCTGGCAGACCTGCTCTGACATCCCCTACTCCCTTCTTCTCTCCATCCAGTAGTATACTTGGCCTCACCAAAATATACCCCTCGATGCCTTTTTGGTTCCCCTGAAGCTGCATGTATTCGTGAATCTTCGCTTCAAGTGCCACCTTATCCGCATGTGGCTCGGCGAGAAGCCAGTAATAGAATGTGAGGTAGAGGAGGGGGAGAGCCCGAGGCTTGCCTGGGGTCTGGACGCCCGCGGTTGAGATAGAGATTAACATCGGTTTCTTGCGCTTCGCATTGGGTTTCTGGAGTTCTTGGCAGGCTTGAAGAATGGTGGATATGCCGTCTGCGCAGATCGCTGGGTCGATCAACGCAAGCGGTTTGCGCGGACTCCATTGGAACTTGGGATATGCGCCGATTCCGCTGACGATGATATCTGCGTGAGCGAGGGTCTGTTTGACCGCTTCGAGGTCGCGGATGTCGCCTGGGATGATTTGGAGGTGCGAGTCGAGAGTAAAGCTATCGACGTCTTTCTCGTGCATGAAGGCGGTGAGTTTGGATGGTGTTCGAGCCAGAGCTGTGCAGGTGTAGCCTTGTTTGAGAGCCGCCGCGAGACATGAGCCGGCACAGCCTCCCGTTGCGCCGAAGAAGGCGAGGTTTTGGATCATGGTGTAGGTGACCTGGATGGCGCTGATGACTTGGGATGCATTGTTCTTCTGTAGAGGCTTAATGTAGTTCCCATATCGTCAATCGTTTCCATCCAAGGCGTTGCCCAAATCGCCCGTCGGCCTAATGTCACATAGTCCTTCTCACCTCCCGCGTCGAGCTTCGCACTCGCATCCTAACCATTGGGAAGTTCCACCGGGCCCGTCTGTCCATCCAGTACGCCTCAAGACGGCCAATGTCTTCGAAGCATCAAGGGGAGCCGCGTGAGGCTGGAGTCAGCTGCACAAAGCCTGCACAAAACTATGTCAGCGATACACTTATGAATAAGTCCGCGAGCTCTGCGAGGGCTTACGTGACTATGCTCGTTCAATACCAGCTCCATGGACCTTTTGATGCCAAAGCGAGACGTCCCATTTGGGCCTTTCGAGCGACTGGACCAATCGCTAAAGAAGGTTGGAAGTGTAGATGTCGATGCCGGGTTTAGATCCTCCACATTCACATTCGAGACTGCCCAGGCATTGACCCTAACCCTAATACTCTTCTTCCCGTCTCTTTACGATCCTGTCCACTACACTCTTCACATAATCTCACAGCCCGGCAGCCCAAGCGAACAGAAACCTCCGTTCTCGCCTCCAAACTCCTCACTCCCACACCACGGGAACAAGCCTCCACCAGGTCCTCGAATGCCAACATGCTTGTACATGATCCAGATGCTCTTGCCGCCCTCGCTTTCTCTCGCCTCCTTCCTCCAAAACACAATGCTGACACTCTCCCTTCCACTTCCCCACCTACCTCTGCCAATCCCCTCGTCTTCATCCGCAGTCTCGCACACGCCACTGGTCCCCCGACTCGTGAGCCATACGACCGCTTCTCGACCGCCTTCCTTAAGATCCACGCAAAAGTTGAAGGGGTCGACTCTCCATTCTGGGTTGACTTTCTTGAGCATTCGAAGACTCTGTAGGTGCTCTTCCAACGTTCTTGTCTGCACGAACAGACACTCGTGCACGCTCTCCGCGACCATTTCCAAGTCTGGTGAGGCGTGTCTTTGTACGACGGAAACAGAGCCTGGATCTGACGCTGATTGCGACTCCATGAGGGCTGCTGTGAGGAGCAAGAGGTAGGATGTTGTTGTCGAAGTGTACAAGTCGCCGTGAATGTTGTATGGATGTGTACGTAGAAGAGCAAGAAATCTTGCCATGCGAGCTTGGTGGCCAGGAGGCTCGGGTGGTCGCCATTCTTGACTTGAAATGCTGGAGACAGTTGTACAAATCGCCGAGTCGGCAGGTGAGGGTGGAGTGGATGACGGCTGGCCTTGTGTTGAACTTGATGTGGATAAGCTGACTTGTTGATTGGAGGGCTTCTTGTTCTTTGGCGTTTGCTTCCGCCGTTTGCTCGTCGCTGAGGTACGGACCTGTGCAGGCAGAGCGACACTGTTGCTCTCTGAAAGATGTCTTGGCTGCAGATGAGGTCCTCGAGTGGTTGATGAGCTCACATTTGCAGGAGTCAGCGACGTCGCCATGGCAAGCGGGATACTGATGGAGGAGTTCTGCTCGACTCATCAAGTGGTGATGGATTCTGAAGACTTTGTATTCGGCATCGCTCTTGTCGTCGGTCAGTCAAGGGATCGATACACCGCCACGGGAGGCGGAAGTAGAGTATACAGGCCGTGCTATCACCTTGGGCGAGGAATCTGTGGCCCTTGTCGTTCAGCTCGATGTGGAACGGAGGAAAGTGTCGTCTTTCCAATCTTTCCAAGGTGACACGGTTTCGTTCGCATTCTACGCCGCTTAGATGGCCTGGAAATAATGGAGAAGAATCTTCCGCTTCGAACAGAAATGTGAGGAGGGTATGTCAGCAAGGCACGAGCTGCTCGTACAGTCGGTCTACCCATCCCATGCCTGCGTGTGATCCCAGCACCCGTTCGTCGGATCTACAGCGACTAGGATGTCCTTGCATGATCAGGAACTCTTGTCTGAAAGGGGGAATTGCAGCGATTGAGAGATTGCGGACATTGATGAGTTTGACTCTTTGTTGAATTCATGTCATACGAGGGTAATATAGGTATGAGTGGGACTTACCACGGCTACAAGGAGCGCTGAGCACAGTGAGCGACCGCTCGAATAAAGGTCGACGGCTCGACCTTCATTCGAGGAGCGAGGGAGAGGGGACCACTCGAACAGTGGTCGACAGCAATATCGAACTCAACCACAGCTACGAGGAGCGAGGGAGTGCAACCGCTCGAATAGCGGTCGTTAGTAATGTCAAACTCAACCACGGCTACGGGGAGCGAGGGAGTGCGACCACTCGAATAGTGGTTGACAGCAATACTGAACTCGACCCCAGCTAGGAGGAGTGAGGGAGTGCGACCGCTCTTGTAGTAGTCGACTGGAGAGGAGGAAGGAGAGGGGAGCCAATAGGCCATCACCTACTCGGATCGACCATGAGCTTAGAAAAACCCATAGTCTTCGTACACGACCCCATTGTCATCGGGATCAGTGTCGTTACTGCTCTGGGTAGTAGCAGTGGTAGCGGCTGCCGGCTGTGTGTTGCCAGCGCCGTTGGTGGTGCCGTTCTCATTGCGAGGAGCAGGCACGACTGTGTTATTCTGCTGCTGTGATGCAGCGACGGTGGGAGTCTGCTGCTGCTGGGCCGAGGCAGCGGAACTGTTCTGTGCAGGCTGAGCCCGCGAGCCAGGGGAGGCATCGGAGGACTGCTTTTGAGCAGGAGAATTTTGCCGATTCCGCTGTGAATCTGCCTTGGAATCATGCAGATTCGCCTGTGGCCTTGCCTTCGAGATTCTATTCGTGGCGCGGGAATCGGCAAGCGCGTGTCTTGATCGAAGGAGCTGCTCAAGGTTAGTTCATCGTCTTCTCTGGAATTCACGGGCGATGGACATACCTCTTCTCCCGGCCATGGGCGCGGTGACTTGCCGTCTGGATCATTCTGCTCGGCCTTGGCTGGTTTGTAGCCGTAGTATTCAACATATCGGAATCTTCGGTCGCGGAAACCACTGTCATCTCGAGTCGACCGTGATACCGTGAGGAGCTGCTGCCAGTTGACATACATCACTTTGGTCCGTACCGCATTCTTGAACGTCTGCGACGCATTCGGTCGCTCACTCGCGCCAATCATTGCCATTATCGTCTTGGCCTCGTCATTCGTTGGCCACTTGCGTGGCCGGTTGTTTGCCGTTTTTGTGTACACTTTGACGATGGTCTAAAGTACGGTGGTGTTGTTGGAGAAGAAGAGAGGGTTCCAGAGCAAGACCGATCTTGAGACGCGCTAGGCTCGGCAGCAGCCGACGATTTCCTCGGCGGCGGCATCCGTATGAGGATCTATGAGGAGATTCAAGTTGGCTGAACGATGGTGAAAGTCTGATTCGATGCTTTTCATGTGTCGATGTACATATATCTATCATCTCACTTTCATACCTTCCTTGTTCTTCCCACCGCTGATCTGCCTCAATCTCTCCACAGCACCCTTGGGCTTGCCATTTTCGAGAAGCGTGTTGCCAGACATGCCGCTGCTGAAGGACTCGGTGCTACCGACCCTCTCCATCACGGGCATGCGCATCAGGCCCCTCACGCCACCAGCTTTCCTAGCAGGCAGGTCGCCCTCCCCGGCGGTGGCAACGTACAACAGGTACTTCAGATTCGGTAGTGTTTGCCGGATGTCCAGCACTTTCAAGTTGAATGCATTCTCCAGCAGGACACGGATGTCCTGATTGATGAGAAACACAGCATACTCGAAGCGGAAACGGGGGACTCCTTTCGTGAACAATGGGTAGGTCCGCAAGGTAGTTTCGTCACCTTTGCGAGAGGGGAATGTCGTGTTCGATTTGAGGATGCTGATCGTGTCGTAGACCGTACTGACACTGCCCAGGGGAGACACTGGATATGGCAGGGCTTGCTTGAGGTAGAAGGCCAGCATCTGCAGCACATGTGCCACGAAGCCTAGCGCAGCAGATATTGTTTCAGGAGTTTCAGAATCAAGATCTTCGGAATTCGGAAGATGCAGGTCCCGTATGGTAAACGCCAGAGTCTTTCCTGCCAGCGGTTGAATCGGGTAACAGTATTGCAGGTCCTCGCAAATTCGTCGTCGTTGATTCTGGACATCCTTTTTCCTGGCGCTGTCCTCCTGACGCATTTCCGGAAACTTGGGTCGTTGATCCTGCATCTCTTGCGTCTGAGCCTCTCGAGCGAATGCATCTGATTGCATGAGTTTTCTTCTTGCGGCGAGTGAACCACGCTTCTCTTCCTGTTGTTTTTGAGCCTTGTCGAGTTGTTTTTCTACAGTCCTCTTGGCGAACTCAATGGTTTTCAAGCGGTCTCTAGCTTCAGCAACTTCGTCTTGCTCAAGCAAAGACTCCTTGTTACGCTGCAATAGGTCTTCCAGGTCATTTGCTATTTGGTTTCGCGTCGCCAAGGCATCCTGGATGCTATCGTCCAGCTTCGATAGACGCAGCAAGGCGTCGAAGGAAGAAGTTGGCAAAGTTCGCTGTGAAGACACGTCGCTTCTCTGGAGCGAAAACGGATGCAACGGGGTGAAGTCAGCCAATGAATCACTGAATGAGGTGTATATGCCGTCGCTCAAGTGGAAGAGGACCGTATTCTGCGGTAATAATCGATCCAGGTCGTCGAGCTGTGTGCAGTCAGATCATCTGTAGCGCACCAGTTTTCGATGGTCTTACACTCTTTCCAACATATTGTAGCCCAGTCAACTGCAGCTCAAGCTGTAAAAGCTGTCGCCATTCATCAAATTTACCACCTTTCACCCAGACGTGCACTGTAATTTGATCCAATCTGGTGACTCCAGGCCCGCAATGCGACCAGTCGACGTGACGGAATGTGGGATTCATCGTCTTTTGAATAATTTCAGACACGTATACGGGCTCTTCAAGCAAAATCAGCATGCCATGTCCGCTTCCCTAGGCAATGGTACTCACCAACCTTCAACGCCATGAATATGCAGAGTGAAGAACACATCAGCCATCCGTTCTTTGGTTGTCTTCTCCAGTCGCTCTTGTCTTTTCTGGGGTGTTGACTGCGCCCATTCTAGCGTACTCCGCCGCCTGAGCTTCCTAAACTCTGGTCTTCGCGGTCTAGCTGCGGTCGCGCTCTGTCTCCTCTGCCTCTCCTTTCCGCTCTTTGGACTGCCATTGGCACCTCCTGTTATTGTTGATTCGACGTCTTCCGCCTCCGACACCGCATTCTCAGCTACTGCTCTCAAGTCTGTTGAGCTCCTTGATATGCCCAATGCCTTTTGTTCTCTCAAAGCAACCAGTTTCGCGGGAGAGTTGAGCGTGTTTGGGAGGGCATCGTCGTCAATCGTTTTGCCCCTCTTGCGGAAAGGAGACGTTGGTGTCAAGTTGAGGTTTCGCAATGAAATAGAGACCAGGTTCCGCAGTTTGCGATTGTACGAGAGAAGCCATGGGCCCTCAGCCCGGTTGAAGGTCCAGCTGGAGGTTGGTGAGGTGGGTTGCGCCATGCATCTTACGCCCGAGCAGTTATCGTACTACGGCGGATTCGTTCGTTTCGTCAGTTCATCGTCGTTCTGGTAGGCTCAAATCCGCAGTGACATGTGCTAGTGGCTGAGGGTGAGGTCTTGTTTGGAGAGCAGGTAAGCTTCACACTAGCGCTACTGTAGTCAGCAAATCTGGTCCAAGTTTAAATCAATGTTTGAACCAATGCAAGGACAGGGCTTAATACTGTAACTCCCGCTCAAACCCCGACGAGGCCGCACCGACCGCACTTCGTCGTCCACCTTTTGCTGATTCCATACAGAGTGGAGTTACAGTCAGATAACCTCCGCCCAGCAGAATCGTTCGAAGACATGCGCGGATTGTTGGCCATGCCCCAAGCTGAGGCAATACCACCACGACCACCAAACCCACCAGACTACCATTCATGAATGAGCTGCTATGGAACAACCGTCTGCTGGCCTGGCCTTTGTCTCGTATGAGCCTGGTGGAAGCAAAAGAGGGGGCCGAAGAGCAAGAGAGATCCGGGTACATGCGGGCAGAGTGGGCTGGGCCAAGTCGTCAAAGGCCGCTGAAGTCGAGGCGCGGAGGAAGAAGAAGTTAAACAACAGAGATGAAGACCAATGCGACGAGAGCAGAGATGCAGCGCTACTGCTGCCACGCTCAGTCGCTCCAGTCTTCGGCGGCGTATCTCTGAAAACGTTTGACGCTGCAGAAGACGGCATCTCCAAACGCATCAGCTACCTCATGCTGTCTGCCGTTTGGCCGAATGTGGCAGGCGAGTCCGTTGCTGCCCCATGGTTTGTGGACTTCTGCAACGACTCGCTCATGTTCCATACGCACTGCACTGCAGGCGCTATGTACCGTGACATTATTGCCCAGAAGTCCGAATGGAGTCATGGGAAAGCCGCTCTCACTCATAAAGCGCAAACCCTCACACTGATCAAGTCGAAATTTGACAACTTGGAGAGGCTTTCTCAAGAGGACATTGAACGCCTTCTCCTGGCAATGGGCATTCTGGGGGTGCACGAGTTCGACCCCAAACACAGCGAGCACAAGCCACTTCCATTCGTGCCGTTCCATCCTGCGGCTAACTGGATATCGATCTGGGGACGAAGTGATCCGGTCGAGGCTCATGTACACGCCTCCCTTGCCCTCGCCTGTCGGTTAGGAGGTCCAAAGGCACTCAAACTGCCTGGACTGGGTTACATGGCCGGCCTCACCGACATCTTTTTCGCAAGCTGCCATTTCCGCAAACCCATCGTATCGGAATGCTACTGGGATGACGTCCACATATTCGACGTCATGCCAGACGAGCTACGTCGAGCGACACTCGACATGACCGATGACTTGCCTCCGGTGCCTGGTTCAGGCTTTGCTGATCTACCAGGAGGACTTCCACCCACCGCTTTGTCCGTCTTCACAGAAGTCGCTTACATAGACAGGATCCTGGCGGGCCCGTCCGTGCGAGATCATCCCGCGTCTCCAGTCCAGAGAGCCAGGCTCGCTACTTGCCACAAACTTCTATCATTGTCGTCCTGGGATGAGTTGGACGACATATACCACCAAGACAGTTACGAAGATTCACTCCAGACAGGACACGCCGGCAAATGCCACCGCGCCATTTACGAAATCTGCCGAATTACATGTGTGATTTACTCGACTGCATGCTTCTTCTCTCTACCACCACACAACGGCTGGAACAAACGCCTCACAAGCATCGCTCTGGATCTATTGGAACTGGCGAACTTCGACATGTGGAGTCTAGATGTCCAGGGTCTTTACCTCTGGGTGCTCTTCATCTGCGGCATGGCCGCATTCGACACCCCAAATAGACTGTGGTTCGAGAACGCTTTAGCGAACTACGCGCGCAAAAGACAGGTTAGTGTCGAACATGCTCTGGAACATGCTCGACGGTTCGTTTGGTCTGATTCGGTATGTGATATTGGTGCCAGGGAGTTGTGGAACGACGCTATGGTTGGAAAAAGGCCGACTGCGGTCTGCAGTGGGATGAAAATGAGCCATATCAGCGATGGTCATGTCAAAGTAGAAACCACACAGTTGTAAGATATCAAAGACGTGGTGTGATGGACGGAGATTGTATGAGAAAACGATCGAAAACTTCTAGTCAAAATACTGTTCGTTCATGCATTCGTTTACAACGCCAGCCTTTCCTAAAGGATGCCTTCTGATCTACTCATACCCTGTTTGATCACGTCGTACAGACCGTGCTCTTAATTTTCAACGCACGTAAGCGCTTGGCTTCAGTTCGTTCATGTTCTTCGGTGCGGATATGTATTCTCTACAACTCCTCCTTGGCCTCTGCTTCCTCGCCCTTGAAGACCTTCAAGATGTTGCTCCTGCTGATCAGGTCATCCAACTTCTCAGGCGCGAGGTTGCCCTTGGCGATCAAGCCTTGCAACCGCGTCAACTCCTTCGAAACATAGTCGGCGTTCTCCTGCACCTTCTTGCCAACCTTGGTGTAGTACTCTGCATACTTGTCCTGCGCCTTGCCAGCCTGCTTGTAGAACTCGTTGTAAGCCTTGTCACCACCGTTCGTTCGAATGGCCTCCACGGCAGAGTCGAGGCTGGGGATGACGCCGGCTGCGGCATCGAGGAGACCGCCTGCGGCGCGGTGGGTGCCGGCCTTCTCGTTAATGAAGGTGACGAGATCGGCTTCCGAGCGGCCACCAGAGTAGGCTTCGCCGTCTTGGGTTCCCTTGGGGAAGAATTTGATGGTAGGGTAGGACTTGACGCCGTAGCGCTCGGCGGTGGCTTTGGAGGTTTCACCTTCGCAGTCGACGAGACCGATGGAGACATTGGATTCGGCGGCGAAGTCTTGGGCAACCTTCTCCCAGGTGGGCTTCAGGCTCTTGCAGTCTGTGCGGTCATGTCAGTGGTTGTCCTGAAGGTTATGAGATGAGAGTATACGTACGACCGCACCATGGCGCAGTGAATGCAACAAGGACATCCTTCTCAACGCCAACCTCGTTATCCCAGTTCAAATCAGTCAATTGCTGGACCTTGCTCTCAGGCTTCTTGGCAGCCTTTGGCTTGACACCAGTCTTCTCCGTGATGAACGCCGTCAAGCTCTCCAAGTCCCGACCACTCTTATAGTCCTCTGGTTCGCTTTTGCCTCCATCGCCATTGAACCACTTCAACGTCGGGAAACCCTGGATGCCGTACTTCTTGCCAAGCTCTTTCTCAGCGTCGGCGTCGACTTTGGCGATGACGACCTTGTCCTTTGCGAATTCGAACGACGAGGCGAGCTCTTCGTAGACGGGCGCGAGGTTCTTGCAGTGGCCGCACCAGGGGGCGAAGAACTCGACAAGGGCGGGTTTGCCAGACTTCAGGATGACGGAATCGAAGTTCTTGGGCGTGAGGTCGATGACGGACGAGGCGGTGGTGCTCGCGACGGCGAGGGCCGCGGTGAAGAGTTGTGTAAATTGAGGCATGGTTGTGATGGTGTGCAATGGAATCAGAGACTGAGTTCCAATGCAGAGTAGTTAAAGAGGAAGAGCGGGAGTTGTCGTCAATAAACGCCTAGCCATGTGGCAAGGGTCCACGAGCTGCTTTTGTCAGCTGGGACAAGAGACAGCTGGCATCAACAACGACAACAACGACCACCATTCACCAACATCGCCACGCACATGTTATTCTTATCACCTGATCACAAATCAACCAACATCATACAGGCAGTGCTGAGCTGCTCGGAAACCCGCCGGGAGCGGCTCACGTGCTGCAAGCAATGCCCAAATCAATATTTGATGAAGATTGCGGGGCTAGGGCGTGAGTGAATGAGTGAGTCAATGTTCACATGAATCATTCTTCATCCAATATACATCTTAAAAGCCGCCTACAATCTTTATGTCCTACCAACAGAACCCATGGCTTCCGCATATTCCAGGGACCAAGTCGTCTCTTATCTCAACTACATTGGCCTCCCCCAAGATCTTCACAATGCCTCACCAACGTTGGCATTCCTTCAGCAATTGCACACCTATACCATCTCCAAACTGCCCTATGAGAACCTCTCGCTGCATTACAACCCCTCGCATAGCATCGATGTCGATCCTCAGCACTTGTTCACAAAGATCGTGACTAACAACAGGGGCCGCGGCGGCTATTGCATGGAGATAGCACTCTTGTACAATCACATTCTATGTGCTTTGGGGTTTGACGCCTACACAGCTGGTGTAAGGACTAGGCCAAGAGTACATGGCACGCCTACTGGTGACTTTCCAGGATGGAGCCACATTGTCAACATCATAGCATTCCCTGACGGCTCGAAGTTCCACGACGACGTTGCCTTTGGCGGCGATGGACCGACTATGCCAATGCCTCTTGAAGACGGCCGTGTTCATCACAATCTCGGCACTCAAGAGATTCGGCTGGTACGAGACTGGATACCGACGCAAAGCCATCGAACAGACGAGTCGAGGCTGTGGATCTATCAATACCGCAATCAGCCTACTCAGCCCTGGCTATCCTTCTACGCCTTCCCAGAGCTGGAGTTCATGCCACTGGACTGGGGTGTCTTGAACCATTGGATGAACACACATCCAGACAGCAATCATAGGCAGAACCTTTTGATCGTCAAATTCCTACGCAGAGAATGCGAAGACCATGTCTATGGGAAGATCATGATGGTCAACAACTTGGTCCGGCGAAATCTGGGTGGCAAGACCGAGACTGTTCAGACTCTGGAGACTGAGGAGAAACGAGTTGATGCGCTGAAGCATTGGTTTGGTATTACTCTTACTGAAGACGAAACGAAGGGCATCGAAAGCTCGCCGCGAAGCCTTGCTTGAAGCCTCCCGCAATACAAAAAGTCGCTAAGCTACATTTCTTGCATCCAGTGTGTCTATATACTGGCTTGTCGACAACAGTTCGTCCTCTCAGCACTACCGTGGCTGATCTCGCGTTTACTGGGAAATATGATAGCAGTCGTGAAGGGCGAAGCGGCTCCAGCTCCTCACCTTCTTACCGAAGACGTAGAAGATGACGTGGAGAGGAACGAGTACAGCACACAAGATGCCCAGTAATCGGATAGACTTTTCAGCAAATGTCAGTCAGGAAAGCCGCAACGTCCTCTATCAACTGGCGCACTCACCCAAGGCATCCCCAGCTTGTTGTACATCGAAGCCGCGAATAATGGGAACACCGACCCAACACTGTATCGCACGAATGCGCACGCCGCTAGCGCGCTATTGGCGTGGATGACATACAGGTCCTGGAGATACACTGTCCCAGTCACCCAGACCATGTACATGCCCGCTCCGATTGGAATCTCAGCGAGAAGCTGTTCAATGACAGGTAGCCTATCGACAGCTGTCCAAGAGAACAAGAGTAGCCCAAAGGAGAGGATAGCCATGCCTGCGATCTGGTAAACAAGTCAGCTGAAGCAGCTCTTCGAGAAACGGAAGTCTTACCATCGGTGGGAGCCTACTCTCTGGAAGGACTAGTCCACCGCCTCTGAGGCGTTTTGCGAAACGGAATTGGGTGTCGAGCACCACGACAACGCATCCGACCACAAAGCCGACAATAGTGACGGTCAGTGCCCAGGCTGATCCAGACTCTGTCCAGCCACGAGGTTTTGAGAAAGCTTGCGGGATCGCCGTATAAGTGAGGCTCTGGATACCATAGTCAAGGGTGAAAGCCAGAGTGACCACTATCAGAACAGGCTCCTGGACCATCATTCGCCATGGCTTCAGCAAGAAATCTTTCAGCTCGAATGGGGCTTCATCTCTTGCGCAGTGCCACGACCAGTCTCCAGTCTGCTGCCTCATCTTTTGAGAAAGACGTTGCAATAGTATGGCCTCCAGGGTCTCCGGCAAGAAGATCAGGATCATCGTAAGAGGACACGCAAACAAGACTGTGATCCACATGCTCCATCGCCAGTCCAGCCCGTGGCTTTCCACAAGGACTGTCGCTATGGCTGGGCCCAAAGAGCCGCCGATGAATGCCCCCGATGCGAAGATCATATAGCCGATCGCCCGGCCCACTGGCCCGTACAGATCGACGTATATGCCAGGCGGTATGACATAGGCGGCACTGCCGTAAGCTCCAGCGATGAAGCGAAACACTACGACCTCATCGAAGTCCCGAACAACCGTTACCAGTATTGTGGAGAACATGAAGCCCAACATGCCCGCGAGCAGTGGACGTTTCCGACCATAGAACTCAGAGGCTGGACCGAAGAACAAGGGGCCTTTCCAGCTAGAATCAGCTTCAGTATTTGCTTTGAATGCATGAACATACCCATGGCCAGGCCAAAGATGTATAGCGAAACTCCACGCTGCATGACATTGCCATCTTTGCCATGAAACGCCTCTTTCACTTGGTCTTCCACCCCCGAGAAGACGCTTATGGCGAACGACACGATGAGGTTCATCAAGCCGATTACCAACCCAATGAGGCATTTCATTCCGCAGCTGAAGTTCTTTGGGTTTGCAGGATCAAGGACATCGCTCCAGCTAACAAGGCTTGACGCTGAAGATGCAGATATTGAACTGCTGACGTCGACTTCTCCCATCTCGACACTGCCGATGGCCTCGAACGAGATAACTGTCGTCTTTTCATCGGCACGATCGCTCGTGGATATACTGGTGGCCTTTGTCGACTCAGAATGAGTACTCGGTGCCGGCTCGGTCCTCATCTTCGGTGTTCAACGCAAATGGATAATTGTTTGATCTGGTGGCAGAAATGGACTCACTTGGATCGATACTGGCTCTAAAATTGAAAGCGAAGCCGCAGGCTCAACCAAATGGAAACCAGGTTTAATATATGGAAGAAGTGTATGCAAAACTGCCAACTTTCCTAACCAACGAGGCACAAGGGAACGCATTCAATGCCTCAGATACAACTTCGCCCATGGTAACGAGGCCTAAATTGCAACTTCCAGACACTGAGCATCCAATGAGTTAGCCAGTCGCCCCTTGGTGACGTGTTTGCGGTGTCGGCAGAACGGTTCACATATCATACACGCGGCGACGCTAAGCCTTTGTTTCGTGTAGATCCGATGGGTTCTTACGTCCGCCATTGACCACTGCCTGAAGGACTCGTAGAGGGCGAAGACTGGCTGAAAGGGAATGGCAACGCCATATATGGCCACCAAACGATTAGGCCCTCACACGTTCTCAGCTGATCCTCCCTGCCTCATCATCACCGCGGATGGCAAGCGGAAGCCAACATCACGGACGGATGTCTGTGATTATGTGTACCACCTTACCCCAGCTAGTCACACGCAAGAAGGGCGGCTCCACCGAGTCTCTGAGTGAGGAAAGCAAGCACACGACCTCTCACGAAACAGCCGGGTCAGTGAAAGGTGTCGGCGGAACACTTGAACTACCTTATCACCGCTCGTACCGGCTTGTCACTTTGCCCTCATACTTGACTGCTGCCATCCGATGTCATCGGCTACGTGCAGGTACCCGCCAATGTTTGCGTGGTATGCGTGAGGTATATTCTGGCGTCCCTCCCGCTAGATCAAACGAAGAGTTCTGCTTCGACTTTCCGTCCAAAGAGCTTACAATTCACCTCTAGATCGGAGCTGGCCGACCGCACGTTACACAAGTCGATTGCGAGAGCCCACCTACCTGGTGCAAGATACATCACTCAAGTACGCCCATGATCGACGAAGCCCATTTCTTCACCTCAGGTCTCACGAGTACTCTTCGATCAGTCGTTGGCCAGACTGTCGACCGGTGGAGATGACCCAGGTCAACCCTAGGTGTTGCTTGGGGCGGATGATGCCTCGAAGACTGGCACCATCGTCAACAGGCTGTTCATGCTGACAGATCCACCCTCACGAGCCGGGAGCACACCATGGCTACATGGCCTGGATTCCGACGACTACGCAGGCGGCTTGCGAGAGTTATTCTCATTGGCAATATTGCGTCGTCAGCAACAAGTGAAAAACCTGCGCATGACAAGAACCACCCCTCAGTCTGTTGCTCGATGCACTAAGTGGTCTTCAGGCCGCTCTGTCTTGCCGCTGATCGAATTCACTGGACAGTCACTCGGCGTTCGACGGCGGACTTGTTCGTTCATTAGCTTGCCCCCAGTGCTCGGCTTCTGCACAACGGCAAAGCCGCCGGAGAGGCCGAGAGCTTTCAATCGGTCTAGGCCAGGCCGAGTTCATACCTCTAAGCAAGAGCAACTATAGCAGACAAACCACACATCATCTGACTACTGGCTAGAGCCTTCTGCTCAAACGTGCCAAAACCAACCGTCAAGCCGGCTTCCAAAACACACGACTTCAGAATCACTACCCTCTGTGAAGTCGTCAATTTTTCCAGCGCCTTGACAACCTTTACATGCGTGACATTCGTCCTTGGGTCGGCTCGGCTTCTTCGCCAAGTGCCAAATCGGACCAAACTTTCCGAATCTGGAACAGCCAAAAGAGCCTGAAGTGGCTATGAGACACCCAGATGCGGTAACGGTTGTTCGTCACCTCTCGTATAAGAAGGACGGCCTTTCAACCTTTTCCTAAAAGGCAACAGCCAGCGGCCATTGAGCCGATGCCCTCGTCCACAGCGTGCACAACACGGCACATGGCAAAGTCAACGTCCGCTCTCGTGGCTGCTTGGTTTGGTGTCAACCGGGACGGTTCAAGCGACTACCAGCGAGATAGCTTCCCCAGCTGTTGCAAGTCGAGACGGTCGCTGTAGGTTTCTGGAATTCGAGACACATTCTGGAGTGGTTCGCACCAACAACGACACCGGTCACAACTCAATCACACTCTAGAGAACGGCGGAGTGGACATGACACACGCGAGGGTCTCCTCCAGGCTGAAAGCCAGACCTCAAGCCGTCTACCATGGTCGGCGTAGTGAATTGGAGCGAATTGTACAAGTATCGGTTTCATGCTCGTATACACTTCCTCTTTGTCTCATCATTAGGGACATCGGTCTACTCCCCAAATCTTTAGCAGCACATTCTTTTCCTGCATCTTCCTCAGATGATGGCGCCATATCAACGGTACGCCGTCGCCGCCGCATTGGCAACAGTCATATCTGCAGCTCCACAGAAGTTGGACTACGCTGAACTGACTGCCGCTCCCACTGTCGCCGATGGACCCTCTGCGATTGACACTGATGTCAATGGGCAGCAGACAGCAACTCTCCTCACGAGTTTCGCCGTCACCGGTGCAACAACGGCGAGTGCGACTCCTACTGCCAACGTTCAAGGCCGTAACATTGAAGCCCGAGGTGTTGTGAGCAGCGATGTGACTGATTCGACCTACAATGCGAAGCTTGGAGATGTTGGGCAGCTCACCACTGTCAATCGTGGTGTTACGTACTGGATCAACGGCGCCAGCACTCACAACTTCTTTGGAAACATTGCCAACTTCGGGTAAGTCCACCTGCTCAGTGTCAAGAGAACGTGATTTGACCGTTCATTCTGAACAGCCGCATATTCATCAGCCAAACGAACTATTTGAAGTCCAACCCCTACGCTGGTGGTCAGACCTCAGACTGGGTCGGTCATGATGCAAACAACGGCAACCTGCAAAACGCATATGGTGCCTTGATCCAGCTCAATGACATTGGCTCTGCTTCAGCTCCCACCTAGGATTGGTACATCAGGTCGCTCAACAACTCTGGAACTATCCAGTGGTGCGGCCGTGGTGATATTGGAGGTAGCACTTACCAGATGTACTCCGACAATGATGCCTACAACACAGGTCTCATCTCGTTTGAACAAGCGTCTAACAATTACGGCGCCGCGTTCGCCTGGAGGAACCCAGTCCTGACGACTACCAATACCATCTCCAACTTATACAACAACGGAGCCTTCCGCATCATCAACGTCAACTACCACAACGTGCAGAACGTTTACGGCAACGGCTGCTAGCAGATTGGGAAGGGAGGAATCCTCTACCTCGAAGACGGCACCGGCGTCTTCCAGAACCCAACCGCTGGACCATCTTTCCCAGGCCAGTCCATCAGCTTCCAAGACCCTTCCGCAGTACTGCACTTGGACAGTGCAGTCTACTCCCACAACTCCAACTTCGGCCCTCAGCTGTACGGCTTCAGCACCGGCAACGCCATCGACTTCTACCAGATCATCACAACTTGGGGTTACAGCCCATCATCCGGCATCTTGAACGTCGGCTTCGGTACTTACAAGGTCAACATCAAGCTGGGCACTGGCTACGATTCTTCCAAGTTCAGACAGGCCAGGAATCCCCAGAAGTACAATGTTGCTGGGTATAATGCAATCTTTTATGATGGCCCAGCTCCTACGCAAAGTGTGCCGAGCAAGTGTGGTCTTACGGCTCCGATCTGCTCGGATCTTTCTGGTGGTTTGCCTCCTGGTGGGAACCCGCCTGTTTCGTCGACTACGACCTCTTCTTCGAGCGTGGTGACTACTACGTCTAGCGCTTCGTCTGCGACTTCGACCAGTGCGGCACCAACGACGAGCAGGACCTCTACCAGCTCTACCGTGTCCAGCACTAGCTCTTCCGTTCCTGCCATCACTACGTCCAGCTCAAGCTCTTCGGTTCCAGCTGCGACCACCTCTACCAGCAAGTCCAGTACCTCGAGCAGTGCCTCCTCTACTGTCTCCAACTGTGTCTCGACCCGCACCAGACCACAGGCATCCAACACGCCGTACACGCCTTACTATCCCGCTATCACTACTGGGTACACGACCAATCCAGCACTGACAGGAACTACAACTGCTGGGCAGCCTTGCCCAACGCAGCCAGAGGAAGGAACTTAATGTGGTTTCATCAACCCACTTGATCCATGTGCTCCCCAGCCAGATGGCTATGGACCGGGTAAGACTTTGCCATCTGCCAGCTTTGTTTGAATGCTTGCTAACCTTCTTCCAGTCCCCACGCCAGACAATGCTTCGGCTTTCCTGGCTTACCCATCGCTGCACTCTCTAGCACAGGCAGCTCCGTCCACTGTCCCTGCATACGATGGACCGGTCTATCAACAAGTCTTCAAAGACCTCAATGGTGCTACGTCTGCTCAATCTTATCTCGGCCTCTACGTCCTTCAGACCTACTCTACCAAGGAGTGCGCCGCCCACTGCGACCAGACCGATCTTTGTACGGCGTTCAACCTCTATGGAGAGCGCGACCCGGCCCTCCGTCCTTCCACCAACGACACTGCACCAACCGTCTGGGGTAACTACTGCCCGAACCCACCATCCATGACCTCGTTCAAGTGCACGCTCTGGGGATCCACGATCGACGCCTCCACAGCTACCAACACCGGCGAAACTCGCGAGCAGTTCCAAGTCGTCATCACCGCCAGCAATGGCTACGATAAGACAAACACCACTGTGCCTGGTGTAGACCCCTGTTCCGGCTTCTCCAAGACTCCAGTAAACCTCAACGCCAAAGCAGTCGATGGACCATCCAACTCTCTCGGCACGAAGTTCTTCTCTGGGCCCTACAACGCGCAGGTCTGCAGTGACTTCGCTGCTGCTCAGAGTAAGGCCAATAAAGATCAGGGCGTCAGGTAGAGTGTGGCGTTGTTCAATGCTTAATACCTGCATAAGAACGGGAACCCATTCGGCACTAGATGCTCGCTTTACGATGATCAGGTTGATCTGAGTAAGTACGCGACGTACGGCGGTGGCAATGAGGGTGGAGATTCGTATGAGGTCAAGCAGAGTTGGGCTTGGAGTGCTGGGAAGTAAATGGCTATTGGAACTTGGGATGATTTAGATGAAGGCGTTGATTTGCATTGTCATTAGCTAAAAGTCACTATAGCCTAGCAGATAGGAGTCAAAGGGGCTTCAAATGAAATCACCAGCTCAGTCATCACTCATCAGCTCAGTTGTCCTCGGCGCTTCACTCCTGACTCAAACCCCTCAACACAAACAAAGCTCGCACTCGTCGCTCTCCAAGATCACTCAAGTACCTCCGTGACGCATACCCGCGCCCAACAGCGATGCACTTCGCATTATGGACAGCCCGTTCAATGGCACATCGATTCTCCTCGTCCCCTGTGTGGGCCAGCTCGATCCTGATTGGAGGCACAGAAGGGAACTCGCGAATGATGGGACAAAGGTGAGGCCGCTTCGTCGAAGTGACACCGCAAGACAGATCCAGTTCCATCGTGATCAGAGAACCCTGTCGGCCAAAGAGCATGCCGATCTCCCTGATGAAGGTGTTGCGGATCTCCAGAGAGTCCGCCTTTTTGTTCTCATCACTATCCCCCATTGAGATCTCAAAGTTCCGCACGTAAGACGCATATCTCCCAAACGCAGCGTAGCATTCGAAACACTTCTGGGCGAGCGGTCGGATGGCTTCACGGGATGCTGATCCAAGTGCATGGTGGGCGCAGATCTTGAAGTGATTGACAGCGTGGAAGACGGGAAGGGCTTCATATCTGATCTGCCTGCAGGTTCTGACTAAGGCGAGGAGATGGGTTGAGGGGTCCTTGGTCGGATGAAGTGCGAGCCTTCGTACATGTGGGCTGTGTTTTCGAAGACGTGGATGAGGGGTCCTGGTGTGCAGAGGGAGAACTCGTAGATGCGTATGCGAAGTTCAGCTGAGAGGTTGTTGAGGGGTGAAAAGTCCATTGCGCGAGATTTGGAAAGGGGAAGTTGGGTTGGTGGTGGTCGTCATGGTGGTCGATTAGTAGTGAGGATATCAGATATATATAAGTTTTACTATGATTCCTTAGTGTCGAATATGGCCGTCGTCTCGACAAGTCGCTCCATTCCAGACTTTGGTTTCGCTGGTTCAGACCGGTTGCTACCTATTCGGTGGTAAGGGGTCGCTGCGAGGGGTCGCAAAATCAGTCAGATCGGCTCGACCGTTGCCTTATAGGCCCCAAGCCTAAAAGCCTCAATTTGGATATGGCCCTCGCGGAAACCGATGGAGCTCGAGGAAGAGTCATACAGCAGACAAACGTTTTGAGGGAGTAAGAGAACTTCTGGATACAGCAAGCCGGAATGGGCGCCGAAGGCCGCGAAAGTTCGCGTTTGCCGGGGCCGGGCACAGCCTTGTGAATGGCAATATTACCTAAAGAGGAATATTTAATCTACGACGAGGCAGCCATTCCCTGAAAAGTCTTCTCACCCCTTGCCAGTCGCCTGCTATGGACTCAGCGTTGCCGTCATCCACGAACTCGGGATTGTTCATTCCACCAAAGTCAATTACCCATGCGTCCATCGACTCATCAATAACGACATTGCCAGGGTTCACATCTCCCCAAATCACATCGTTGGCATGCAACTCTTCTAAGATTTCTGTTACTTGCAATTCCCACTTCTCGTGCAAACTGTGGAGATCCCAGTACTGGGGACTCAAAAGGCTCATCCCCAGTGGGACAAAATTGAGAAGTACACCAATGCACTGCCCCTGATCGTCCAGCTCTGCTTCATCTACCGTCGAACTGCCGGATATCACAACGCCTTGTATGCATGGTACCCTCGTATGGCGTTCGATTAAACCTCTGGACTTGATTAAGAGCAGTATCTGTAATTCTCTGTCGAACTGCTGTTCGCGTGCGGACTCTCGCGGTTTGAAGTACATGATTCTTCCATCAATAGTTGAGATTCTTCCTTGTGTCGTTCCCAGCGGATCCTGATTGTCTATATTGGCTCTGATAGATCTAGCGTAGAAGAGCGGGAGTTCCTTCCTGCATACTCGGGGTATGTCGGTCAACTTCATGGGGCACAGGTCCAAAACAGGTGCATATGAACATGTCTCTCCACCAAGGATTCGAGCCTGTGAGCCGTTGCCGACAAGCTCTAAATTGTAGTTCGGTGCGTTCACAAAATCTTCCAGTGAAAGGCCGCTCACGGATTTCGTTCGAGCCAGCTCCAACAGTAGGGGTAGACATAGCTTGCAGATACTATGATGCGGTTCGTAGGATGGCGTCGAGCCCTGCAGAACACTTATCGTATGCCTCTTGATCTCAGTCCTCAACTGCTTCTCGAAATCTGTTCCCTGGATTTGACCAAGGTGGACGGTGATGCAAAATCGAGCACAGCCACGCATGACAACGACCCACGACGTAATGTGGTTGACATTGCCCTCGCACAAATCGTATGAAGAGCTCATGATGACAGTGCCAAAAGCTAGGATTGTGAATAGAATGTCATGAACATGAACGTGGGCTCAGCATCGAGCATTTCTTCTGCTGTGCGTAGCGTGGCATCATGACACAGGCATGACCTGATTGCTGCGGGGAAATCTGGAAATTGACTTTGCGCGCATATTCCATCTGCACTCTCCGTACGAGGTAAGTAAGGCTTTAGCGTAAACGTTGTATTTGGTTTCAGTGTGGACACATACATGAAGCAGTACTCGTAGTTTGAATACAGTATTCCACAAAGAATAGTATAGACAAAGAGTGTAATTTTCATTTGAGAGTGCTAAATATTATTCAATGGTCCGCACGGAGATTCCTTTTCGCTCTGCGATAGCGACACCATCGGTAAGTCAACCGTACGTCTGCGCAGTCCAGCGACCAATGTTCTATCTGCACTGGGCAATGCCGCCCGTTCCTACTACACAATCACAACTGTTTGGTAGATTGTTGCCAGTGCACTATGATCGGGTCAGTCGTAGGAACGAAAGCTTGTTTGAAACTACACACTCTCCCAGAAGTACATGGGTAGTCGATTCTGCCGCCGTTGATGTTGCACTAGCACCGCTGGGTCCCCGAAGTACACCTCTTAAGTGCAGAAATAGAGTCAGCAGTTGATACAAAGTTTGCAGATGGTTCGACAGACCCCCGGGTATGAGACTGCCTGTCGGGCTTCAAGGTCCTGCGGTGGAATGGCCATAGACTCCATGGTAGGATGAGCAACAACGCTTTGGAGTAGAGACGTCCCCAGGACAATAAGAGCCGCGGCGGTGAAGTGCATAGTGGAATAGGGCAGTTTATCTCCAGTGATATATCGTTTTCGGTCAAGGAATGCGAAGGCACACAATGCCTTTTGGTTTTGTGTTGTGGAATGAACGCAATTATATACCTATATTCGAGTCCTTGCCTTTGAATACTCACTGCGGGCGTTCTCAGAGGCACGCCGATCGCGCTGCTGTCGATGCTCGATATACTTCGATAGAAGGTGCAACACAAGTCGGGGCTTCTTCCAAAAGGCGCAAATATCGTCTCCACCGCATGCAAGCTGGAGAGTAACGGTGACTGACTAGCAATCCATCTGTAGGCAGTGTAAGGACCCAAAGAGCCCCTTTTAGCTTCAATAGTGCTATGGCTACATATACATCTCGGAATCGAGTAGGACAACAAGCACTCGGTTTGTAATGTCTCCCCCTCATGCTCGCTGTTTTAATGTGTCACACTTCTTAATGCTTGGTAAACATACTTATATATACTTCAATTGACAGCCTGAGAGATTGTGTGCGAGAGAAAATCGGGTCCAGTGACTGGTTCCAATGACCTTAGCGTACTATCATAGTTCGTGTTTCTCGAAGTACCGCATATGAAAGAACTCGTTTGCTGCACACTAGAGCATGTGGCGATTCTGTAGCCCACCTAACGCATTCTTCTACGCCGCAGACCTTCCTAACGTAGTAGTCCCACCAGTGTGAAGGTCATGTAGAACGTCCGTCTTACCCGTCTGCAAGCGTCTACCTCGGCACTTTCCCTACCGTGTTGATGTATATATGTATCCGTACTATAGACCTGCTGGCGCGGTCCACTTATTATGGAACGAATGGCTCGTCGTCAAGGCCAAGAATAGCGGGCTACGACTAGCGAAAGTTTAGTAGAGCCAAAGGTAAACGTTAAGCATGTCTTTTCTACGCCGCAGACCTTCCCAAAGTAGCAGTCCGCCCGCTTGATGGTCATGTAACACGTCCGTCTTCGCCGGCTGCTTGCACGGCGCAGTCGTATTTCATGTTACATTCTAGCGAGGAACTCTTCTAGATAGGCTTCACACTTTCTGCGGCTAAACGTAATCATTTGCGAGTTCGACCAACTTCAAAGCAACTTTCTGCATCTACTTCTGACAGTGTCTTTCCACGGTTGAGTTTATTCGCCAGGCCCAAATGAACTGAAACCAAAATCAACTTTATCATCTGCGAGTCGCCCAACTATGTCTGATACTTTCCATATATCTGCACACCTTTACTGCTCACTTCTCCGTCACCAGTGAAGTAAAAGGCACTCACTTCATCAAGTTATTATGAAAGACCAACATGTGCAACGCCCACCGACAGACTTACCGATGGTTTCAGCCGGCTCTCCACGAACAGAATGCTCCGCGATATTGAGACGGCATTGTATTACACATTTGCCGGGTTTTGTCTATGGGATCATATTCGGGATCGGTGCTATGTGCTTGCTAGAGTTGACTCTTCATTCGGGGCTTGTAGCCAACATGGGATCAGGAGTAGCCTCGCAAGCACGCTTTCCCTACCATGCAAATACAAGCACCGATGGCTCTGAAGTAGCTGCGAAAGAAGCGGCACCGTCATGTGGTAAAGACAGCCTCGAAGCAGAAGCTGCTGGCTGTCATTACGATATCATGGCTTCCAGTTGGTATCCCACCGGGTGCTTCAACCCCGAGGTGCTGGAGCAAATGCTGACCGAAGTCTCTTTTGAATGGGTCAGTCACGCGTAAAAGATTCTCTGCTGTATATATGCTGACTATCGAATAGTGGGTCAACAAATGTCTAAAAAATTTCACATTTTATTCGCTATACACAAGGCCACATGTTCATTGGCTCCATTACTCTTCACCGGGTGCCTACAATCAATTATCTCCAGATCGGTTCTATGAGTTTATTCAAGTCGAGAGGTTCTAACCTAGAGTCATGCCAGGTATTGGGATCGCAACCACACGAAGACTGCAACCGCGAATAACGCTTTGTCGGGTCACTTTGACCTTTTCCCGCAGTATGACTATCACGTTATGCACTGCTTATACCAGTGGCGGCGGCTACACCTAGCCATTCTGGAACATCGCCCCGTCGATGAGCATACTTACAGCTATAGCCACACCCTACATTGTACGAGGGTGGTCATGGAATGGAAGAACGAGTGGCTCTATGGCAAGAATTCGACAACCAATACTGAACATAGTAAGTGTTTCTGAGCATCTCACAGGCAACGCTAAGTGGCTTTCTCTGTCAGAAGTATCGGATTGCATCCTGCCATACAGCCGAGGAGGTATGATGTAACCGTCAAATTATATGGTGGGCACTGGCAACTACTCGCGTTTGGCATTAGAGTGCCGTGTTCCTTCTGGATTTGGAACCAGATGAGCAAGTTGAAGGGTGGAGCATGACATGTCTTGAGATTGGGGAGATCAGGTACGCCAGATGTTGCAGGAAAGAGTTTTCGAGTCACGCATCCGTTGTAGACATTCGATATGTAACTTTGCACAATTGATATAGCACATTTGAAGGCGTACAATCCAGTCGCAGCTGATGATAACCGGGTGTTGAATATGTCGTTCATCTCGACGAGTCGCAGCGTTTGTGATCTTGCTTTCGCTGGCTCAGACCGGGTGTTACCTATTCGGTGGTAAAGAGGTTTTAGTAAGGGGGCACAAAATCAGCCAGCAGCGCATCAGTCCCAACAAAGAAGATCTCCGTGGACTAACCAGGCTACAACGCGATGATGATCGATGTTGATTGTAGAAAGAGACGAGGGCGTGGAACGGAGACGTCTGGAGTCGGCCCCGCTCACTCGGCCCCCCGTAAATGCCAAGCCATACCGATGACGTCGCCCTGTTTCCGACTTTCCCGCCTCCTCGACACACGCACATTGTTTCTCGAGTCAAGATATGCACAGCATGCCAATCGCGGCGCCATATCACGACGATTTCGAACTTGAGCGACTAGAAGACGATCGTGGAAACAATCTTGATGACCCTGATGCCCCATTACCGGAACGAGTCTTAGACGAAGACGAGACAGCAGCGGTAAGACCTCGATGGTTGGAGAACAGCCCACCTTGGACAAGATCGTGGCTTAACAGAGCACATCGCACCATGGACAGTATACGACCTCGATGGCTGGACGACAGGCCGCGATGGAATAGTCCCATGCTAGACAAGGCCTTCGCTATCGTTCGACCAAGGCTTACTGTTGGATACGTGCTCTGCTCGCTGATAGTACTATACGTATTGTACTGTTACATCATCTGGTCACCGCTTTTTGCGTCGAAACTGCCAAGATATACAGGTCCTTTCGACGTTGGAGCCGTTGATATCGAAGTGCCGGTTGACAAACCACGAACAGTCGTGGAGGGAGTCTTCAAGAAGGACGGCAAGTCGGCTTTCGAATTGGACACGGTCCTGTTTACGGTTTATTATCCGGCTGTAAAGGGGCCGAGAAGCTCTCCGTCAAAACACAAATGGTTCCCTAAGCCGATCAGCTTGATAGCAGAAGGATATGCGACGGCAGCTCACTTCAACAATTTCTTCTCCAGAGGCTTATTCACATTCGCATTGTGGGGACTAGCAGGCAGCATTGAAATACCTGCAAAGGTGGATGTACCCCTGCTAAAGCAAGCAAAAGAGGGTGAGAAGGATCAGAATGAACAGTTCCAGGTTGTCGTCCTCTCCCATGGCGATATCAGCTCCAGAACGGACTACACGGCATACTGTGGCGAACTTGCAAGCCGTGGTATTGTGGTAGCAACCATCGAGCATAGAGATGGAAGTTGTCCTGGATCCGTCGTCCATCTCTCAAATTCAAAGCAGAAGAATGTTATGCTCTTCTCGGCTGATCAGCTGAAACCGGCAGAAGGGAGTGACGAGGTGACCAACGACGACTGGAGGTTCAAGAAGCTGGCATTCAGGGATGCGGAGATTGAGGAGACAGTCTCTGTTCTTCAGAAGCTGAACGCAGGCGAGGGGGAAGAGATCTTCAAGAGAAATTATAGAAAAGAAGGGAAGTACCTTGGCGACTGGGAGAAAAGACTCAACTTCTCCGAAGTCGTGATTGCTGGTCATTCATTTGGAGCAACTGGCGCACTGCAGGCTCTTAAGAATGCCAACAAGACCAGTTCTGACCAGAAAGCATGGGCCAACCCAGCAATTGGTGGCATTATACTCGATCCCGGGAAAAGCTCAGGCAAGCTGAACACTGACATTGATGTACCGCTCCTGATCGTCCATTCCGACTCTTGGTCGAAAGCGCGTACAATCTTCTATGGACGACCACACTTCGACACCGTGCGGGACATTGCCCTTGACGTTCTAAAACGATGCGGCGCAACATGGTTCATGACTTCCCTAAAGACCTCGCACCCAAGCGTCACAGATGCACCCTTGATCGAGCCGCTACTTCTTTCTTGGACTACGGGAGCAACGATCGACGTACAAGAAGGCTTACGCGAATATGTGCGAGTTAGCATGGAGTTCATCTACTTCTTGAGGAATGGTACCAAAGAAGGCGTTCTAGGTGTAGGAGTGACGCACGAAGCGTATGGAAATGATACCAGATCGGAAGATCAAAAAGAGAAGATGGAGAAAGATGTAACGAAGTACTGGGAAGTGCATGTGGCGCCCTCAACCGAGAAGTCTTGAACAGCGACAATTTTAATGTGCAATACCGGAAGAACACGCAACCCGCTAGCAGCATCGGACTTCGCTCTAGAGTTTGCTGCTTGGATCCATTTGAAAATCTACGCCGCCTTCAATCTTTACGCCCGGCATCCGGCCGGTCAAGAACTCATCTGCCATTTGACTCATTGTCATCCACTCCACGCCTTCGTGCCGGTTGATGTAGTCAATCAGGCTGCCTTGCGCGTCAATAACATCCTCTTCAATAGATCGTCGTAGGGCTTGAGCTGACCGTTCATGCATCAGAATTACCTGAGGCTTGCCACTGACTTGCGGATGTATGCTCATCGGGAAGATGAAGGTGTCGTACTCGCGATACGCGAAGTCGAATTGCTCTCTCCACAACCTAAAAGAGCAAGCAAACTCAGCAAAATCTAGGCCAGGGGACTTATTTGACAAACCTCTCGACAACGTGTGTATCAACATAGCCTTGGGCCCAGGCCTTATCCGGAATCGGCTGCATCGGAGGCCAATCATCCAAATGCCAATTCGCTGGAATCTCCACAACTTTGGATGGCTTGACCTTGCTCATTGGATACATCCACGCCTTGGCCGACTTCTTCAAATTTGTCTCGACCCAGCTCTCGGAGTTGTCTGGCGCAAAGTATGGCTGAAGATCATGATGCATGAAGGAATGGTCGTATTTGATACCCATCTCTTGCAAATATCCAATGAGCTCTTTCGATGTGGTCCATAAAGGAGCTGTGTGGCCGACTGGTGGCTTTCCGCAGAACTTCGTCAGGCAGTCGATTGAACGCACAAGGACATCACGCTGTTGCTCGGCTGTAAGCTCAGACAGCGACTCGTGGGTGTATCCTGAGGGGCTTCGTCAATACTTCTGTCAGGAGAAACGGGAATGCCGCAACTCACCGTGAAGGCCAATCTCGTGTCCACCGTCTCGGACCTTGGCCAGCTGCTCTGGAAACGACTCGATACTGTGTCCGGGGACGAACCAGGAAGCCTTGATGTTGTATCGGTCAAACAGCTTCAAAAGACGGTCAACTCCGACTGTAGCGCCGTAAATTCCGCGCGAGACATTCGTTGGCGTTTGTGGAGAACCATCGCAGGTGTTGATCCAGTTCGCTACGGCATCAACGTCCACTTTTGAGTAGCAGCGTCAGCCAGCTTGAATGAGGGAGCGGCAAGGAGCTTTTCCTAACCTCCGTACCCGACGAGTATTCTTTTGGGGCCCATTTGGAGAGTGCCGACAAGGTTGCGGTGGTTGATTTCAGTGAGAGTGTCATCAAAAGCTTCAAGTGATCAATCTGCAGAGGGAAGAGGCTGTTGTTTTAAGCATTGGATCAGCATCGCCGCACAAAGCACTTGTCCCTGCACCAGGACGAAAGGAAGGCTTTATTCAATGCCGTTATCATCATCCTCAGCACACTTGTCCCTGCTGCAACAAACCAAAGTCAGCTGTGTCGCGCGTGCAACGATAAACATGCGAGCGGGTACGCGCAGTTGCTAGGACCCACGTCAACTCCACCTGAACTTTGGTCGCTGAAATCCGTCGCTGAAATCCGCAGGAAGAGCTCTGCTGACTACACCATGTTATCCTGGGCGGCTGGTGAAGAACCGTCTTACTTGGAGTATCACACGTACCACGATTGATGAAAGCCAGGAGCAATAAAGTAAGAGCATGGCTTTGTCTCGAGAAGTCATCCCATTCGCGAAGCCAGCGGCACTCATCGGGATCGCAACTACTTCAACGATGCCATGACCAAACGACCTAGGTTAGACTCTACACTGCTCTAAACAGTCTTGAGAAGTACGAGAAAAATCATAATCTACCTCAGCATCATGCTAGATTCTAGCGGCTTCAAGGTCAATGCCAACTCATACAACCTTATTGTTGTCTTCTTCGTTGGACTGAGCACCTTGTCGACAGCATATGGTCTTTCCATCATTGGATCGACCGTTGGCCAACCAAATTGTCTGTACATCGATGTAGATCTGCGACCGCATCGAAACGCTGACATGTAGTCTGAACAGTCTACGACTACTTCCATCTGGCGAAGCAAGGCGAGTCTGGATATGATCACACCACGAACATCATCGGTGCTCTCAATGGATCGAGTAAGTCTTCACACTGTGCTATCTCGGCCTCCCAACCCCTGAAGACCTTGATCAGACAGCGCCGGCGGCTTTCTAGGATGCCTCGTCGCAGCCTGGACCTCTGACCGGTTTTCCAGAATCCGTACGATTATGGCCGGATGTGTCTTTCTGACAGTCGGTGGCGCCATCAATGCAGGGTCGGTCTCAATCGTGATGTTCTGCCTTGGCAGACTCGTGACAGGCATCGGATCTGGACTGCTGGCGGTTGCTGTACCCATGTACCAAGGTGAAGTGGCCACGGCCGAGAACAGAGGTCTCATGATGGGCGCAACAGCCATTACATTCGGCATAGGATACAGCCTCGCTGGCTGGCTTGGATATGCATGTGCATTCATTCCAGCCACGGCTTCGTATGCCTCATTCGCTTGGTGAGTGAATCGGTCATGCACTTTCGTGCGGTATGCCTAATAGGCTGCACAGGCGATTCCCTCTGTCTTTTCAATGTATACCACCACTGCTCGTCCTCATCGGATCCAAATTTCTCCCCTTCTCGCCACGCTGGCTCCTCTCTCAAGATCGACGAGACGAGGCCTTCTCGGTCATCAAGCGTCTTCATCGAGAAAAGAACGATCCACACGACGTCGTCGCCCGACAAGAATTCTACTTGATGGAGAAGCAATTTGAAAGCGACAAAGCACTGTCTTTACAATCCGCCAAGCTGCAAATCTTTCGAACGAAAGCTAATCGTCGACGTGCTCTTGTCGGCATGCTGCTGATGTCTTTCGATCAGCTAGCAGGTGTTTACGTTTTGACGAACTACGGCGTACTGATATATGCCTCACTCGGCCTGAGTGGTACGATTCCGCTTCTGCTGAATGCATGCTGGAACACGCTTGCTACTGTTGGCAATACGTGGGGCGCTTTCAATGTCGACAAATATGGTCGAAGGCGATTCTTCTTGATTGGAATTACTGGAGTTTGGTTGTGTTTGATCTTCCTAGCCGCACTCACGGGTACTTTCTTGGGAACGACCAACAACGCAGGTGGCCAATATCAGCGATGATCTTGACCGGACACATACTAACGTTCGATAATACAGGTCTATCGGCAGCTGTGTTCTTCATCTGGCTGTACGTCGTGTTCTGGGCCTTCTTCATGGACGCTACTCAGTTCGTCTACGTGTCTGAAATCTGGCCAAACCACCTACGTGCTATTGGTACTGCCTGGGGCTTCATTTGGTACTTTTTATTCAGCGTCGTGATGCTGGTCGCTGCTCCCGTGGCATTGAATAAGATTGGTTGGAAAAGTACGCTGAAACATCTTTGATTTTGTTCTGGACAGACCCGCTAACAAGACACAGTCTATATCGGCGTTATCTACTTCCTGTTCCCAGAAACCAAAAGCCGCACCCTCGAGGAGATTGGCGTGCTGTTCGGAGATGAGAATGTCGCATCACGTTGGTACGACCTGAGTGAGGCCGATAAGGTGCAGGTCACACACGAGGCTTTGGCACGCACTACGGGCCTAGGAAGCAACAAACTCGAAGAGGACTACGTAGAAGCGAAGTGATTGCAACGTCACTCACATTATCGATGTAGGAGGATCGAGGTAGTTGGCAGAGACCTCACTCGATTCGATACACGTTCCATACACATTATCTGCTCAGGTCGCTGTCCAGCCGCCATCTACAGCATATATCGACCCCGTAACGAAGCTCGCTTCATCGCTGAGCAGGAAGGCAATCACATTGGCAACCTCATCCGGCCTTCCAGCACGTTTCATCGGTTTCGATTTGGTGATAGCATCAGCATCTTCTTCCCTTCCAACACTCAATTCGGCCACCATAGGAGTCTCAATGACCCCTGGGGCGACGGCATTGACTCGAATACCTTTTCGTGCGCAGTCTACCGCGCTCGTTCGAGTCAAGCCTGTCACACCGTGCTTGGACACAGCGTACCTTTAAGCACTCGTCAGTGGTCGCCCCACAGATGTTCATTGTGTCACGTACGCTGCATGTCCAGGAAAGCCTCTCACTCCTGCGGTCGAAGAAGCGTTTACGATGGAAGAACCCTCCTTCATAACTCGAATCTCTTCCTTCATACAAAGCATCACCCCAGTCAGGTTGACACCTAAAATACGGCTCCAGTCATCTTCATCCTGCTCTTCCACCCACGCCACTCCAGGCTTCTTTCCAATAATGCCAGCCAGATTCGCTGCTCCGTCAAGCCGGCCAAATTTGTCGATTGTGGCATCGATCCAGGAGCGGACCTCACTGCTATTCCGAACGTCACACTTGATTGCCAGAACATCATTCGAATTCATCTCTTTTGTCGCGTTGTCCAAGTTGGCTTGCACTACATCGCAGATACTGATCTTCGCCCCTTTTTGAACGAGTGACTTTGAAAGGGCAAGCCCTATGCCTGAAGAGCCTCCTGACACTGCAATGACTTTGCCTTTCATGTCGAATGATCGCTGGCGATGAAGATAGGTCTGATGTGCGTGTCCTTCGAATGAGTAAAAATACCAGAAATTTACGATCCGCAGCACCGAATGCCACGAGCTTGAGTTGATCAGCTGTGATACATCTTCACTCCTCTGATAGTACTCCAAGTCGGGGACTTCCCCGACGTGCCAAAGCTGATGATCTGCAGGAAGAGCTATATGCTGTTCATCCTTCAACGCCCAGGATAAACCAATCTTCCAGGTCATTGATCGGGCGAGCGGAGACTCCTATAATAGATCATGGTTTCTTGGGTTGTTACTGTAGTCAATGTAGGATTGGTTTGCACTACGACCGAGGATTGGAGGAGACATAGGTGCACGCTTTCATGGTTATTATCAACATAGTCCTATTTTGGCATCAACCAGACTCGACGGCGGTGTGGTGGGGACACAATGTCAATATCTAGAACTTCAAGTGAATGACCTCTTCCGGCGCTGATGGTCTTCCCAGCCTGACCACACTACTTTTTGACTTCAGGTCCATCAAAATGCTGAAGAGAGTCGCAATTCCAGCTTCGTTGTCAACAGCCCGACAAATAGCTGCAGGATAGTTCTTTTCATCTTCGAGTACACTCAAGAGGTTGTTAGTCGTTGGAGTTTCCGGAACAGCATTGCAGAGTTTCTCAATCCGATCCAATCGAAAGTCTGAGTCGGCAAGCCATGGTTTAACATCCAGGCCTGGGTGCTCGACGATATAGTGATTCGAGTGGAAAACTTGGCCTTGGTCGTTCATATCCAGCTTTTGCAGGTCCGTAGAGCTCCACTCCAGACCGACAGAACCAGTCTCGTCGGCCACAAGCATATGGCACGCAGATGCCACTCCGTACTCCTGCAACTTCTCGACTGCGTCCTCGCGAGTTTTGGAATCGAGTGCAAGTCGTAGTCCGAGATGACATGGGATACGAGAAGTGCCGACTCCGCCCACTCGAATCGCGTTGAGACATACTCCCACGCCCGCCGAGTTCATACCAATCTTACCAATGATGCCCGCTTCGGTGACCATCTTGATCGTAGGCTTCTCCGGCTGCTGGACTGTCAGAAGGACGAGGTTCTCTCTTTGTCGTTCCATCCAATCCCAGTTCTGGGCCAGGAAACTGCCACCAGATGAACGCCATGCGAATGAAGTGCAACCATCGCTGACGTTTACATAGCAGCCAAACATGATTTCAGTTCGAACATTCAGTGCTATAATATCGAGAACATCTTTTTCTGATCCTTGTGCAATGCCTTCCGTCTGTCAGTGAAGTTTCCTGGAAAAGCGTTGTTCAACGATGACGAGCCTTTGATCTCTTCGTGATAATGAGGCCATTTCTGCGCGATTGTTGCATCAAACTGTTTGGCCTGGTCCTGAACAGCGTCCCAGCTCATATTGACGGTCTTTTGGAACACGTCTGCGTAGAAAGCAATGCATCTTTCGATCTCTGGTTTCGCTTTCGTCCCATGGGTGAGACCGATCTGTAGGGGAAGTCAGCCTTGTCGTTCTCCCGGTCCGTTCACGAGGTAGTACATCACCTCAAATGGAGAGCCATGGCATTCAAAGCTCAACATCGTGGTCGCTCGTTTACAGGTTGATCTTCGAGTCAAACGAGGGGTTGATTGAGTGGAGGAGCTGGTGAAGATGTACGTCACGGTGGGGCCAGCTGTCTCCCGTATACAGATGCCACTTGAGTCCTAACAAGAGCTCGTGACATGTTTCCCAGGAATGTTTGTGAAGAGTTCCCAAGTCGTAGTATGCCCGCTCAGGCATGGATCGAGTCTGTAATGACTTGACTCAGGCGCGATACAATCGGGAGATACATGGATCCTATTTCACCCCTAGATCCTGTGACGGACGTCAGCGACGGATAAGGCCGACGTATCTCAACGATTGACTGATCTTTACCTTATCTGCAAACCCATTGCTCTCCTCCACAAGTTCCAGGATGCTGATAAAAACATGCGGACAGGGAGACGTTGGCCGGATTGTAGATAGAGCTTCGTGGCTTTGATAGGCAGTAGTGAACGGCGATAGAATGGAAGTACACTTCATGACCGCCATGATCGTTCAAAGCTATGCAATAGTGTCTTGCCCAGACAAATTCTAGTGGTGAAGCCAACGATGTCGAAAGGACATTTCAAACTTCCCGGCCTTCCAGCTCTCCGTCTACACTCGCCGTACTGGCAGAAGTGAGTGAATTCCAGTGAAAACGAGGACAAAGAGTCTCCGCTTACTAGCCTGCCACAGTGTGATCATTGGAATTCTCGTGGGATTGACGGCCGGACTTTATGTTGCTTTGAATCTCCTAGGAGCAGGTGGTGGCAAGCCCAACTCAGCTCAGACGGTCCAAGTCGTCAATGCAGTCCTCTGCACAGTCTGGGTGTTTTCGGCCTCATTCGGCGGTTCGGTGTTGAACAAGATTGGACCAGCCCTCACTGCTTGCTTTGGAGTAGTGTGATACATCATCTATGTCGGATCACTGTGGTACTTCGATCACACAGGAAAAGAAGGCTTTCCCATCTTTGCTGGAATCGCGATTGGCGTAGGCATGCTCTCGATACTTGATCGCTTGAGAACGAGTGCTGACATGAAGATGTTGAGATCTCTTCGGGCTTGATCTTCGTGACGATGGGTTACATCGCGATGTCCTACTCTGAGGAGCGCGACCGTGGCAAGTACATTACAATATCTGTCAACCTGCAGGCCGTGGGTTCGGTAGTAGCAGGCTTAATTGCTCTGATCATCAACCGCAACTCAGTGAGCTTGACCTTCACCACGAAAGTCTTCAAAACTGACTTCGATCAGGCAGAGTCAACTGGCGTCCCAGCGCCAGTTTACATCGTCTTCATTGTCTTGATGGGCAGCGGAATGATCATTGCATTCTCTTTGAGACCTCCATCAAAAGTGATCAGAGATGACGGGACTGAAGTCGGCGTCGTCCAGGCTCGCACGTTTGTAGAGGAGATCAAGGCCACTCTGGAGAGCTTCAAGGACTGGAAACTGCTTGTTAAGGTGAGATCCACCTGCATCCTGTCGGGCTGACGTATTGACAAGTCCCCATGTAGATTCCAGCATTTCTTCCCGCAGAATGCTTCCTTGTATATGGAGGTTCTGTCAACGCATATCATAACAACTTGCGGACTAGATCACTAGTCTCGTTCGTGGCAGTGACACTGCAAATCCCAGCTGGATTAGGACTTCAAATGATTCTTGATAACCAGAGGTATACGTCTGCCAGTTCCGGACCAGAGTAGTGCTGACCCTCTCAGGGCGACGCCGAACAAGAGCCTTTGCAGGTCTTCTGACTGTCGGGGTGCCTCTAATGGCAGCAGGGATTTGGGAGATTGTTCGCGTGAGGAACTACGACCGAGCCAATCCACCAAGCCGACCACTGGATTGGTCTGATGACGGATTTGTTGCGATTTTCTTCCTGTTCATGTTGAACTGGGTAGCCAGCTCGTTGTGGCAATACATCATTCTATACTTCCTCGGGACTTTGACGAACTCGCCGCGGAAATCCGCCAATTATGCTGTAAGTTTTCTCTCAAGACCATGGCGTCAAAGCCAAGCTGACTCCTGTGTTAATAGGGTGTCTTTCGTGGGATCCTGGCCGCAGATGAAGCAATTTGCTTTGGCGTCGATTCGATTCAGGTGCCTTATATCTACGAGGCCGCCGTCATATTCGCATTCTATGGCTCTGGCCTGGTCATCTTCGCTTGCTTGGCGATGTTCTGCATTAAAGAGACGGAGTACTTCAATGGCGAAGATGATGTTGTCATTCCCAAACACGTCTTGGAAGGGCGTGTCGTGAAGGGCGAAGATTTTCCCCAGAGTGTCCAAGTCCAAGACGTAGAGATAAAAGGGTCTTGAGTGCAGGCCAGGTTTGGAGAAGACAAGGCCTGACCAATGGAATATTGTCGATGTGCAGAGCCACGGAGTGAGATCTTTGAACCTCAAATCGGTAGGAATTGATGGTATTCACTTCTCAGTCAGCGAAGACTTCTGAACAACATCGTACAGAGCCTGGGCATTGGGCCATTTCAATGTACATCGATCCAGGATTTGGGGTCCCTTAGCGTAGCCACGCTGTCGTTCCAGAGGTTCCGAGCTCGACAACAGAATTGTGGCTGCCTTGAAAGCCAAATGTGAAGTCAAGATGGTATAGACAGTCTCATCTGACGTATATGCGTTGATCAGTCTTGTTGCGGACGCCGCGTCGCCTTTGATCAGAAATAGTGTCTCATCTGTCGCAACCTGAGCCAGTGGTGACCGGGGCAACCTCAAAAGCTCAAACTTAGAAGTCGGATCATCGTTTGTTTCGTTTCGAGCTGAAGCCTGCAAGGCAAACAAAGAGTAGACGTGGTCGTCGCTCTGGTCTGCGATATTGAGGACGGTGCGTTTTTCCTTATCGTGGCTGATTAGCTACACTCTCGGTCTCTCAATATAGTCATACATACCGAAATCATTGAGTGAAAGCCAACAGATCTCTCCAAGACACTAGAGACCTGAGTGCCCAGATAGAAAATAACTTTTCGGAGCCTCCCAAGACTCGAGTCAAGCCCATCAAGGCTGTCAGCCTCACGCTCTGCTAGCTCGATCTCTAGTCGATGAGCGAAGGCGATCTGCTGGCCGATGTTGCCCTGCTGTGGGTCGAAGAGACTGTACAGAGCCAAGAGTAGCACCGCCTGTAGCGCTTCCACATCCAATTCGGACATAACACTCTCGAAGCAGGTCTGGGCGGCTCGGTAGCAGCTCTGCGACAAGGATATAAAGCGTAGATCGTTCCGTGGTAAGCAGTGACATCCAATTGCGTATACCATGTTCAATACGAAGTATGTCCATGGGCTTATTGAGTTCGACTGAGAAGGATCCTGCTGCAGGACAGTTCGGCCAGCTTCGAGGATAGGATAGACTGTGTTGCATTTTTCCATGTAGTTTTCAACGAGGAAGTAATGCAACTCAGAGCTGATCGCAAGCCCATTTGGAGGCTCTAGAGGTGGATATGACCGGTCCTGGCCTTGAAATTGTTTTGACTCTGATGGATGGTGACTGGAGGTTTTGGTGAAGAGTGGCGCATGTAGACCGATGAGGCGATAGGCGTTTCTCACATTGGTGAAATGATATGCCGGGTGGGGTGTGTTCAGCGACGATTCTGAACGCCAATCCACGTCACCATTCTTCAGCTGATGAAGACGTTGAACGAGTTCGAGGATGTAGCTGGAGATGCCATGTCAGGTAAAGTAGACATGATATTCACAACAACAGATGTAGTACCTTCTGGAGACTTTCTCTTTCGCAACGTGATCGTAAAAAATGCAATCGACATTGAAACGAGCACAGTTCGAGCAGGCAGGCAGCTGAGTATCGCATCGTTTCTTTGAAGTACGACAGCGGTCGCAAGAGGGCAACGAGCGCAAGACCGTATCAACTTCTTCCTCAGGGGACTGTGATGCTCGGGCAACACCGGGCGAGGAAGACTTCCGGCTAGCCCCCATTGCATGTGACACCCGGCGCGAGTGAATGTCTTTGTCTTGGCATGATGATGCCATATGTGCTATCGACGTTGACGCAGCAATCGCATGTGGCCTTTTTCGTTCAACACATGTTGAATTGGTCGCATCTTTTGCAGCAAAACTCTGATACTGCGCCTCGAGATAGGCCAAGACAGATGATTAGCGGGGAAGTGAGGAGTCGCAGCGGGATCGGAAAGAGCTTTATTCATGCATGACGAAGACCATGCCGAGTGCCCTGGAACTTGGCTCTTGCTTGGAAAGTGAATGACTCCGACGATGTATCTTACCATACTTTCTGACTGAAGAGCGATAGGGAGCGTCGAGACGTATCCTGACCAAATTGACCGATGCCTCTGAGAAGTCATGAAACGTGGGCAGCGAGTGAGGCGGCGAGTCTTCGCCTGCGAGCGATGTCGCAAACGAAAGATCATGGTAAAGGTGTCTCTCATCCAGAGAATGGTCGCTGATTGCTCGTCAGTGTGATGCGACATTCCCAGCATGCTCCTCGTGCACAGATGCTGGTGCTCACTGCTTGTCAGTGGACCAAAAGACGAAAGGAGCCCTGCCTCGCAGCATTGTGCAATATCTGCAGCAACAGATCGCCACGCTCGAACGAGATGCACCAAGCCCATCTATTTTCACAAGTTCTAATGACATCCCATTGCCTACAGGCCGCAATTCATTCGAACACGCCCGATACGCTCTCCACGATATTGTTCCTCCGTCTTTGGGCCTCACACAAAGCGCCTGCCTTGCCGGTTGTGCTCTCGCTCCAACTCAACTACCGTCCTCGAAGGAATACTATGAAGCATCGCAGGACGGAGATCGACGTGTTCCCAGGCCGCTTGCTGAGTCAAGAGCAACCCAGGTGTTGACGCTTGCTGCTGTTCCAGTGCATGTAGCTGAGTTCCTGCTTCGAACATACCTGGTCAGGATCATTCCGCAATACCCGATTTTCCACAAGACTCAGGTAGAGGAGGCGTTCACGGCAATCTTCGATCGGCAAAATGGCGACGTGGCTCCGCAACAAAGACATGTGTACGTCGTCAGCTTGGTCTTGGCCATTTCACTGTCCACGGCGGTTCGTATGAAGCAGAAACGGGCACACGCTTTGGCGACAGGCTTGTTTCGAAATGCAATGCTGCGCGCCCCAGCTGTGCTCACCAATGACCTCGAAGGCCTACAGTGCCTTCTCTTACTGATCCAGTACGCTTTTCTGGATCCCACCATTGCTAATCTCTGGCTGCTCACGGGCCTGTCAAGCGAAGCAAGCCTAGACATGTGTCTACACAAAGAGTTGCCCGTGCAAGCAGAATTGGACGTTCTCCAGCGAGATATTCGGCGACGCATCTTCTGGTGTGCATGGGAAATGGAGGTGGCTGTATCCGCTGCTTTCCATCGGCCGCTTCGAATACACTCGAAGGCTATAGAGGCGCAATTCCCCTCCGAGTACGATGATCGACATATCACAGAGAGCGGAATCGATATCGTAGGCCGACAAACGAAAGTCGTGTCTCGTCGCATCTGGCAGTTTCGGCAAGTGGAAGCAAAACTCCTCTCCGTTCTGTATGACAACGACAATCTGCCCGACAATATGTCTCTTGGAGATTGGTCGGCCAGGATCGACCAAGAGATCAATGAATGGAAGCTCGAAGTACACCGCACTGCCGTCCAGGAATCAGAAGACCCACTGGCGCGATCACAGTGGGAAGAGATGCGGTTGTACGCCGATATTGCCTCCATGTGGATACTGGTCCAGCTATACAGACCGTGCCCGAGAAACAAAGCGCCATGTCCTCGCAACTTGATCAAAGCTGCCAATGCCGCCGTGCACGTTGCTGACGACTATCGAGAGCAACAGAAAACACGCTTCGGCTACTTGAAGTACGTGTTTCACCCGTGCCATCATGTGTTTTCGTCCGCACTGGTATTTCTGCAGGCTTTGCAGTACTGCAAAGCGGAATACGCCAGCTTGTATACAGTGGATGAGGTCGAACAGCAAGCCAACAGCTTCCCACGCTTCTTCACCACGATCGCAGAGCGTTGGCCGGCCGCGGCACGGTGTCATGAAGAATACAGTCGACTTCTTCAACCAATCCAACTAGAGTTCGCCCAGTTCGTCCACAGCAGGACGAGTCCAGTGAGTGGCGAGATGATGTTGAATGAGCGATCAGACATTCCCGAGTCTGTGGCGTTTTGGCCATTCACATATTCGGCCACGGACGCCAGTGGGATGGAGCTGGTCGACCCTTCTTGGTCTGTACCGTATGACTGGAGCGCGGAGTTTGCCTTTGATCTCGAGCTTCACCCATGAGAAATACCAACACCAGTCGACAGGCTCTCCTCAGTGTTCCGCTCAACGCGGAAACTCCATCCCCATTACTTCCAAGCCATCTAGACAGCTTAGAGTGCAATCAATAGTGTAGTCGCTTGTGAAAAGTCGGGGCCATGGCAGTTCTATACGCTCCACTTTGACCGGAACGAGGGTGGTAAAGCTGTTCAGAAAGTCGAGACGTAGTCTCTTATGGTGGTCTCGATGACACCTCAGCCCTGCGTGTTGGAAAGGATCACACATCGAGTCAGAAATGGGGCAAGATGTGAAGGAAAGGGGGTTGGGCGAAATCCTTCCTATCCTAAGAGAGCTAGCGTCAGCGGCTACTCCCGCCCATGGATTCTGACCTCACCTCTTGACCTTTTCTTTCCCCGATTCCTCGTTCTAGCAGTGACCCGCAACCATCGATCTCATCGCTGCCGATGGCGCGACACGAAAGCACTGCGGGGAACAAGTCTTATGATGCCTGTCAGCTCCTCCTACATATCCTGCTCTTTCCCGAAAGCGCCATCGAGGGCAAGCCATTTGGCGACCACGGCCAAATGGCTACAAACCCAATCGAAGATGTCCTGCACGAGCCAGCGAATGGAGCTACTCACAAGGGGGATCGAAGGCGTTGAGATCGCTTACGAGATTCCAACGTTAATCGGAACGAATGTGACATGCTGTGCGCCTTCAGCGTCCTAAGCGTCTCTGCCGCCTTTAGCGCTTCAGCCCGCTGACGTGGGTAAAGGCCAGACCAGTATCCTTGCAGGCCGTTACTCTGTGGAGGATGACAATCGACTAAAGGCTTGGATCTCAAAAGGACTGTGGACGGCGACGATGATCTGTCAATCATTCCTTACCTGCACAAGTTCAGAAGAATCGTAGACGGTCGCTAATGACGCTTGACCCATGATCCGTACAGTTCGATGTCAACAAGTATAATGTAGCCACACTTGCTCGGACTCGGGAGCTGCATCAGAACAGGTGCTTCGAGGAGCTTTTGACAGTGAAGCTCCCAGTACCAGCATCACGACCTCGCCAGAAAAGCCTAGGGATCCACGGAGAACTTCGGACAGCCCTTGTTGAAGGAGACAGCCTGGTGTGTGTAATCCAATATTCGGTCACTGCTCTGTTTGGAATTTGTCGATTCATTCAAAGATGACTAAAAATGAATTGTGTTCAGCACCGATGAGAGTAGGCTAGTACGCTCAAATCGGCCAGCTGGCAGATTCAAAGCCCGAAGTACGCTCTCGTGTGGCTGTAGCAGCTGATTCTACACCTTCATGCGCTACTACAGAGTCAATCGAGTCAATCATGCACCGGAATGCATGCCTTTTGCATCAGCAGGTTGTCCGGTTCGGGCTGTGACCGACACTCTCTTGCCGTTTCCAGAGAATTGACTAACCCAGGCACAATGATTGGTCGTTCGTGTTAACTGTCATCTCGATGTCGGTGTGCTGTATCTCATTCAGGACATCAGGAAATCGCACGATCTTTCGACCAGGACAGAAATCAACTGGCATGCGCGCGCACTGGATGTACGGCAAGCGCGAGGGGAAAGAAAGTCTGGAAGAAGTAAGTTAGATTATTACCGCAAAAGCAAAGTCATGAGATCCTTGGTCTCTTCCATGGATATTTAATGCCTTCATATTTCGAGTATGATGGTGGTGTCTTCGGTCATTCATCCAGCCAAAGGTGAAAGTCTCAAACACTTACACTCTCCATCATGAAACACATCGCAATCTTCGCCATCGCCGTGGCGGCCATCTACGCTTTCCCAACCGTGCTTCAAAATTCCGAAGTCTTGCCACATCTGCGTGAGCGCGACTATGCACAACCAGGCTGCACTGTCTCGAAGCAATGCAATGCTTACTTGGCGGTGTCCGATGCACAGGCTCATATCCCATCCACGGACAATGCTGCCACACTTGCCAGCAAGGCTCGTAACAATTGTGGTGCTGCGGCTCTTTGCAAGACGTTTGATGCGCAGGATCAGTACGTCTCTACGTCTGGCCCATACGCATACAAGTCTCCGGGATAAAATGATGTGAGTATCCAGTACGATATAAATTTCCATTAACTGATAATATGTCAGATTCGTGGACCATGCCCTGGCTTGAACGCCGCTGCCAATCATGGCTACATCCCTCGAAACGGGATCTTAACAATCCAGCAGACCGTTGACGGCTTACAGAAGCTTTATAACATGGCTCCGACTCTCGGTGCTTTCTTGGCTGCCTACTCGATTGCCTTTGATGGTGATGCTATTGCAATGCAGTGGTCCATCGGTGGGCCACTTCTAACAAATCCAGCATCGGCCCTCCTTGGCGTCCCTCAGGGCGACGGATACTCTCACAACAACTATGAAGGCGACACTTCCATCTCCCGCTACGACAGCTACACCAATGTGAGCTAGTTGCTTTCAGTAGCCTCGTCTCTTGTGCTGACCATTGGGAAGGGCGGAGATGCACACTCGTCAAGCCCAACTAGGTAGATGAAAAATCATTCAGCACATTTTCGGCACCACTGACACTGCCAGATTTGCCTACGCATATGCTTCGGGCATGAAGAACGACCGCTACACAATGGATACAATGTCACGCTTGTATGCGAAAAACACGCATCGGTCCATCTCCCAAAACGCCTACTACTTTGCTCCTCTCTTCTCCACGACACTGGTCAGCCCTGCAGCGTATAACTTCGGTGTGTCTGGGGCTTGCAGTTTTTGCCGATTCACATACTGACACTAATTTAGTTATTGCCTTCATGTCCAACCACTCGGCTTCGAATCCGGGCGGTTATCTGGATGGTGTACAGTTCAAGACCTGGTTTGACATGACTGGCCAGTATCCCAACTTCAAATGGCAGAAGGGCCAGGAGCGTATTCCTGACGTGAGTGTCTTACCGAAAGATGAAAAGATCGAGCTCTGATTACTGTCGTTACTCCAGAACTGGTACCATCGCCCTTCGACAGACCAGTACGCCATCAACAGCGTATTCGCAGATCTCATTCCCGAGTTCGTGGCATACCCTGACACATTCCGATTTGGAGGTAAGAATACCATATGGCTGGGAACATCTATTGCAGGCCAAAGACAAAGACTAACATCTGATGACAGGCAATACCGCTGGTCCCAACACATACGCTGGTGTCGATATCAGCAGTACGTCTCCATAAAATTCTTCTAGAAAAGCATCAGAGCTGACTTTGATTACGCAGATGTCACAGGCGGAGTCTACAACTCCGCCAACCTCTTCGACGGCGACAACTTTGCCTGCTTCTTCTTCCAAACAGAGCAGCAGGCAATCCCACAGATGCTCAAGGGCGGTCTCAACGATGTGGCTACAGCCACTGATCTCGTCTTGAAGTATCTTGGTCCGTTCGGTTCTAAGCTCCAATGCCCTCAAATTGGCAAATATGACAACGATGCGCTCACCAAGTACACTGGCTATGGCTATCACCCTATGGCCCCCAAGTCTGGCCCTAAGAATTGCTAGACCTGAGAAAAGATCCAGAAGAATCTGGATGGATTGATGGAGAGTGAGGCGGCTTGCCAGACTGACTGACACGACGTTCGTTTACGCTTTTGCAAAACTCTTAGCTAGTGCCTGACGATCGAGACGATGAAGTGCTTGATTTTGCGATCCTTCGCCTTCGAGATAGTTTATTGGAAAGAAGCGTCTTTGCCGTCCTCCTGCAGCTGTCTTGGCCCCGCCTTCCTCTTGACCGCAGCTGTTGACCTCACTATTCTGGCTTTCAACATTTCTCGACTGCATGAATGTGCGAACGCTTTTTCGCTTTGCCCCTCTTTTGCAAGACTCAGGACTGAGCTATCGACGATCGACACTGCAGGTCTTCGATTCTGGGGAACGGATCGTTCAAGCGATCGACACCGTGCTTCTGCTGCAATGAATCACCGTCAATGGAAGAACATGACCATGACTGTCTACCTAGTCCTCGGGTTTGGCTCAAAAGAGACTCTAGTTGAACTGTTACTTTTCTTTTGGGTATGCGTGATAGAAAGCAATATGTAAGGCTAACACTCTTCGACGTTCCCCCCATCCAACAGCAACACCCACCCACCGAACCCCTGCGAAAATGCTCTCTCCCACTTTCTCCCTCCTCCTCACCCTCCTCCCTCTCACCACTCTATCCGCACCCACCCTCGAAGAGCGTCGGGTCCGCGATGGCCGCTTCACCTTCTACCCCCTCAAGACGCCTCTCTCCGGGCCCTGCGACCTCGAGAGAGGCCCCGACGGCGCCCTCTGGGGCGAAATGATCCTCGTCAACAAGATCTTTCGCGTTGATCCCCAAAGCGGAGAGGTCGACGAATATCCCATCCCGTTCACGACGCCGTTGAGCAACCAGACGATTCCCGGGTTGAACAACCCGCTTGTGCAGGATCGGACGGCGTTGAGTTGTGCTATAAGGACCGGGGCTGGTATGTGTCATTCGTTTTTGGTTGATGAGTCGTCGACTGACTCTGTGTGAAAGATGGAAATCTGTACGCCGCAAACGGGCTGAGGAACCAGCTTCTCAGAATCAATCCTCGCACGAAGAACATTCAAGTCCTGCAGCCTCCGCCGAATCCACTGGGGAATCTGTTCAATTTCAACGATTTGTATACCGCCAAAGATGGCATCTGGTTCACGCAGACTACAGGAAACGTGTACGTTTTCCCGATTTCCTCCTCCAGCCCCCATCAAATTCTCTAACACACCCCCACAGCTTCCAATTCTACTCCTTCACCACCCAAAAATTCACAACCTACAACGTCCCCACACCCCTCGCCCTCCCCCTCGGCTGCTACGTCGACAGCGCCGGCCTAGTCTACATAGCCGAACTCGTGGCCAACAAAATCCTCGTCTTCAACCCCAAGACCAAATCCCTCGCCGAATACCCCCTCCCCCTCCCCCTCCAATTCCCCGCCGTCATCCGCGCCGAACGCGCCGGCTGGGTCTACTTCTCGCTCTTCATCGGCAACGGCATCGGCCGCATCAACCAGAAAACGCACGAGATCCAGCTGTTCCACACGAACCAGACGGGGGGTCTGGGCAGCGAGGATACGATCGACAAGTACGGGGGTGTGTGGTTGAGCTTTTTCACGACGGATGTCATGGCGAGGTTGGATACGAATACGTTGCAGTATAGCTACGTGCCGTTCCCGGATACGTTTGCGAGTGTCGGCGGGAATGGGGTTGCGGGGGATGTGCCGCCGTATGTGGATATTGCGGTGAATTATGGGCCGGGGGATGCGATTTGGTTTACGAGTATTTTGTATAATTCTGTGGGAAGGTATTCGTTGACGGGGTTGTATCATTGAGTGTTCCTGGCTGAGGAAGAGATTGTCAGAATGGATACGTGCTGAGCACCTGTGGACAGGCTGGGTCATTTGTAGTCGAGAGTGTTCACTTAGCATCGATATCTTTGCTGCGACCAGTCTCTTCATGATTTACGCAGCTGGTCTCCTCAAGCCTGGAGGGAAATCCCTCTCCACCGGCGGCCCACCAGTGCAAAGCGCATGGTCCAGATGCAGCATTAATCTCAAAAACAGTTGCGGTCTCTTGTAGATCAAGTTGCCCCAGTCCAATTTGACCCGGTTGCGTTGTCCAATCGATGGAGTTTCAAGCGAAGACCCTCCTCTCTTCTGCCAGCTAGACATAGAATTGATGAGTTCTTCATCATCTCCCACGTAGGCAATGACGTTGTTCAAACGCAGTAGTCTGCGCCCTCGAATCGCTCTTGTTGGGATTTGAGGGCGCGTGTGAAAATATCTAGCTTGCGGACTTCAACGGCTTTCATGGGGGGGCTTGTGATCGCGCGGCGGAGACGTTGATAGCTTTCAGGATCAGGGGTGGAGCGATGAGTGGAGTTGCGCTGATGGGGAGATACCTGATCACGCGCATCTGAAGTAATGTCAGCGAAGGCAAGTTTATTTAAGGAAAGAGGTACTTGCTTGTAGCATCTCCTGAGTCCGTCTCGAGACGTCACTATTCGCATGCTCGAGGGCCTCTCGACAGTCTTCAATGTCGAAGAGAGATCTCGATGCCGGAAATGACTCGTAGATCAGCAGCAAGTAGACGTTCAGCGCAAATGTCGCGGCGGAATGGTAGATGAAGAGCATGTTGACGTAAAGACACAATGTTTCCGGCGCATCTTCTCCATCTAGGCTGACAGGAAAAGGGAAAATTGGAATCGTTTCGTCGTGCCACATCTGCAAGGCTTCTAACGCATGTTGCACAGATTGGATAGTGGCTGCTAGTTTCGCTTCCGTTATGAAAGCGACACGATCGTCAATGCCTTCGAGATTGTATAGGATCTTGGTGGCCTTCGCAATGCAAGGCATGGCTCGACACATGGCGCTGAGCAACTGGACGATCCGCAACTGAGCCTCAGTGTGGTGTACCGGTGAATTGCCCAGCTCCGAGAAGTTTTCATCCGCGGTAAGAATATCTTCCTCACTTGAATGACTTTCGAGGTCGAGTTGGAGTGAGCGGCGCGTGCCTAGCGACAAGATGCGATCTCGAAAGATGACACCCCACCAGATGCGTTTTAGAAGTCTTGCTTTGTTCGGGTCCGTCTGCTCGAAGCGTTGATGTGAATTTGCTCTTGCAATCTTCGCAAACCTGATCGTGTGTGTAAGCCAGGACGAGTTGACACGTAGGCTAGTATAGCTGGTGATTGATAAGTCAACAGTAGGCAGGACTGTGCAAGTGCTGTAGGATCCTTTTCAGCACCAAAGTCGAACAGTAGCTTAGCCTGGCGGTAGAAAGCACTCCGAGCTTCTCTCTTACCGGTGAAGCCCAGACGTGGCAGTGTGTTGGAGTCGACCTGCGCCATGCTCGCGAACAGCATTGCTCGTAGTAGTAGCAGTGAGAAATCACCCAGCTGAAATCTTTCTCCGTCCCAGCGAGCCCAGAATTGATCTTCTATAACGACTGGAAGATTTGGATGGACCCATTGGAAGTATAGAAGTACCATCTCGTACAGAACGGCATCTGATGGAATATCAAAACAGCCTTGGCTTTGCAGGAATGCCGAGTCTCCAGGAGGAATTTCAGCTACCTGGAAAGACGATGAGATGTCAGTGTCTGGTCGAGGTCCTCCGTCGTGCGTTGCAATAGGCAGAAGGTTATTGGCCGTAAATGTAAAGATGTCATCAAGGTCGGTGAGGTGGCTAAAGTCAGCCATGGCCGATGTAGCGCCAAAGACAAGGCTCATATCGTTTGTAGCATTCTGATCCCACCAAGAAACAGGCTGCGTGTTTCTAGCCTGTGACTCGCCAGAATTAAAGCCCATTCCGTTCGCTGTCGGCTCGCCTTCGACTCGCTGTTTCGAGATAGTATTGGCTGGAGTTTCAGACTCATCCTGCAGAACAATAACCTCATCGTCATCAGACGGAGTCGCATCCTGTCTTTGATTCTTGCGCCGCCTTATCACGCAAGGCTTGTCGCAGCTCTCGCAATTGGCGCAAGGAACTCCGGAGTCCAGGACGTTACATCGGATCTTGCGGGAATGGCAATGTTCGCAGACTTTCCTCGAGCGGACGTGATTTTACTTGCGTTTGACACCTCCGTTGGAGCTGGCTGATGAACTTCCCTGTAACATCGTTGTTAACCACCCTCATCTACACGAAAGAAGGTTTGCCCGTGAAGTTGGATGGCAATGGAAATGACGACGTCTGTCCAGTCTGAATACCTGCGATTTGCAGTGCAGTGCCCTCGGACATGAGCGCGATCAGCCTCCACCCCGCAGGCAGGATGCGATTTGGTGGAAAGCCGATCAACATCGCCGGGAATAAAGACATTGGCTTGACGCATAGAAATCGTGTTTAGGGAGTCTCTGCACTGTTCTTCTGGGGTTGTTCTTCTTCAATATCCAGGGCCAGATGAGAGCCACGAACTTCGCACTTTTGCTACCTCAGCCTTGAAAAGCCGACGCTCCGTTGCTCAAACGCCAGCATGCAATATTGCAACGCTATTGTGTGGAACAACGACCAGCAAAGTTGTTCCACGTTGGCGAGCTGAAGAATGGCGCCGATGCGCATGTTTAAAGTGTTATTGGTCAACCACACCCTCCCGGAGAAGAATTGCAACACTTAACGTGACAAGTCGCCATCAATCCTAGCACTCTACTCAGTAAACACAACCTGACTCATCATTCCTTCAGCTCAAAGACTTTACCACGAACTATTACTTAGCACGGATATTCGCCCTGTCGATCCGGACACGCCCATCTCGTCTCAGCAAGATAACTGACAACCCCTTGCGTCGCAGATTTAGCAAACACTCCTACCCTCTGCAGTCGAAAGTCGGCCGGAACCAAGACCGCAGTAGGGTTGGCAGGCGAATCGAGGGTGTTGTAGATGAACGTGTCTCCAACTTCGGAGTTGTCGAATAACTGCCCAAGCGTGAGTATGATAACGTGAGGATAGGAAAACGGTCAACACTTACGCCTTGAGTAAGGACGTAATACCCCTCCGCCCCCTCCACAGCCTCCCACTCAACCAAAACCTCCCCACTCGCCTGCGTAGTCGCATTAACACTCCCCGGCGACGCCGGCAAAGACCCCACAACATTCGTCGGAGTAATCGGATCGCTAATCCACGGCGCATCAATATGCACCCTCCACGACGCCGGCAACTCCCCATTCCTGCCCCCTTCCTCCTCCGGCACACCGCCGAAATACGGCCTGGAGCACGCCTCCTCGATGTCGTACACCATCAGAGCATACTCGTCGTCGAGGGACCAGAGCCCGATGCCGGCGTTGAAGTTGGACCCCACGCGCGACGACATCCAGGATTTGGAGCAGTCTTCGAGTTGGATGAGGCGGGAGGGGTCGCGGGTGTATTGGGCTTCGAAGACGACATTGAAGGTGCTGTCGACGCGGTCGCGGGCGAAGGTGAGTTGGTAGGTGCAGTCGCGGACGCGGGTGGCGGTGAAGTTTAGGGGGGTTCTGTAGGCGTCGTAGGGGAAGGGGGTGCTGGTGGTGAGGGTCTGTTAGGACATAGGCTGGTGCTATATGCTGTGACTGTTGCGCTCACCTCTGGCAAGCTGCGAGTCTGGCCAGCACCGAGCTGATAAAGGTGAGCGAGAGGATCATGTTGTTGTTTGCAGGTGTTCTTTCGAGGGCGTTGTTCAGAACCTTCGGTTGATCATGAGTAGACTCGCCATTCTTATCTTTTCTCCATACTGCAGCGCCAATGTTTGTCTTCGCAATTTCTCGCGTTGTCACATACACACTCACATGCCCAGGCATTGCAAGTGCATTGGCTTTACTTGGTACACCCAGGACTCGCCGATGAAGTTCTCGCCAAGCTCTTGGCCAGTCTGCTGTATGTCATCAGCGGCTAAGATCGATCTGCCGGTCCATGCCGTTTAGATCAAGATGCTTTTTTGTGGTTCCTGCCTGACCTGTTCCATGTATGTTGTAGGATCCGCCAAGGTGTTCGACAAGTACGGAGGCGTACCTCTATCAGGCAATACTGCATCAGGTAGGTGCTCAGCTCTTTTCCTGCTTTTTCATTCAGAGAGCAAACTTCATCTTTCGTCATTCCTCCAATCACTCATCTTGCATGTCCAAGGCCGGATACGAGACACTCGTCAAGCTGGCATTGTACACATCTCGGACAAATGCATTGCTGCTCCAGAAGCTGCCGCTGAAGTCCATGTCGTACCTGTAATTGAATTAGTATGGGTATAATACATCTCTCGGCACATCATACCAGTAGTTCACCGAGCACGCAAAACCCTCATCTCCATTGCCTTGCCCCACCTTGTGGTACCACATGGCAGGCAAGTACATCATGTCGCCTTCATTGAGAGTGACTTTCAGCGGTTTGGAGTATTTGGAGTAGACTGTTGGTCGAAGTTCAGGCTCGTCTGGATCCCACAATGGTACTGGTGTCGGCCCGATATCTTTGTTGGTCTCCACGACAAGATCTTCTCCATCATCTTCCGTAGGTCGATAGCGAGCAAACGAAAGTGGCGACTCATTCACACAAGGCATTTCGATAGGTGGCAGCAAGATAAAGTGCTTCTGTCCTCGAACTTGCACGTAGATGTTCTCATAGTTGTCCTTGTGCAGAGAAGTCGTGGATCGATCATTTCCAAGCCAAAAGTTCACGGCATCTGGATCCTGTCCCAAGGCTTCGGTTGCAAAGGCAATATGAGTGGGTACATCTCCTGCAAGATTGGCATATTCGAAAGGCAAATTGCCATTTTCTGTCGCTTGCATTAGCTTTTGCGAGTAGCAAGAGATGCCTGATAAGGCACGTTGCACGCACGTGTCTGAGCATATCTGACATTCCGTCCACGGGATCGGTCTTGCGAGCGCGAATCCTCCTGCACGACAGAGAGGAAAGTTTCAAAAGGCTCGTTCACCTCATACGGCTCGACGAAGAGCAGTCTGCCGGCCTCGTCCGCAACCACGGCATCGGCATTTCTATGATTACACACTAGTGTTCAGTAAGCTGCATACCAATTGCAGTATAAGAAAGGCCATACGGACGAAAGAACCGACCGAAACTCCATCCTTTTCAGATCGTCTCACCTACCCATGCGGCGTGACAGCGACCTTGACGTCTCGGCCCTTCATCGCGTCACGCAAGTATGCCGCGTCCCATTTCCTGAGCGCATCCCAGTCCTTGGCACCTCTCCGGACGATAAATCCGCGGTTCGTGCTGACATAGCGCATAAAGTCCAGGGCGGTGGGCTGCTCGGCCAGCTCGTCGAGGACAGTGGGATTCAATTCGTGGTAGGAGGTGATTACGCTTCTGATGGAAGGGGACTCGTCCATCTCGGGGCAACCAGCATCCGACTCGAGCGGAAGTTGCCAGGAGGAAAATGCGAGGAGCCCTCGTTGGACACTTGATGGAGGAATCCGAGAGCGAGATGTCTGAGCTGCGGACGAGGGCTTTCCCGGTTAGGGCCCACGCGATGCTTGTCTGTTCGTGCGGCGAGGAGATGTGATTGATGAGAGAAACAGCAGGAAACGAGCCGTCAATCAGTCATCGGAGGAGAGAAAGCCCCGATATGCCGGAATATCAAGGCACCCAAATCAGCTAATCCTGATGCCAAGAAGGTAATAAATACGAAAAGAAGGATAGATTGCTGAGCAAGACGCGCGCGTCGATCTGCAGCCGACACGGTGCGTCACGACAAAAGTCAGACGCCAAGCGATCCTGGTCGCTGCTCCTTCAACCTCATGAACCTAGGCTGTAAGTGAAAAACATACGACTAGCCCTTCGCACCGGCCGAAGTGGTGGTACCGCATCCGTGAGGCTGTCACCGCGAAGGCGTGGAGGATCATGATACCCCAGCGCTGAATCTACTCCTTCCCGTTATCGCTCTTTCATTCACTCACTTACCGCCCACGATGCTGGGCAAAAAGCGCTCGCATGCCTCGTTCAGCATGGACGCCTCGCCCACCACGTCGCCCACCACCTCCGAACTCATGAACCAGGCCCCGACCAATGCCTTGCGCGAGATCCCTCGTTTTGTGCAGTACACCAGTGCCGCGCCCAACTCGGCACCGCAAGACCTCGCGCCGAGGGCGACGACCCTCCCGCTGAACCTCATCGCCCTGATCGTGTCGTATCTCGATGATATAGGGGATATCGCGCGGGTCACGCGAACATCGCGCCTGCTGTACTACATGACGCTACCGCAGCTGTATGAAAGAGTCGCACTACATTCGTATGGAGAGATGCGCTATGTGAATGGCAAGCCGGAGGGCTTTGGGAGTGGAAGTCCGTTCATGATGGCGCTGGACGGGCTGGTCACAAAAGCGCATGGCTCGCTGGTGAAGCATTTCAGGGTATGGGGCCAGTGGAGAGAGCTGGGGATAGATGATTTCGGAAAGGGCAGGGTGCCGGACAACTCCATGATGCTGAATACACTGCTCCGGGCTGCCATGGACAAGATGAGCAAGCTGGAGTCGTTCTGCTGGGAGCTGGATTGCAAGCCGCTCAAGACGCTCTATCTAGGCCTCGGCGCACACAACAACCTCGTGAGCTTCACATTACGATTCCCATCGACCAGAATACCGCGGCCGTCTGTACTGATTCCCCCAATGGCCAACCTGCGGGTCTTCAAAGCTATGGACATCGACCCTATGTGCTACCCGGACGACATCAGCATGCTCATGCTCCACTCCAAGAAATTGGTCGATGTGCGCTTACACTTCTCCCCACGCATGCGCCAGGAAGCGGAATCAATCATGAACCTCAACATGTTCTTCGGGCGGTGTCACAAAGCAGGCTACAAACTGAAAGTGAAGCACTTCGCCTTGCAGAACTTCTTCGGCCCCAACGTCCTAGGCATGGAACAGATCTTTGACGTCGACCACTGCACCAGCATAACATTCCTCGACACGTTCGGCGGAAACGACCCTCGCACCATCTTTGTGGACGATACATGGAAGAACGTGCCTCTCGATCTGTATGCCAATTTCCACTCCGTTCGCTGCAATGAACTTGCACCACAGCATATCGAGATCATGAAGAATGCGGCTGGCAAAATGAGGGCTCTCTACGTCGTCAATGAACGTCGTGGAAAGACTGGTTACACGCCTCCAGATGCCGCTGCACCCAGTCCTCTGACTCCCAACGGCGACTCGCACATGGATGCCGACGCAGCAGCACTAGGCCCAGAGTATCTATACACGATCACACGATACCACGGCGACACCCTCAAGCACCTCTTACTATCCGACCACTGGTGGCTCTCCAACGACGACGTAGTAGACATCGTCCGCTACTGCCCCAACCTCGAACAACTCGGCCTCGCCATCAACACCCCCGACCACAACATCCTGCGCCTCATGATGCCCTTCCTCCCCAACCTCCAAGTCGTCCGCGTCCTGCACAACGAGCATCTCACGCAGCACCTCCGCATGGTATCCCACGAAGAACGCATGTGGGAGATGGGGAACGAAGCCGCACAACGGCCCCATCAGAATATGAAAATGATCGGATTGGGTGAACACTTCTACAAGGTGGGAAAGCTGGTCGAGCTCTTGCGCGAGAATGGCGCGGTGGAGCGGAGGAGGGAGATGTCGATGGTGGGGAAGGAGGAGGCGATGAAGTATGAGATTTGGAGGTTGGATTGTTTGGATATCAGTGTGGATCCGATTGCGAAGTGGGATCCGTGAGAGTAATACTTCCGCATGGAAAAAGATTGGATACAAATCTCTCTACTCAATCAACACCGGCGCCTCGATATCCGGCCGCAGTTTCGACCACCGACTGTGCAGGACTTTGCCATCTTTGATCACCGCCAGGAGATGTTTATCCGGCCGATCGAAGACCTCGATATCTTCCAATGGGTTTGCGTTCAGAATCAACAAATCCGCGACGAAGCCCTCCTTGAGTCTGCCGAGTTTGTCTTCCTGTCGCAGCATCTTTGCCGCGTTGACGGTGGCGCTTTGCAGCACTTTCAGAGCGCTCAGACCAGCTTGTCTCCGAAGCGCAAATTCGCCTGTCTGCTTGACCTGGAGAGGTCCTAGCAGATCCGTGCCGTAGCACATGGTCACGCCTGCCTGGTCGGCGATTTGGATACTTCTCAGCCCGGCGTCGAGGACTTGCAGGTTCTTGGCTGCTATTGAGGGTGGAAGAAAGCTGCCGAATTCTTTGGATGCCATGGTTTGGTATGTCACCAGTGTGGGCGTCAGGAAGGCGCCTTTTTCGGCCATGAGCTTTGCGGTGGGCTCGTCGATTAAATTGCCGTGTTCGATTCCTAGGACGCCGTTTTCGACTGCGTTACGAATCGCGGCGGGCGTGTAAGCGTGCGCTGTTACCCACGTACCGGAATCGCTGGCGACCTTTGTGAAGGCTTGGATCTCCGCTGGCGTGTATTGGAGATTGGTCAATTTATCAGTCGGCGAGACAACACCGCCGCTGACCTAGAACAATGTCAGCCTACTCCCACGGGGCCAATCGCAGGACTGCCCACCATGATCTTGATAAAATCCGCCCCCTGCCTCAACTCCTCCCTCGCCGCATGCAAACACTGCTCCACCCCATCCGCAATCCGCCCCAACCCATGCGTGTTCCCGCCACAACACGCATACTCCTCGTCCTTGGCGCCCCTCAAATCCCCATGCCCGCCCGTCTGCGAAATCCCATGCCCCGACGTAAACACCCTCGGACCGGGATACAGCCCCTCTGCCAGCGCCTCCTTGACCGCCAACCCGGCCCCGCCGCAATCCCGAATCGACGTGAACCCGCGCTTGAGCATCTGGTGCGCGAGATACGGCTGTCGGAGCAAGGAGGTGTTGGGGTCCTGGTTCATCGTCGCGGAAAGGCCTTCTTCACCCGGTGGCGTGGCGAGGTGCACGTGGCAGTCGATTAAGCCTGGCAGGACGAATTTCCCGTCGAGGTTGATGATGGCGATTTCTTGGTTCTGCGTCCAGGAGAGGACTTCATCGCCGGGCGAGGGCTGCGCGGAGAGTTTGGTCATGCGGTGGATATGCCCGGCGTGCAGGTCGATGGTGACGTGCGTGTGGAGGGAGCCGTCTTTGGGGTCTTTTGAACAAGAGAAAGTTTTAGCCAAAACATGTATTTGTAGTATAGAGAAACAGTCGTGTACTTTGTATAAGTATGAAAGCTCAATTGAATGCTAGCTTACCTATCAAAGTCGCATCGACGAGCCTGTACCTCTTCGGCGGGGTCGTAGTCCAGGGTTTCAAGGCTGTGGTTGCGGTAGCCATTTTGGGATCTTGTCGGAGGGTGTGGCGTGTTAGGTCGTCCACCAAGGTGTCTGGTTCCTGGTCCTTTACAGATGGAGGTGGGAGCTCAGTCATGGCGGGATGTTCTCAACTTCCCAATGGCGGGCGTTTGGCCTTTTGGGTTTCTTGGCGTTTTGGGGTCTGTGCTTTACCTGACTTGTTGGACTTCACCTTTCACTTCTTCGTAATTCTTCCCAATGAATGAAGTCTTTTCTCTGGTGGCAGGTCTTCTATCACTGACTCTGATCTCAGTGAGATGACAAACATGCCCCAGCGAAATCGGCCTCGTAGTTTTCCGTCGGCGGCGAAGACTTACGGCGGACGCGTTGCCCGTGCTATCATGCGCTGATCTTTGCCCTATCATTCTGAGGAGATAGAGAGCACATGGAGGGGAAGGTCAAGTTGAGTTCGATGAGAAGGTTTTCTTTGAATTTCTTTCATTTTGTCGCCACTGAATGCCAAGGGCCAGCATGATGAACGTCGAGAAGAAGGTTCCTCTCGAGGACGTGGCTCCCGAGTTTGAAATCGGGAACGGCGTCGTCAAAGTTTCCGCAGAGATAACGGAAGAAGAGAAGAGGGTGAGGTGGAAAATTGATCTGGTGGTCTTGCCGATGGTAAGAACCCTTCATCCAACATCCTGAACATAGACGAAACTTACGAATTTCCTAGATGTGCCTCGTCTTCTTCACGCAATACCTCGACAAACAATCCCTCTCCTACGCCTCCGTCTACGGCCTCCTCACCGACCTCAACCTCACCAACAACCAATACTCCTGGCTGACGAGCTGCTTCTACCTCTCCCAGCTAGCGTCAGAATGGCCGTTCATCTACCTCATGAGTCGACTGCCGATCGCCAAGTTCGTGGGCTTTACGGTCATCCTGTGGGGTGGCGTGTGTATGTGCCTCGCGGCGCCGAACAATTTCGCGGGGTTTGCGGCCGTGAGGTGTTTGTTGGGGTTTACGGAGGGGGCGGTCAGTCCGGCTTTTATTACGATTACCTCGATTTGGTATAAGAAGGAGGAGCATCCTTTGAGGGTTGGGATGGTGAGTGTCGAATCATGAAGTCCTTGTGTGAGACGTGCAGGACTATGGCTGACACTCTTCTGTTCTGCGTAGTGGGTTACGTGCAATGGCCTGGCTCAGATTGCGGGCTCGCTCATGATGTACGGCATTGGCGAGAACCTATCACACCTGTCCATACAGCCGTGGCGGGTCATGTTTCTGGTTGCTGGCGGCGTCACGATCTTTGCTGGTATCCTCTTCTTCGTTTTGATGCCAGCAGGCCCAGATACGGCGTGGTTTCTCACACCTGAGGAACGAACCGTCGCAGCACGACGTCTAGCCTCGCAACACGACGGCGGCGACAAGACGACTTTCTCTTGGGCACAGTTCAAAGAAGCATGCCTAGACCTCAAGACCTTTCACGTCTTCATGTTCGGGCTCTTGGTCACTATGTGCAGCCCCGTGCTCACCTTCGCATCCTTGGTGATCAAGAATCTCGGCTACACATCTGGTGAAACCCTCCTCTATGGCTCGCCCTCTGGAGCGGTACAGATCTTCTTCATCTGGGTCGGTGTAGCAGCCTGCTGGTTCTTCCCCAACAGCCGCAACCTCACCGTCTTACTCCTCAGCATCGTCCCTCTCGTGGGATGCATCCTCCTCACCGTCCTACCACTCGACTCAGGCTGGGGCATGATCGTAGCCAGCTGGCTAGCATCGGTCATCAGCTCCCAATTTAGCGTTCTCATGTCACTCTCCGCTAGCAATGTGCGTGGCAACACCAAGAAAGCCTTCGTCAACGCCGTCTTCTTCGTGGGATATTCAACTGGCTGCATCGCCGCTCCTCAGCTCTGGTATGTCGTACAAAGTCGACTCTATAGCTGGCTTGCTGACCTTGGCCCGCAGGACCGAGCCTCCAAGATATTCAGCCGGCGTGATCTGTGCTCTCGTCGACTGGGGTCTCGTCTACGTTTTCATTCCTTCGTATTGGTGGTTATGTTACCGCGAGAACAGCAAACGAGACCGTCAGCAAGGCCAAGTCGCTGGCTCATTTGTGGCGGGCGCAGATGTCACCGACAAAGAAGACAAATCGTTTCGATACACCACATAGCTGATGCAAACACATGTTTACGTGCGGAGAGGCACGTCAAATACATGCATGACCGAGAACCCTAATGCTACTACTTCATTCAGGAGGATTTGCATGTGATTTCTGATCAAGACGATCTACAGCTGACTTAGCCAGACGACTTGTCAACTTCGGCCGTCCCAGAACATCACCCACACGTTGCACAGATTCCAAGACGACTAAACAGCATTGTCTGATCAAGGCGGTTTATTGACGCAACCGGTGCGTGCTTGTTCCGCATACCCAACAAGCGGATCTCGCTTCTCCAGCTCCTAGCGCCGCAGATGAAGCCCACGGTCGAATAGCACCGACCTATGCCCAGTTCAAGACACATCAAACCAAAAGTCAAAAGATTACCAAGTCGTCGTGGGAACTGCTCGTCGCGTTTCCCGACCTGACTAAACTGCCCTATAGAGTCAAAGCCCAACCCTGAGATTCTCGCATTCCCTGGGGGCTGAGACTCCTTCACAGGATCCTGGCTCATGCAGCTATTCGCCCTCTTAACTCTTTTGGTTGAAAGGGCACGCTTGGCTCCTGCCATTATGTGCGAATAACTCTTGGGATTCAGTTCGCTTGGTGAGAGGTGTTGCTTGTGGAGAATGATATAAGAGTGCGAGGCGATCTCGCGGATCGAGATCTTGATGAGATTCCGGCTGCTCCTCTTCGATACTTGATCCCTCTCGTTGCGTCTGCTATCTCGACCTCGTCTGAGCTCGACAAAAACATGGCGCATTCAGCCCTCTCGAACAAGTCCTTCGACTTCATCATCGCCGGTGGCGGGACAGCAGGTCTGGTGTTGGCTTCACGCCTCACGGAGAACCCAGACTTCAATGTTCTGGTTATCGAGGCTGGATCCGATCGACGAGGTGATCCTATGATTAGCACTCCCGGTACCTTCCTTCAACTATACGGCAACAAGAAGTACGATTGGGACTTCAAGACGGAACCCCAAAAGAGCGAGAATGGCGCCGTGCATTGCTGGCCACGAGGCAAGGGGCTTGGTGGATCGTCGATGATTAACTTCTTGATGTACTCGCATTGCTCGAAGAGTGATTTGAATATCTGGAGAGGTAAGTCATCCAAGCGTCTTAACTGTTCGCTTGCTAATAGATTTCTTCATCAGACCTAGGCAACCCAGGCTGGGGCTGGACCGATATCATCCCCTACTTCCAACGGATCGAACGAATGCACCTGCCGTCAGACCCAACACGCACCGCACTCTCAACAGAATATATCCAACCCTCTCTCCGCGGCACCTCCGGCATGATCCACACGTCCTGGCAAAGCGACGCCTTCAGCTGGGCGCAGGAGACGTGGCCGAAGCAGAGTAAAGCGATGGGGTATCCGACGTCGACGGATCCCCGGACGGGCACGAGTCTGGGTTTGTTCAACCAGCTGACGTGTGTGGATCCCAAAGACGGCACGAGGAGTTATGCTGCGACGTCGTATTTTGTTGCAGCAGAGGGGCGGAAGAACTTGACAGTCGTGACGGAGAGCGTGGTTAAGAAGATCCTCTGGGATACATCAGGCTCGAAGCCCCGAGCAATCGGCGTCGAAATGGAAACAAACAGCTCAACGATCCAAGTGCAAGCAACCAAAGAAGTCCTCCTCAGCGCCGGCACAATCCAATCCCCCCAACTCCTCGAACTCTCCGGAATCGGGGACCCAACCCTCCTCCAAACCCACGACATCCCCCTCGTCGTGTCCAACCCCTCCGTCGGCGAGAACCTCCAAGAACACCCCATGGTGGTCCTCTCCTGGACCACCAAACCGGGCCACCCCACTGCAGAACACCTCCGCGACGACCCTTCCCTCCTCGCGCAGGCCATGGACACGTACGCCAAAACCGGCGGGGGCCCCATGGCCGCCGCCGTGACCACGACGGGGTTCCTCGACCTTCACTCCGTCACGCGTCCGGGAACGGATTGGTCCGCCCTCGCGACCCCCGACACACACCTCCCGCAGCGCCAGCTCGACCTCCTGATGACGCAGCTCGAAGACAAAAAGGAAGCCGTCTACCAAGTCTCCGCCATCCCCTCCGGCAACACGCCCTCCCTGCGAGGAATCGGGAATTCGGCCATGTTCTTCCATTCTGTGCCGGGGAATTACTTCTCCATGTCGTGCGGGCTCATGCACGCCTTCTCGCGCGGGAGCGTACATATCAAGTCTTCCAACGTCCACGACTACCCGGAGATCGACCCGCGGTACTTGAGCCACCCGATGGATGTGGAGTTGTTAGCCCACTCGCTATTTCACATGAAAGAAGTCGTCAAGACCCCTCCATTAGCAGACTTCCTCAAAGACGCCTCAGACGGCAGCGGCGAGAAGGAGTTCATGCCCGGGCTGAAACCTTTCAGCACGCTGGCGGAGGCTCGAGAGTTGGCCAAGGAGAGACAGTTGACGATGTATCATCCGACAGGGACGTGTGCGATGTTGCCGAGGGAGGAGGGGGGCGTTGTGGATACGGAGTTGAGGGTATATGGGACGGAGGGGTTGAGGGTGGTGGATGCGAGTGTGTTTCCGATGAATGTGCAGGGGAATATTATGAGTTTGGTGTATGCGGTGGCGGAGAAGGCGAGTGATGTTATCAAGGAGACGTATGCTGGGGAGAGGAAGGCGAATGGGGTGGATGGGACGAGTCATTGAGGGTCTGTTTGATGCTCGCTCGCTCCTGTATTGACATAGTATACAAGTCGCTTTTCTTCGAAAGTGATCGAATCAACACATGCCAGGACAACTTCGACCTCATGTGGAGATAGGCTTAAGTGTCGAAAGACTTGGCCGTGAACTTGTTGTCCATGATGCCGTGGGTTGGCTCCTTGCCGAACTTGACCAGAGCCGTGTCTGGGCGATAGATCTTAGGAACAGACACGGACTTCGCATCGAGCAGACCGCCGGTGATCTCCGCGATCAACTAGACACGCTTCGTCAGCACATACACATGGAATAGAGAGCATCGTGTCAAAACTTACCGACTTGAATCCACCACTCGCCCGTACGTTACACTTCCGAGTATTCTCTGCGTGGCCCACCAAAGCCGACGCCTTCTTGAATCTCTTGAAGCAGCTCGGACATTGAAAGTGTCCTGGAAGATGGAACATGGTGATATGATCTTGAAGGTCGACCAAAGCGTGGAATGCGATGCCGTCGCTCATGCAGTCAGGGAAACGGCAGGTGTAGACTCCGGTACTCTCATCCTTGAAGAGGTCTGGATTGTAATCTTGGGAAGACGGATCCCACCAGCGAGCCTTCATGAGGTTCTTGCCATCATCGGCCAATGATTCTTCTTCGCGCTGAGCGAGAACCGCGTTCCAGTCTCCTGCTTGGAGTGGTGTCGGCTGGGCTTTTGCGAAGAGCTTCTTCGAGGCATTCGAAGATGTGCCCCATGCCGATGGCTTGCCGCTGCTTGAAGCCCACACTTGAACCGCTCCGGAGGTATCGGGCGCCAGATACGGATAGCTTTGATCGTAGCTACCAGCACTTGTACCCGAGACTGAGCGCGGAGTAGCGGTGGTGATCGACATGTTGCGCATTGATTGCGTGAGTGATGCCTGAGAGGGTGGTGCTGGTCGCACGTTCATGCTTGCCCGCGATGGAGTCGGTGAGGCTGTGCTCATGTAGTCTGAAGAGCTGCTCAGAGGCTTGTATCCCGCCAATTGCGCTTCATCTTCCTGGTCAAGGAGAGATACACCTCCGTCGTCTTGGTCGTGAGTCTCGGTTCCGTCGGTGACTGCTGGTCCTGCTGGTCCTGCTGGTACTTGGCTCAATTTGAACTTATCGGGTGCGCGAAGCACTTGCTTCACGACAAACTTGTGGCAGATAGCACGGAACAGCTCGTGTGGTCGGATTTCACTGCAGCCGTTGTCTTCAATGTGGACGATCATGTTGGCGGCTCGGACGAAGTGACTCTTGCAGCCGGGACACTCGATGTCCTGGTCAGCAGGATGCGCCTATGGAGGTAATGTCAATTTCACCCTCAACTATCCCCAAATTCTTCAAGCACTTACCTGCTGCCGATGAAGCTTCCTGCCACCGAAGCTCTTGAAGTCCTCGCCACAGAACTCGCACACGATGTGCTTCGGCTTGTTGTCATCCGTCGCAATGACTCTACGCTCGAGGAAAGGAGCCATCATGTCGACTTTGTGTCTCGTCAAATCCTCCCAATCCTCGCAGTCCACATCGCATTTATAGCAATAGAAATGCTGCGGGTTGTCCCTCTTGTGCCGCCTCATCTCCTTGTCGGTCTCGAAGAGTTTCTCACAGTCGGAGTGGGTACATTTGACCTGGTGACTCTCCTGGAACGGTACGTGTTGCACCTCAGTTCTGGCGTTCGAATTTGAAGCTGCGTTTGCCCAACCGGATGATGCCCTCGATGAGGGCTTGATCGCGGGTGCCATGCTCGTGTGGGTGGCGCGATATGGATCTGGAATGATTGTTGGTGTGGAGTTGCCAAAGAAGGTGGTGGTGTTGTTTGGTTGAAGTTGCAGTCAGATGAGAGAAACAGTGTTGGAAGTGTGGTGTTCCAAGCGCGGCTTGTGCAACGAGTGAAGGAAGGCGCGAGGCAGCATGTGTCATGCACGTGAGCAGCTCGAGACGCCAAGCCCTTTCGCCAGTCTTCAAACTGTCCAAGATACTGAGAGGTCGCTATTTCTGGGTTTGACAGCGGAGAGAGAGGGGGTCAAACCGTGGGCAGGCGCTGTTCGCTGCCAATCCTCGTGACGGCACATGCAGCATCGATCCAGTCGAAGTCACTTTCCCAGTAGCTACAAGAAGTAGCCTTTACCTCCGCCGTGTGATCTGCCTCTGACACCGCGAAATCCACATTCATTCCGCTGGGTTCCATCTCTACCTTTCAGGTACTGGCTAGGAAATCGAATGATGCCATCGCTGGTCAGTCCAAATGGCAAGACATTGGGATGAATCAGGTGAAATTCTTACCGAATAAACAGGGTTTGCTATACTCGGTTCAGTGTTTCCTCGACTTTGCGACCCAGTGCGCACTCTCAATCGCTAGTAAACGATCCTGTGCCATATTAATTCATTCTGCTCGCTGCTGCTGCTCGCTGCTGCTCTCCTCTCTGCTCAGACAACCGATCCCACGATCCCTCGAAGAACAAAACGAATGAGAGGTATCTCAGGGGCATGTAAGTACAGGTATTGCGGAGATGAGACAAGATAAGGTGATGAAGATGGCGATTTATCGCAAGGTGGGTAATAGTATTCGGCGGAAGTTCAAAAGCTTCACATATGCTACACTTAGAAGCGCGTATATGGCAACCTGTCTGTATTTAGCTTCGATCGTGCCGAACGGCTATTGCGAGAGTACTCACCACTTGCCCCTCAGCGTGATCTTTACCCAATCGCCCTTGTCATCGGTCTCCTTCTCGACCTGCCGCAAGTCAGCACACGTCTCCTACCCGTATCTTACATCCCCGCCGCATGTGTCCCAAAAACGATACGAAGTCCAACTCAGCAGTATCGCGCTCTTCAAACTCACCTTCGTCGAAAAACTAATCGCGCTCATAATCCCATCCCCAAACTTCTCATTCATCACCGCCTTATACGCATACCCATAATTCTGCACAATCTCATACAGCCGATACATCAACGGCTCCTTCGGCGGCATCTCCATGCTCCGGCCGCGATCCGGCAGCGCCGTGATCTCCGTCTGTCGCAGCACCTCCTCGGGGATGTCGAGGATTTGGGAGAGCTTGGTGATGTCTTCGTCGGAGGCGTTGCCTTGGCCGTAGAAGATGGCGGCGACGGCGACTTCCTCGCGGCCGAGCTCGGCGGCGATGGTTTCGAAGGAGAGGTTTTTGGCTTTCTTTTGCGCGAAGAGGAGGGGGCTGTGGGCGGGGAGTTTGTGGACGAGGTCTTGCTGGAGGGGGTATTAGTCAATGGGTATGGCCATATTAGTGGGAGACGTACAGTTAAGACGGTGATGGGAGCACCACTCGAGGTTCCTTGCTTGTGGGACATCGCGAAGTCGGTATCGTTGTGATTAGGTGGGCGGTCTGTACAGTCAATGCGATTCTTCGGAAACGAGCGAGAGCTATAAGAGACAGATCTGGAATCAGAAAACCAAGCGAGAAGCTGCCATACTTATCTACCTCCACCTTCCCACAGAGCTACGACATCGAGGAGGAGGTGAAGTGGAGTCGCGACACCTCAAGCGTTCGTCAGACCCGCCCCTCTGCCGGCCTTGAATCCGGTCCTCTCGCAGCATAGCTGCATCGCCTTGCTGCATATGTTTTCCAAATCATCCCGGCTCTCGCGACGAGATGATCCACGAAGGATGGAATGTGTGAAGAGAGATCTCCTCGGCGAGATATGACGTCCAAAGCTGACTGCCCTTTCCGGACTGGCGTGCACAAGCCAAGGCACTTGGCGAGACTGTCCGCTCGTGCGGTGGATTGTGCTGTTGGTTGTTGTAGATATGAAAGTACGTAAACCAAGATCTGAACAGGAATGATAGTGAAGGATTTGAGCGGCTGTGTTGCGGAATTGGAAGAAGGCGTTCTCTAGCTCAGAATATCAAGAAGCCATAAATCTCAAGCTAACACGAAGATCTGGAGCCACGTCACGTGTACTCTACTAAGTGTAGGCCCAAGTCGAAGCAAACTCCACTCAGTAACGACAGAACGACAGTAGCTCTTTCCATAAATCGAAGACTCTGTCTTAACACTGCTTATCACTCAGGTCACAGCAAGTCGTCTGAACCCTCACGAAATCGAATTGAGCCAAGTCGATAAAGAAGTCGTCCGGATTGTTCCCAGTGTTGCGAGCAGTAACAGCTCTTCCAGCGCGGTTCAGGCCCCTGACGGTGCAGAAACCTGCGCCGATTTGAATCCTGAGCGCAGAGATGTCGCCGCTCTGTCCCAAAGCTCTGTTCTCGACGGCTGTTCTCATCAGCTGACTGGTTTAGATTCGTTGTTGAGCAGTGTACTTACCGGGAGTATTGATACGTCTGAGATTTGGGGGAATGGCAAACCTTCCACGACTGGCGCCATTGGAGGCAACGAATTCGATGTTGACCGGGTCCTGCGCGAACGTGCCGGCCGCGAGGGCGAGGAGTGCAGCGAGCGTGAACTTCATTATGCTGATTGATGGGTTGTAGGAGTGGGCGTGTCGAGCTTCGGGGTTGTTGAGAGGATGATGTCGGTGATGGGAGAGAGAAGATCGGGGCGGACGACTTGCATCTTTATACCCTACCTTTGCTTGTCCTTTCTCCTCCACGTGGGCTTCGACAGAGTGCACTTTCCAGCATACGGCTAACATCTCGACGACGAAATGCGGGGATTGTTGTGCTATATGACTCTCAGGTAAGATTCGAAGCGTCCAGCGGCTGGCGACAACAGTAACGCCCGTCGTGCTCGCGCTTCCATCATCCAGGAGAGCAGCCAAGTCCGGCTTGGCTTGCTATTCTCGCCTGAAGCAGAAGTCAAGGACACAGTCGTGCCTCGATATCACGAAGCAGACCGCATATCCATCAGGACTTTTGGAGGATCTTGTGAGCCGTCCTAGATATAGCATCTGGAGTGGGTAATAGCCTTTGAATTCCCCGCATTGCTCCTAGGACTTGTGGAGGCGTACTGCGGACAAAGGCGTTTTCAGCTCGTATAGATTGTTCGCGTTTGGTACTGGGGCTCTGCAGAGGAAGCAAGGATCATAACGACGGAGTTGCTAACAGCGGTGCGAGTCTTACAGACGCCTTCGACCTGGACGAAACTCCAGAGTAGCATTTCTTTCATTAGCTCTCCGATTGGGTGCAGCAGGAGTACACACTCGCGGGCCAAGGCGAAAAAGGCGTTGAGCCTGGGTGCGGTATAGCCAGAAATCTTCACTTTGTTCGCAACGCTGATGCATAGATCTCCTCGCTACCGGGAGCCAAGGCGAAGCCGTGTGATTGAAATTTCATCGTTTAGTCAAGAGTGATATATCGCGTTGGGCGGTGTTGTTGTTGGTGGTGAGAGCTTAAGATCGAAGCTGTTGAGGAAGAACAGTTCATCTCGGCAGACCTGCCTGGTCCGACGGTAGACTTAATGTTGACTGTCTCGTGAGGCGTGTTCAAGATCTGTCAATTCTACTCACAACGCGCCAAATGTGCACGCATACGACTTGGTTGAGACTTCAATTAAGCTCCGATAGCCAGTTGGTATAATTTGTACGAAGGCGATGGCGCCATGGTAGTATCCAAAGCCCCCAACGCCTGGACACGCCTCTCTCCCCATCTAATGCTATAGACCATCTCTAGATTCCAGTATGCCATGATGCTATGCAGAGCTCGACCAATCTTACTCAACTCCCACTCCTCCAAATTCAATCTACACCACCGCCGGCATATCCGCAAGCAATCTCTGCACCTCACTTCTATACCTCTCAGCGACCCGCCTCGATTCCTCAGGCCCATACCTCCTCACCCTCTGCCACGTCCACCGCCAACACTCAACCATCCTCTCCAACTCCGCCATGACCTCCTCTTTCGCACCTAGCGTGAAAGTCGCCGTTCCGTTACCCTCCAGATAGAACCGTATCCTGAACTTAGCCTGTGGATGAAAGAGCTGCCGTATAAGCTTCATATGCTCCCAATCGATGTAAAGAGGAATGGTGTTGGATCCCTTGAGAGACGCAAGAGAGATGGTCACATCCCTGATCTCACGAGCTTCAGATACCCCAATCCTCTTAGTCCACTCGATCAACCTCTCCATTATGCGATCTTTGTGCTTGCTCTTGAGATAATCGGTCTCGAAAGTGAACTTGTTCAGCGAGTAGTATAACCGCAACGATTCTCGTCGTATGGCTTTGCAAGTGAATGGGAGGCCGGTCATGCGGAGGGGATCGAGCGGGTAGACGTAGCCTGTGCGGGCAGAGTTCATGACCTTGCTACGGTGGAAGGGACAGTCGAACCAGCCTTGTTCGAGGTCGACGATTTCGGTTTCCTCGTTGCCCTCTTGGAGGGCCAGCTCGTAGATGCGGTTTCTGAGCTCTCCGCTGAGGCGAGCGAAGGGTGAGGTGTCCATGGTGTAGAGGCGTCAAGGGAGTCGGTGTGCTCGCGTGAGGGACTGTGAAGGGAGACTCGAGGAATGTATTGTTAAGATTGGTGGTGGTCAGACGGGAGTTTGCTAAAAGCGAGCGACAGACGAATCGATCTCCAGATAGTAACGATGAGATAGAAAGAAAACAATCAAGCAAACACAAACGACAGCAATTGAGAGAAAGACGTCGTGTGAGAAGAAGAAAGTGGTTGAGTCGAAGAATCAGCTGAGCAGTCGGCGTGCCTGGAAAGAGGGACACGAGGATGGAACGGATGAAACTCAGCAGCCAGCCCATCCCTGTCCGAGTAAGGACAAACACACCTTTGGCAGCGCGGTTTGAAAGGTTGGGCCAGCGGACCAATGGGCACTAATCACACAACGCATTACCGCCGCCTATCTCTGTTCCGAGCAGCTTCGAAGATTGCCGAAAGGAGTCGTGGTGGAGCCCTCAAAATTCCCCGTTTCATGCAGGGTCTTTTTCAGGGTCCTGGGGAAAGGGACATGTGCGCAAGGACATGTCTTGGCGGGTCGCAAGAAAGGAGGGCACATTCTGCAGTATTATGTATGCATTTTGTTGGTTGGGAATGGCTGTCGTCTACTTACTAGTCGGTACGCGCGAAGAGCACGAGGAAGTAGGATTTAAGGCGAAGATAGAACGAAGAGAAGTTACACGCCAATACAAGTAAGATCCCAAACAAAGATGAGTAGAAGGTGATGCCCCTACAACTTCTATATACTGTACAAATCTACGTATGTTATCATTGCGCCGGCGGTGCCGATGTGCTGTCCGCCGACTGCTGTTCGACGGATGAGGAAACCTGTGGCCGACGGGGCGCTCCTCTCCATCGCTCTTCAATAGCCTTTGCTTGTACTCGTGCCAGAATTTCGCTCTGAATGCTTTCGAGCTGCGGTGGTAGTCGCTGTCTGTTGCGAATGTCCTTCAATGTTTGGATCGCGGATTCTCGAGCGGCAGCCTCCCTGGCCTCGAGATCCTCTGCCGCAGCCATTTCGGCAGCACTCTCTTCGGGAGTCTTCTCTTGTCGAGATTCTTCCTCAATCTCTTCCAACAGTATGTCCTCTTGACTCCTCTCTTGTGGCAGGTCCATCTCCTCCCTCTTCAACTCTACCATCTCAGCCAGCCTTAGTTCGTGCCTCGATTTCCTTTCCTCTCTCTGCTGCTGAATAGCTTCGTATTTCTCCCTCTTGCCCCCCATAGGCTCGTGCTCGACAGCTTCAGGCCAGGCCTGAGCGAATTCCGCATCGAGAAAGTTGGCCCACTCGATCTTGACACCTTTTGTAGTAAATATGGGTGCATTCTCCCGCATCAGAGCATATTTCGCCGAAGCACGTTTAGGACTTTCTTGCAAAGGGAAGCCGGCCCGGTCGAGTCGAGGAGGAAAACGCGGTACGATGGTCTTGTAGTCACTCTCTTCTCCCTCCTTCTCCCGCGCACTAACTTGCTGAACATTCTCAGGCGAAGGTTGTGGCTCCGTCTCTTTCTTGGCTGCGAGGATGCCGTCTCCGCTGACAGCTTTTGTCTCCCCCTCCAGCTCCCGTCCTGGTACTCGATACCCCTCTGCTCGACATGCAACAGCAATCCGTTCCCACGTCTGACCATACTCGCGCTGCATGGTTGCAACAAAGGCACTATCCGACCAAAACTCTCGATCTCGGAATTCTTTCCATTCCCCAGGCTTCGAGTACTCTCCGATCTCCGCGATTGTCCTCCAGTGGTCGATCTCCTTCTGTCTAGTAGCCGATGGAAGGTTCACAAACGCCTTAGCTTCCCTGACAGCCGCATTTGCGTACAGCATCTTTTGACGCCTCTCCTTAGCCAGGTTCGACTTTTCGAGCAGCTTGTTCTTGAATCCATCCACACCCTCCCTGCGCATGGCTCGCATGATTTCAATCTCATCATCCAACTTCTTCAGGCCACCTTCTTCATACTCTTCAGCCAGCTTGTAGATAAGCTCGAACTCATCCTTCAATTTCAGTTCCAACTCCTTCTGACGTTTCTCCGCCGTTAGGGTGCCTTGCTCTTCTTGCTCGATCAGCACAGCCGCCAAATCCGCAATGCTGTTAGCCTTTTGATTCATCACAATCTTCTGCTTCATCTTCTTCTTTTGTCGCTTGATAAGGTCGAAGACGGTCTCTTTCTTGCTGCCACCGCGATTTTCGAGTTTCTCCTTCATTTCCGCAATTTGCTTCTCCGTGTACGGGTTGCTCAGGTAAGAAGGGGGCTCCCAGCATAGTTCGTGGAGTTTTCGCCAATCCTTGAGCCTTTTGAAAAGCCTCAGGCCTTGCTCGGGGCTGGGTAAAGTGACACTGTAGAGGGGTTTCCAAAGATCTGGCCGAATCGTAGGCGGTTTATGGTTGGCACCGACATCGGGTAGTTGTTCGAGCGACGAGTCCTAAGTACCTCTTAGCTGCTGAGTTCATGCATCTGTTGATGTCGTACGTACCTTGAGTTTGCGACTCAACGAGTAGAGGACTTGGTTCGATCGAACATTGCAGTAGGCGTAGATGTGCCGGCCGGACCCGGCCACCACCTCTTGAGAAGGCGCGCGCATATTGACTGAATGTTACGAAGTCACCTTCTCCTCGCTATCGGCAGTTCATGATATGATGTGATGTTGCGAGTGGATAGTCGCGTGTTTCAATGGCCGCCCGGGTGTCTCGATTTGCCCAAGAGCGGAGTGAATCCCCTTTTGGAAAGCCTTGAATTCTAAATCGAAGTCGCGCTAACAAAGCGCCTCGAGGTCCTTTCTTTCTCTTGAAACCACACCTCTGGGCACCTTGAGAAATCGCTTCATCTGAACGCAGATGCAATGGCAGAGTATCAGATGCCACCAGCTGTGACATATCAACATGCATAATTCTTGGCTCGTTCCAGGTCCAGACGGAAGAACCACGCCACCATCGCGCAAACTCCAATGTCATCGAAACCAAATGTCAACAGCGCTCCAAACGCAGCATCTCAGCCTCAAGATCTCTCTCTGCGGCATGGCGTGACGCCTGATACTGCAACGCCCAAGCAGGCGGAAACTAAAACCATCACCAGATCTGGACGGCATGTGCTCTGCATGCAGCCTCCTTGCGATCAGTGTACTTGGCTGCAGAATTCCAAGGCCGGCCTCTCGCTTCGTCGAGACAGAATCAAGCAAGGTGTCGCTTGGCATGGCCGGATCAAAGTCGAACTTGTCGCCAGACTGCTCATATTATAGATGCTCGTCCCCTGTACTGCTGCGGACGAGATTGAACTCTGTCACTGACTCCTACAGACTTAACATGTTTGACCTTTCATTAACCCAACAATTGCCCACACCCAGCCTGACCAGTCCGGCGTTTCTCTCGTCGTTCAAAACATGCGTTGCAGTCATCTCTGCACCTTTCCAGCTTGAAGAAGAGAACTCTTTCGATGATGCTATCAAAGCGCACAAGACCGCCATAGAAGTGCTCGAACAAGTCCAAAAGACCAAAGGGATCAGAAAGTTCAACAGAAAGATGTACGAAAGACAGGCGGAAATCCATCGTGAAAGAAAGGCGTACCTGGAGGCTTTTGGTGGGAAGTACGACGGGAGAATAATACTCAAAGCCCCTAATCGCGCGGCAGTGGCAAAAAGTCACTCTTCGCCTATCGGTTCCACTTCATCTTCGCAACCACTCAGCACTTTCGCCAGTCAATCTGGCAGGCCTCCACTCGAGTATGTCGTTACAGCAGATTCGGAACTGATCGACCTGGGTGTCCGGAGTGTTTGGTATTTTGTCAAAGACAAAGCCACCCAGAACACGCTTTACGCCGCACAAGGCCTCGCGGATATCGACAAGCCCATGATCGAGACTGTGCTAAGAAGAGCTGATGGAATATTCCCATTCGGCGAGGCTGTGCATACCAGTGTTTTGAGCCAGGGAAAGCCAGGATTGAACTTCAAGATGAGAATGCTGAGAAGAAGTGCTGGTCATGATGAGCATGAAGTGTGGGAAATCCCAACGACTGAAGCCAAGAAGAAGGAGTGGAGTCCAAGGAAATTCAGCATTTTGGGAAGACACTTCATCTGGAAGAATGAAGACGGCAAGGATGGAGGCCACATCTCCAAGAAGTGGGCTTGGGAAGCACTCTATGAGACCAAAGATGCCACGGACGGAAGCGAAGTTGTCGGAGAGAAGCTCTTTTGGGGAACTGTCCAGGGCAGTGGCAAGGCCAAATGGAACCTCTTCATGGTCGACGGGTTAGACTTGGCGTTGAGAGAACATGTACTGGCGAGCCAGCTGAGCAGGATTTTGAGATGGACTAATCCGCCAGGCAAAGACTTGGCTGGTGTTGAGAAAGGAGTCGCTGCGATGGGCGCTATCGGTGCTGTTTCAACGCTTGCTGAACTGCTTGGTTAGGCAAGAGATGGCATCAGCCGGTCGGTGCTATGAATTGTCAACCATGACAGTTTCTGCCATCCACCATGGCCATCTGCGTCCCTGCGACAGACAATTCTATATACCAAGACACTGCGTCAGACTCCGCCGCAGCCAATTAGCTTCTACAAGCTCTTCCCAAGATTCTCCACTTTCAGCTCGATCCTCCGCCGAAGCTCTACTCTCAACTTACCACCGAGTGTTTATTGCCCATCATTCGCATAATCAAGCATGTCCAACGTAGCGGCAGCGTCACCCGGTGCAAAGCGGAAAAGGATAAGAAAAGGTACGACCAGCTGTTGGGAATGCAAAAGACGGAAAGTCAAATGTGAATACGAAGAGGACAAGGACGGACCTCCATGCAAGCCATGCACCCAGCGAGGACTCAAATGCGTCAGTCAAGAATTGCCAGAGCCTCGTCCGTACTTGAGCTATGGCAATGGAGCTCCAGCTACCGGTGGTTCCCGACAGATCAATGAACAGACGCCGTTAGATCTGGAATCTGCAACATCTCACCATGCATCCCATGTCCATAATGCTCTCAGTTTGAAGGCGTCAGACGGACTGTCTCGTAGTTTGCTGGATGCAATGCCTTCACGCGATGACCTTGTCAAGATCTTGGATGCGAGCAACAATCCTTCGCTCCTGGCTCACGAGATCAATACTATACCATACAACTCCCTACGCCAGCAGCGAGCTACGACCCGGGATACTTTGCTCGCCATCCCCACCAGCGACACTCATCCTGTGTTGATCGCCAAACACATTCTACTGGTGGCTTCTTTCATACAACAACTTCACCCGAACTTCATCATAAGTATCGCTGGGCTGTCAGTGTCTCCTTTAGCTATCATGCATCGGTTGGTGGGCGTTGCTGGTAGCTTGGTAACAACGAACGATGAGTTGCTCGGCACCATTGAAAGCATCGAGTGTCTGATGATAGAAGGTCTCTTCCAAATGAACACTGGCAACCTGCGGAGAGCATGGATCACCGTTCGAAGAGCTCTCAACATCGCTCAATTGATGAAACTCGGTCGGAGGAGTGCCCAAATCAGGCACAAAGTCCTGAGCAGCCAGACAAGATACGATCCGCAACACATGTGGCTCAAGATTGTGTTCCTCGACCGATATCTCTGTCTCATGCTGGGACTACCTCAAGGCTGCACGGACCGCAGCATGGTCTCCGATGCAATCCTCGCAAACGATACACCAATGGGCCGGCTCGAGCGGATACACTGCGTTGTTGCTAGCGAGATACTGGAACGTAACGAGATTGGCCCTGGTTCTGAAGATATGGCAATCACCCAAGCACTGGACAAGCAGCTGCAAAAAGCAGCGAAGGATCTCCCGAGCAAGTGGTGGTTGACGCCAAACCGGGAAGCTACAGTATCGGATCCCGAGACCTCTTTCTGGAATGTACGACAGCTGTTCGCCCAGATACTCCACTACGATCTGCTCAATCAGCTTCACCTTCCCTACATGCTTTGTTCACGTTCGTCTATGAACAGCCGCGAATACTCTCGCATCACATGCGCCAATGCTTCTCGAGAGATGCTTGCTCGTTGGATTGCTCTGCGAAATTCGAAAACCGTGGCCTGTAGCTGCCGATCTGTCGATTTCGTAGCACTCATGGCAGCTATGACTTTGGTGTTGGCGCACTTGGACGGACGGCGGTCTGAAACTAACACACTTGCTCACCAGTACCAAAGCGATCGTGCCATGATCGAGCAAGTGCAGGAGTGTATGGAAGAGCTAGATCGATCGAACTCAGACGCCCTGAGCGCAAAGAGTGCAGATCTGCTTCATGGGCTCCTGGCGATCGATGATGAGGGTGCGGATGGCGAGACTGACGATCCGAGAGTCGAAGTTGAAGGGATGAACACAACGTCAGGAGACTATATCGGCGCTTCTGGGGTCAATGTCCACATCCCTTATTTCGGCACCATCAAAATCGCTCGGTACGGTATCAGTAAGGTTCCGCCGACAGCACCAGGCTTGGGCGACAACCAAATTCCTCAGATGTCAAGTCCTTCGAGAGCTCAATATCCCTCAGCGACTCACGCATCCGAAGAGTCTGTATCAGTGTCAAGCAGACTCGATGCTCCGAACCAGTCACAGCCAGCGATGCTCCAGACACCTGACAGCTATGCGAGCCAAGAGACCGGCGCCCACGAGTCACACATTGGCTTACTTGAGCCATTTCTGGGACCTGACGTACTTCCAAGCCTTGCTGCAGGGTTGGATGATTGGACTTTCCAGGGAGTAGATCAAGCTTTCTTCGAGAGCTTGATGAGCAACGGGAATGGACACGGCGATACTATAGACTGGGGCTTTCCCCAAACATAAGATGTATGTATCAAGTGAATGCGGTCAGGGAATGTAGTGAGATCGACGCCATTTTATAACTTTAATATGCTAGTCCAAGTTAGGCAGGAAGGTGGGTCTTCTAGTCCGGTGCGTCGAGAACGCTGACTCAGACCACGACTTCTGTCGACCGGCGTTAAGGCTCGGCCTCAGAAATAACTGGCAACATTCCGCAACTGGGTCTCGACTCTCCTGCTCACTGCTTCATACATTTCGGGCCTTTCGCAACTATACGTCGACATATAAATCGACCATACATCTACAAGCATAGCAAATGCGAGGGTAAACAAAACAGAACTTGGCTCACGTGGAAGATGCTCAAGAAACTTGGCCCTTGGCTTTGGAACGGAGCTGAAACAGTCATCTCGTGGCCTTGAACACCGCCAAACCAGCCATAGACAGAACCTAGCTCCATCATCCTACACCCACGTTCTAGCCCGTAACTCATTATATAAGCCGACTTCAAAAGCGATCCTATCACTTCAAGCACTCTCCGAGGCATGAGCTTGGATCCATCAAAGTCGTCCAGGTTCGGATCCAGCAAGGTCAAAACAGGTTGCCTGACTTGTGTCAAGCGACACCTCAAATGTGACGAAGGACGTCCGAACTGTTCAAGATGTGTCAAGGCGGGACGAGTATGCCGGCAAAGACCCGGGCCAGGCGGCGCAGACGAACATCTTCGAATGGTTCATTACGTCTCGAGTCCGACCAAGGCTCCTCAGGCACTACCTTTCCAAGATAGCAAGGAGCTTCGATATCTCGAATACTTCAGGCTTCGAACAGCGCCTGATATTGCTGGTGTCCACAATCCGGAGCTGTGGACGTACCATGTCATGCAAGTGGCTGTTGCAGAGCCTGCAATTTGGCATGCAACTCTTGCGCTTGGCTCACTCCATGAGCGATTCGAGAGTAACGCATCTATGAGTCTATCTACCGCGGACATGGAGTACCCACTCACTCAATACGGCAAAGCGATCAACATCCTTTGCAGCTCTATCAAGGGCTCCGCTGACAACCTGAAAGAGACTCCGTTGCTCGCATGCGCTATGTTCTGTGCTTTCGAAAGCATGGGCTACCATCTCCACTCAGCGCTTTCTCACATCACAAGCGGTCTGAAGGTCATGACGGAACGAAAAAGAGCTTTTCTCGAAGACAAAAGGCCTGATCATTCTCTTCACATGCTGTGGCCTCTCTTCACCAGATTGGATACTCAGCGGCTGGAGCTTGGAGACTCTTCATTCCCGGCGGATATGCCTTTGATCATGCATTACCGACATGTGCAGACGACCAAATCGATCATCAAGAAACCAAATATGAACGAAGCACGCCATGGATTCGATAGCGTCCTGAACCTTATATTGCACCACATCAAGCACATCGAGGGGCCAGATGTGTCCATACCATTCATTGCCAAAGGAACTTCAAGCGCTGACGTCGGGCTGAGCGATGTTGTTCATGACTACCTGCGATGGACCTCCGCATTTGATCCGATCATCGTCTCTCTGGGTGTAACTTCCGATATACCATCAGCCCTACTCCTTCAAATATGGCGCTTACTTGTCAACATCATGCTTCGAGTGGACGTCGAAGAAGGCGAGATGGGTTTTGACAGATTCCAAGACGAGTTCAGACTGATGTGGTCTCTTGTAGAGGAATTCCTCTGCTGGAGTGCGCAACATTCTGGATCTGGCGAGGAACTTCTTCCAGAGCAGACACATAGTCCACTGGACGATCCATTGCCAGAAGAGCTTTGTGTTCGACACACTGCATTGACTGGAGAGGCAGCCCAGCGATCTGGATTCATGGGTGTCAATATTCAGAACACTGCAGAGGCAGATAGCGTTCGAGCAGAAGCCTCAGCTGCGCAAGAGAGTGGTCAGAAGTTGCTGGCCTATTCCCAAAAGACAAGGTCAATCAACCCTGGCGTTCTGCGCGACCGGCTGACATATGCGGGTCTTGGTATCAAGCCTACGTTTACCTTCTCGCACGGCGTCATCTATCCCCTTTACGTGGTGATCAGTCGATGCAGAAACCCTGCCATCCGACGCCGAGCTTGGACTCTTATGAACGGATGCAATCGACGAGAAGGTCTCTGGGACTCTGCTCTGGCCGCTAGATTGGGACAAAGGATCATACAAATTGAAGAATCACAAGCATTGCTGGGATTTGGGCCCAGCGCATCAGCAGCCTGTTCAGGACAAACCACAAAGATAACTGCCGCATCCCAGATCGCAAACTTTTCCCGGATCAGAATGGTGAGGCCAACGTTTTTGCCGAACAGGAGGAGTATCGAGAGGTATTACTTTGGCTGGCCGGGAAGTTTTGAAGAGGCGACGGGTGTTGAAGAAGTTTGGAATCAGGAGTCTATGGAGTGGTGAAGCATCTGCCGAGCTGCTTAGCTCAGGTACAGGCGTCTCCGCACAGAGCTCTTGACCTCATCTGCTCTTACCAGCTCTTGCCGTTTAAAGATGCAGGCATCAGCCGCAAGGATCATTGTCCACGTCTCCCGACCCAGGATCTCCGTCAGAAATTCCTTGACAAGCTGTAACAACTGAGCTGCTACACTTTACAATCGACATCGATCAACTCGGCCTATCGCAGCCATGGCGCCACCATTTCGAATGGATCAGATCGGCTCCTTGCTACGGCCTAAGGAGTTACTCCAAGCAAGAGTATCTCTCTCGTCACCTTCGCAGATGTATGAAGTAGCAAACGACGAAAAGATCAAGCAAGCAGAAAAGAAAGCCATCGAGGATGTCATCCAGAAGCAGATAGACCTCAATATTCGACCAGTCTGCTCGGGTGAGTATTGCCGCCACATCTTTTATGGCGGCTTCTTCGAGACTCTGGATGGCATGACCCCAATTCCTGACCTTCCAATCCCGGATGCTTTCAGAACGGACTTTCCGACCACTACCGGCCTGGCCAGGATGGGCGCGAAGACGAGAGCTGCCGTTGTATGTACTGGATCGATTCGGTGGAAGAAGAGCGCATATTTGGAAGAATGGAACATCCTACGCGGAGGAGTACCAGAATGGCAGTGGAAAGAACTCAAGATTACCATGCCCGCACCAAACTATCAGCACATTCAGCTGAAGCCTGGAACTGCTTTCACCAAGGACTCCGGCTACTCTACCGACGAGCAATACTTTCAAGATCTCGGCCAAGCTTACGCTCAAGAGATCAAAGCCCTGTATTATGCTGGCTGCCGAAACATACAAGTCGACGATCCGCATCTTACTTACTTTTGCTCGTCACAGTTCCTTGGAGGCTGCAAGAAAGATGGCGTAGACACCGACGCACTGCTGGATCTCTATCTCGAATCTCACAACATCTTCTTACGACAGAAGCCTGCCGATCTCCACATGGGAATGCATTTGTGCCGTGGCAATATGAGTGGCTCAACTCATTGGGTGTCTGGAAGCTATGACCAGATCGCCGAGAAGCTGTTCACCAAGACGGACTACAATACATATTATCTCGAGTTCGATGAGGTGGGACGAACAGGTGGCTTCGAGCCTTTGCGTTTCCTGCCCAGGGGGAAGAATGTCGTGTTGGGGCTGGTGTCGACAAAGAAAGCAGAGCTGGAAGATCCAAAAGTCTTAAAGGGGCAGATTTATCAAGCTGCTGAGCAAGTAACCAAAGGGCAGCGGGTTTCGGCGGATGAAGCGTTGGACTTCCTGGCTATCTCGCCACAATGTGGCTTCTCGAGCTCTTCGCTTGCTGGTGGCAAAGACATGACGATGGAGAGAATGTGGGAGAAGTTGGCGCTTGTCAGGGATACTGCAAAGGAGGTTTGGGAAAGTTTTTGATGCTCTTCTCCCTTGGAGTTCCAGGTACAGTACTACGAATAGCATTTCCATTTCACAATGTCCAGTTTCGAGATCCACGGGCCATAGATAACCTAGCAAAAGGAGAGTTAGGTGAGCTCGCAGGGCCTGTCCTGGTATCATTCAGTCGCGCGAGCTTCTCGCCGCGCCACAGAGGCAGCTACACCCACCCTAGCCCAATAGTAGAGGGCAAACGAGTTGAAAAGAGCGTCTGAGTCTTGAAATGGATAATTCCTACCCCCGATTCGGTCACTAGTCGTCTAATAGTGAGCGCAAAGACTCAACAAGCAGAAGGCCCTTGCAAGAGCAAAAAGCAAAACACAACACCAAGGCACCCCAAACCGAATATCTACCCAAGCACCTCATTATAACAGCTCCCAAGAAAAGAATCGAACTTGCGCCCATAAAGTAAAAAGACTAAGGCTGACATGCCAAGAAAAAGGCAAAAGAACTAGAACCCACTGCCAATGGGTTCTAGAGAAAACCAAGTTAATGATTTTACTTTTTTTTCCAGTCCAGTATCCACTTCTCCGTGTCGAATGGGATTGAATTAGCCCTACGGAATTTATTTGTGGTGGGGGAGAGGGTGGTTCGAATGCGCTCCGTGTCGACTGGGATTGGAATTCGCCCTGCGGAATCTAAGACGCGCTACGATTGCGACAATCCGAGTCGGATGGGATCAAGTTAGCCTGTCGGATTCCCACACCAGTGGTGTTAACTGATGTGGTGAAGGAAGGAGATTCCAATAGGCTTATATTATTTGGCCTTCAGCCCTCCACTGTCCCCATGCTCGCGTCGGCGGTCCTTAACGTCGCTCGCCCAGGTCCCAGCGATTCTTGTATGTCTTGTAGTATTGACCGTCGCGCTGGTCCAAGTCCACCTCCTCAACACTAACTTCGATGTAGAATTCGCGAACCATCTCGATGAGCTCGTCAGACAAACCGCGACCTTCCAGAATCTTGTAGACAAGATACGACATATCCTCGACATAGGGCTTAGTTAGGCAGGCCATGCTGTGATAGAGGTAGACATGTCGGGAGTCTTTGTGAGGGGCTTTGAGTGCGCGGCGAGCATTCTGCAGCGTATTGAATGCATCTATGATTTCACGCGTCGCCCCGGTTTTGATGATGTCGCGACAAATAGCCAGCACCGTGTCATCGAGCTTCTGCGTAAACATCAAGAAATACCAGATGGACATTTCCCATCCCAAAGACTTATCGTGTAATAGAGACTCAAGCACATGTTCGCCAAAACAAACGAGCGCCTTGATGACCTCCAGCGGCTTTTCTGAGCGCAGGGCAGCGACCACCTCAACCTCGTCTGCGGAAGGCACTTCGCAGAGACATGGTCTGTCGCGACAGAAGTTGTAGATTCCGTTGGTCTTCGCACACGGACAGCCTTGCTCATGCCAGGTTCCCTCTCCTTCCGAGTAATCTTCTACGTCGTCGAGAACCAGCGCACCCTCGTCGCCGAAGATGTGTTCTGTCGTTCCTCGCGGTGTCGAGCAGATGAGTTCTGTGAAGAGTTAACATGTTGGTTGTGAAGAAGCTAGAGAAGGTCACGCTGGAGCTTACCACTGCCGAGCCAGGTCTTCTTGATGAGCACGAGGACATCCAGATGCGTGAGACTGCTGCTGGACACGACTGCGCCGGAGTCTGCCATTACGCCGGATCGAGATTTGGCGCGCCTGGTTGAATCGATGGGGAGTTGAAGGTGACTGTTCTCGCTGAGATGAATAGCTGAGATTATGCTGAGCATGAGAGAATTGGAGTTGTCTGTAGAAGGTTCAAGAAAGACTAGCGCTCTCACACGTGCGCAAGTGGGTCCAAGTGAATTTGAACACGATTACGATCAAATGCACACTACAAAGTACCGTATGTAAACTCGAGTGGGCCGTGGCATATCTCTGCACAATGTTCCAGTCCTTGAAGCTGCATGCTACAGACCTATGGTAATGAGGTCTTGAAATCTTGCGTGTCTTTCGAACGAGATTCGCTATCCCTGTCTCGTTTCTAGTCATCGCTTCTTCCATTAGACTGCCATATTACAAATTTCAATACCACTCGCTATAGCAGGTTCTATAATTCTTGTTCACTAGACTCGCGAAGCGCTTCACGCGTGTTTGAGCGACCCAGTGTCTTTCATGCTCCTCCTTTAGCCTGGGCATCTGCTCTATTTTGTTCCTCACGGAGAACCCACGATGCTGCAGCAGTCCTTGTACGTCTTGTAGTATTGACTCTCGCACTGGCTCAAGTCCTCATCCCTCGATTCAATGAAGAGCTCGCGGATTCTCTCCACAAGCTCGTCAGGCAAACCCTGTCCGCCTATTATCTTGAACACGAGATAAGATATCTCCTCTGTGTGCCATCTCTTCATGACAGCCATGCTGTGGTAGAAGTAGACCTGGCGATCGTCTTGATAAGGTGCTGGAAGCACATTGCGGGCCTTCTGGAGCATGTTGAAAGCTTGCAAAACTTGAGATGCGATCTGGGAGTCTGTCTTGGCGGCCTTGAGGAGGCTTCGGCAAACGGCGAGCGCCAGGTTGTCCAGCTTTTGCGCAAAGTCCAGGAAGTCGCTAACTGGACTCGTCTCATATCCAACGACGCGAGATTCAAATTCAATCAGTGCGGCAAACACTGCAACCTTGTCGGGAAGAAGCGCACTCAGCAGCTGTTCGTCATATGTGGCCCAGAATGACGCCTTACAAGTGCATGGTTCCTCGCGGCAGCCGATGTAAGGAGTGTAATTCCAAAAGCACGCGCAGCTGCGGTCCTCGTGCCAAACTCCTTCCTTGTCTTCAACCTCAAAATCCTCGAAACTCTGGAATAGTTTTTCGGCCTGAGTGCCAAACAGGTGCGCAGGCACACGGGCCAGCACATCTGTCAGATCTGTCAGCGAACCCAACAGGAAAAAGGGTGTAGCATGATCCCTCACCGTAACCGAAGCTGGTATCCTTGATTCCGATGAGCACGTCGGACGCTGGCTTTGTCATGCTGTCGTTGGACGCGTCGTCCATGCCGCCATCGTCCGCCATCACTTTTGATCCACCTCGAGGTTCTGAAATGGCGGTTCGCTGTGTTCGCGGAAAGTGCGTAAGATTTGACAAAGCGCGTGGCTCAGAATATTCAAGAAGAGGGACTAGCGGGCACGGGACAAAGTGGGTCCATGTGAATGGCATCCGTTCGTGATCGGGCGAGAGCTTATGCTATGCTGCAATTGCAGAAGGCGTGTCTATCATAACTACGTAGATTTACAATGATTGGAAGATGCATGCCACGTGGATACGGGACGTAGGCTTTGAGTCTGTGTACGTCGCGTAGACAGGTTTTCACCGCTGACAGCATCTAGCCTTCGTCTTCTCCTTTGAACCAGCATTGTCCACCAGTCCCCTATAAACTCTTCTAGCGGCAATCTTTCTCTCTTTCTGCTCAACAGACGTTTAAAGTGAACAATATCACGCTCCACTGGCAGTCCAGTGTCACTCATACTCTTCTTTCAACCTCGTCATCTCCTTGATCTTATCCTCCATGTAAAATTCCCGGATCATCTCAATCAACTCTTCTGGCAGGTACTCATTGACCACCCTCCTCACCAGAAGGAACGACGTTCGCTTTGAGTGATCCTCGGCGAGCAAGACCATAAACTTGAAAAGCCATGCATTCCCTGGACCAGGACTGCGGGAACTGCGTCCGAAAGGGTAGCAACTATAATTGAGGCGTTCAGAGCGCTGCTTCTTCAATCTCAGCCCATTCCTCTGCGCCTCCGTAACCACTTCGCATCCTCGATTGCGCTCATCCCGCGGCCCCGCCATGAGAAGGCGGCAGAACGTGAGGGCCTCGAGATCACGGTGCCAAACTCCTGGGTCTGGGAAAATCTCCGCGCCATATCGAGCAGCGCAAATGTGGAAGTCGTGCTCGACTGCAGCGGAGAATGCAAATGCTGGTGCTCCAGGAAGTGTGGCCAGTGCTTGGAGTTCGTGTCTCAGTCGTAGCGGGTCCGCAGTGTATCTGGTCCTGTATTCTTCTACGGCGCTATGGCTGGTTTTGAGCCCTTCGGAGGCGACGAGCCACTCATAGTCAGTGGCTATGTGCCAGATGATTTGCTCATACATCACTTTGGCTGCGTTCTTGCCGAAGTATTTCGGTAGTTGTCTCAACAGAGCTGACGGGGAAAGATCTATTGATGAAGTCAGCGCGAATCAAGAGGTGGTTTGATGCGGCCACTGACCCATGAGTTTGTGGTTGGTTGCCAGTAATATGATTGTGTCACGCAAGTCATCCCGGTCTTTTGCTGTTGCACTGACGGCGCTCCTGCCTTGGCTGGAAGTCATAGCTCAAATCTGTCTCATTCAGACGCGATGGCGGCTGGAGTATGTGAAGAGCGACAGATTAGAGGTTTTAAGAAGGCAATGTTTGTACGTGTAGGTGGTGCCTAAGCTCAAATGAGCCGGATCGTTCCAGTGGCTTCCCTGGCACGCTGTCATAAAGACCATCTTCGCGTTAAAGCGAGACGCGAAGTGAACGAAACAGTACGATTATGCATTGTGCACCTCCGCTGTCCATGTGTCTCTCTAATCAAAAAATCAACGGTCTGACGAATTTGTGAATGCCCCTCAGACGACTTTAGCGGGACTTCATTTCCCCCTCAATGAAAGCATTGCCAACAGTTCGCCACTCTCCGCTTCTCCGTCTCTTTCTGAGCCCTCCACAGTTCCAATCTCAGTCCAGAAACCATTTACCTATTGGCGAGACTGCTTTGTTTTCATCTTCTTCAGATCCTTCTGATAGACTTTCCTCATCGCTCCTAGCCGATTCGATCTCTCTTGACACATGTTGCTGACAATCATCTGCACGAGCTCCTCTGGAATCTCGCGGCCCTCCACAACTCTCTTGGCTACGATGTATGCCGTACGCATGTGGTTTTCCTCTGTCAAGAAAGCCAAGGTTTCGAAGAAGTGGGGGTTGGAATGGAGTTTTCGTGAATGTTCGTCTGAAATTGCCACCTCATACTGCCCACGAATCTTGTGAAGAGTATCTCTAGCCTCGTTGAGTTTCTCTGTCGCCTCGTGACCGACATCTGGGTCTTTCGCGATGCTTTGGCACATGGCTAGAAGTGGCTTGTCGATCTTTTCCGCGTCTTCAAATGTCGGTGACGGGGTCCGACCTTCTTTCCAACACTCGAAGATACTGCCACTGAATCGCAGCATCGCAGATATTGCTAGACCCCTGTCGCCATACACAGAGACAAAAAAGTCCTCGTCGCCCAGAAAGGTTTGCTGACCCTCGTTCCACGCGCAAGCCCAATAGCGACGTACGAGATCAAAGGGGGGATGCGTGTCGCGCACGTGCTCGATTTGCCAAACAATCTCCTCAAAGAGACTTTGGCTCGTGAAGTAGCGCGTCACGTTTTCCGTGGATGGCCGTTGATGACCAATGCTGTGAGTGTCGCAGTTAGTAATGTTTGACACAACGGTCAGTCATAGTGCTTACTGAGTAGCATGTGACGATCTCGCTGTAGTTGGGTCATCTTTTGTGCGTATTTGCCAATCGACGATTTGCCGTCGACCGATGAGCCTGCTTCTTTTTCGGTCGTCATAATGTCGCCTGTAGCACGCGAGGAAATCGAGTGCAAAGGTTGGTGGGTCGGGTGTGGTGTTTGGAGTGGTGTTTGTGGTTGGTAAGAAGACGCGACTGCAAAGAACCCTGGAGAACCGGAAAATCTTACCACCGACAAGCGGAGATGGGATCTCATCCCAAAATGGAAAGAGCGCGAAAAGGGAAGTGAACGGAAAAGCAAGCGCGGGCAGATGTGTGGACACCACAACCAGTGGTGATGTAACGATTGAACTGTTCAGTTTCAGCCATTGCAGGCTTTTTCTCGAGAAGTTCGAGGCCAGCCACGCCGTCCAGACATCTACGCGACATTCGTCAGATCTTGACCAGCAGAGAGCAGCAGTCTCCAACTCAAATGACCGCTGAACCCAGTCTAGCGTTTTGCCAAACCTGCTAACGTACTTGATGGGGAAGCTGCGCAGACGGTGAAGCTGCGCACGGATCCGCGACACTTTCGCGTTTTCTTTTAATTTCTCGCGACACGCTTAACTTTTAACTCTTCTACTTTATAGATCTCGAGCAGCGTATACTAGACGTAATATCTGCTTATAAGAATAATCTATATACCTCGAAACGCAAGTATGCTACCGCGTTTTCTATTAGCGAATCTACGCTTCGACTACGGCTCGCCGGCGGCGTTTCTCGATCTATCGCGTACGAATACGAGTAATACCTATTTACGACCGAAGAGCAGACTCTTATTAAGTAGATCTCGAAGTTATCGAAGTACG